TATATATATATATATATATATATATATATATATATATAAAAAGGATTCCGAATGAAATTGTCCACAAGACCCTGGGGGTTGTTTTTCTCAATCCGAGACGATAATATTCGCGCAGAACGAGATCACTTTGATATTACACCCCTGACAAAAATCAGACTTTCTTGAAAATTTTATATATATATATATATATATATATATATACTAGAGGGGCTACGCCCCCCTGCGCGCTTCGCGCGCCAACCCCCCTATTTTTGGCGGGAAATACAGAGAGAGATGAGGGAAGGGGGAAGGACTTGCGGCTATATTCAGACCCTTGAAACGAACATAACCTCAAAATTTAGGTCATTTTTTATGGAGGAGGTGAAATGAGAGGAGGGAGGGGGACTTGCGGCTATATTCAGAGCCTTGAAACGATCATAACCTCAAAATTAGGTCATTTCTGGCGGGGGAGGGGACTTGCGGCTATATTCAGAGTCTTGAAACGAACATAACCTCAAAATTTAGGTCATTTTTGACGGAGAAGGGGAAATGAGAGGAGGGAGGCGGACTTGCGGCTAAATTCAGAGCCTTGAAACGAACATAACCTCGAAATTTAGGAGGGGGGACTTCCCCCTCCTAGGTCAAGAATTCTTGAAACAGCGGCGGCGGCGGAGGCGGCGGCGATATCTTTTTGTAATATAGGAAGATATATATTATAAAAAAATTTCGCCGCTATTTTCAGTATGGGTCATTCCTTGTCAAGTGTACCCAACCTGTTTTTGACAAGGTTAGGTTAAGTTAGGATGGTTCCTCTTGACATGGAATGACCCATTACACTCAGAGAAATGTTTTATTTGAACCAAATATAATATATATTTGATTTAAATAAATGTATATTTGTCTTACAGTCTACTGTAGCCTATTTATTTGGCGCAAATAAAATTTTTTTATTTAAATCAAATAAAAATTTATTTGAATCAAATAAAAATTTATTTCAATCAAATAAAAATTTATTTGAATCAAATAAAAATTTATTTGAATCAAATAAACATTTATTTCAATCAAATAAACATTTATTTCAATCAAATAAATATTAATTAGGCTGTGAGACAAATATATATATATATATATATCATTTCTCTGGGTGTAGTTTTAAAACGAACATAACCTCAAAATTCAAGAACATAAGTCAAGGGACCATTAGGTTTGAGGTTATGTCCGAAAATTTAGGATTCCCCTAACAATGAAACGAACATAACCTCAAAATTTAGGTAAAATTTTAATAATGTTAATATTTGGAAACCTTTTTTAAAAAAAATTAATCATTAAAATAAAATATAAATATTGTTTATATATTGAACGTGAGAAAAATGTTTTGGAATGTACTGTCTGAGGAAAGAGAATGGCAGACGTAACATTGACCGAGGCGAGGGTAGAAGTAGAAGTGTTATACACTTTTCACTGACCTCGAAAACTTTACCGTGTGCTCGCCACCGCACTTCTTTTTAAAGTTTAAAGTTCAAATGGAAAAGAAAAAGAAGAAGAAGAAAAAAAAACCAGTTGTCAGAGACTTGATTATTCAATAACGGTATTTCTCGCAACATTAATGTGATATATTTATTAAGTTTCAATTAATATAAAAAAACACATTTAAATAAGTTTCAAAACTAAATTTTTGTTTGAATGATTATCCCAAAAAAAATTTTTAAATTAGAATTTTTTATTTTAAAGTAATTAGAAATTTTTTTTTTTAAATGAATTTTAATTTTTCAAATTAGTATTCGATTAGGAATTAGTAATTTTCTTTTTATACGAATATTTACTAAAATTTTCTAGCCACCGAATTTGCTTTTTTTCAGAATTTTTTTATTTTAGTCAATTTAATTTACATGAATTTTAAATTTAATTGAATTTTAATTTAGCAGAAAATTCTCATTCAATCGCATTTTATGTGATTCGAATTTTTAAGTGACAAAAATTCCAAATTCACCGAATTTTAATTTGACCGAATTTTAATTTGTCCGAATTTTAATTTGACCGAATTTTAATTTGTCCGCATATTTATTTGACTGAATTTTAATTTGTCCGAATATTTAATTGACCGAATTTTAATTTGTCCGAATATTTAATTGACCGAATTTTTTTTGTCCGAATATTTATTTGACAGAATTTTAATTTGTCCGAATATTTATTAGACCGAATTTTAATTTGTCCGAATATTTATTTGACCGAACTTTAATTTGCCCGAATTTCAATTTGTTCGAACAAATAATCGATTTCGGCGCAATTAGAAATTATCGCAAGAAAATCGTGATTATGGTCAGTTATAAAAATTGCGCCGAAATTTTTGTGTAGATTTTTTTGTTCCGCCATTTGTAATTTCGAACAAATCAAAATTCGTACGAATAAAAATTCCAAATAAATTAAAATTCGATGAATTGGAATTTCTGGCAAAATGAATTTTGTGAAAAGAAAAATTCGGTAGCTAAAAAAGGGTAAAAATTAGTATAAAAAGAATTTTTTTTTTTTTTTTTTTTTTGAATTTTATATATAAACAATTTTTAATTTATTAAAGAATTTTTTTCCTATTAAAAAAAAACTTAGAAAACTAAATTCTAAAACAAGATTTGCTGCTGAATATTAATTTATTATCAATTCAATCGAATGAATTAATTATCATTTTAAAAAAAAATGATTTAATTATAATTATTTTGTTTTCAAAGAGTAAAAATATTTTCCTGATTTTTTTTTTAGTAATAATTTTAAGTTTACTTTTTTTTAATTAAAAAAAAAATATATGTTCAATATTTTAAATTGTATTGATTTTATTTTATTTATTTAAAAAAAAAAAAAAAAAAAAAAAAAATTGTAATATTAATTGAGGACATAGTGTGTGTATTATGTTGGCAAAGTATTTTCTTAAAGAATATGTTTCACGTGTCATTGAATTGCTGACGTAGTATATATCGTGGTCGCCTGGAGTCTCTACCTCATAGAAATATTTCTTCCGTGATGGCTCTCCCACTTGTATAAGTAGTCAGGCTTTAATCCATTGACGTCAAAATTCGAGGAAGCAGGAAAGTTTCAGGGACATATATGATGCTGATGTTGTTATCCAACCTTTACTTCACTCTTTTTATTTCATATTCGTTCAGGATCTATAAAAATTTGCAAGTCTCTCCTATATTATTTATTCACTCGCAATCGAAACGAAATTATTTTCAAATTATGTATATTTAAATTTTTAATTGAATAATTATTATTAATTTTTTGTAAATTTAAATTAATGAAAAATTTGTTAATTCAAAAAAAATTAGTAAAAAAAATATGATTATTTTTTTTAACTAAAATTTTCGTAAAAAATATGACTAAATATTTTTTCACTAATTCTGATTTAGAGAGTAATTTAAAAAAAAGTTATATATTTTTTTTTTTTTTTTTGTAGGCGTAATATTTATTTTTTCCATATATAATTACAATACAATTTTGTTTAAAAGTGAAAAACGCCAATTACCTGTTTTAAATGTCGAAGCATTTTTAGATAAGTCTATAATTATAGTTGAAATTAAATTCAAAATTGAAGTCATTATGCGTGATAGATCTATTTGAAAATTTACATTTTTTATAGTAAAAAAAATAAATCCTCCAAAAAAGAAAATTGAAGATAAAAATTTTTTTTTTTTTGTTTGATTTGAAAATTTTATTATTAATAACTAATTAAATAATTACCTATAAACTGAAAAAAAAATATTATTGAATCAAGAAAACAGTATTAAAATATTTTCTTGATCCAAGAAAATTTTTGATTAATTTGAAATTAATAATTAATTAATTAAAAAATTAATCAAATACGAAATGATATTTTTTTGAATCAATTTTTTTTTTCATTATTTAACTGGGAAAAAATAATTTTTATTTAAAATAAATTAAAATTTTTTTTTAAATTTCATGAAAATCAATATTCAGTAACGTTATATTATTTATAATTAATATTCAATTAAAATGAAATATCATTTTACCGGGTGTTAGATTCCATAGTTATTTGGTATCATATTATCACCTCTAATTATATATAGAATTCCTTCCCTTTCCATTACAAGGAGTGAAATTTCACTCCAGGAATTTAGAAAGTAAACGTTGGATTAAAAAAAAAAAACACACCCTTAAAAAAGCATCCAAGTGTCTATATTATTGAAAGCACGTGTTTTTGATAGCGCACATGTGCGTGAAAAAATTAGTACCGCATATATAAAAAAAATTCTTTAATGAGAAAAATTTTTTTTATTCAAAAATCCAAATTAAAATAAAAATTCTCAATTAACAAAAATTTAAAAAACTAAAATTTTGAAACAAAAAAATTAGTGAAAAAAAATTTTTAAATTACAAAAAAAGGAAAAACAAAAATTTGTAATTTTTTTATTTTAAATTTATTTTTCCGAGATTTGCATAATATTATTCCCCTGTTATTTTTTTTTTTTTTTTTTTTTTTAACCTGCGCGCGATTCAATGTCTTTATTCGCGCGCGAGAACAAAACAAAAGAGGAGAAAAACTTGTGCGAGGAAACTCATATATGGTAATTTTTGAATGCGCGAGAGTTGAACCGAAGGTTGATGTTCTCTCTACTCTGCACATATATGACTAATGCTGCAATCATTTTAATTACATTTACAAGCCACCTTATAAGAAAAGTTACCCCACAAAGGGTTCTGAAAACTATAGATATATCAAAAGATGCATTTTTGAGGTGGTAGAAAAAAAAGAGGATTTTTTTTTTTTAATTACAAATTGTATTTTATTTTTTACAGGAAAAAAAAATTATTTTTTTATCTATATAGAATAGAAAAAAAAATTAATTGGAATAAAAAAAAATGTTTATAAATATTTATAATTATTTTTTATAATATATATTAATTTATAATTATTATTATATAATTTTATTTATAATTTTTTTTTATAATATATATTAATTTACAATTATTATTATATAATTTTATTTATAATTATTATTTATTTTGTACAGTATCTATCGAGTTGATACGAATCACCAGGTGGGACATTGAATGTGTAGAGGAGAAAAAAAAAAAAATGTCCCACCGAGAGGGACCTGATGCTGGAAAGGGAGATTATCATTGAGGGAGCTGCTTCGAACGATGTGGTTAGCAACATCGTCGCCCTTATCTTCTCAATACACCTGCTCCATGCATTCGCTTTTCCAATTGCATATATTTTATATATTAATATATATATATATATACGAACACATGTATATGGCACTAGATTTAATGTCAACTCTTTCTCGTCCATACTATAATACCTGTTACTTGAAAATGAAGCAGAAAATTCCCCCTCTTGTCTGCATCCTTCAAAACCTTCTGTTCCAGACAAGAGATAAAAAATATTCTGGAAGTGACACTCACGTTTTTGTGTTTGTAAAAAATATTTTCTAATTTTTAGACGTTTTTTTTTTAAATTTTTCATTTTCCAATTGTTTTTTTTTTTTTGTCGTACAATTCGAAAAATATTCAAAAGTTCTAAATTCGTTTTTTTTCAATTTTTTTTTTTGTACAATTCCAAAAGAAAAATTTTTTTTTGAATAAATAAATTTATAAACACAAAAAACATATTTTAATTTGCAATCATTGATCAATTAAATCCAAAGCATTTTTCATCAATATTAATAATATCACATTGACATTGACCCACGTGAATGAGGTTAATTCTTTTATCATATATATACGTAATTTCTAAACACAAAATATATTTTATTATCATATAATTGTATTTTTAATCTAGAAAAAAAAAATTGACAAATTATATCCAAGATTATTAGTGAATTCCAATTTTGAAAAGAGGGATCTAATTATTGATTTTTGTTTTCTTGTTGACTCTTTTTCTTGAACATGATGATAAAGAAAAACTCAAGTCCACGTCTTTGAACGCACGTCAATTCCATATTAGCAATTAGAGAATTCTCTCGAGGACTTTGCGCTCCAAAGAGCGTATTTTTTTTTTTTTTTTTTTAACTGTGAGAGAAATATTCCTCATTAATTCCGCCTTTGACAATGTTTGTGCGCGTCGAGATATTTATGCAACTCGGCAACTCGCGAGCGTCACAGATGGAATTGCTTAGGTCTTTCGCGAAAAAAAAAGAAAAAAAAAAGATTAACTTCCGGAAGTAGCTAATTTTTTTTTCTTACTATAAAATTATAAGAATTTTTTTAAATTTCGATTTTTATTTTCCAATTGTTTTTTTTCTCATTTCAAGATTAGTAATATATAAATTTTTTTTCTTTTTTAGAAAAGAACGTGTCTACATTTGGAAGAGCAACGGCAAACAAAAGTGGAAATCTTCAATAACAGGTGAAGCAGAGGGATTTAAGTCAAACGAGAAAGAGAGAGGCAGTGGAAAATAAAAAAATAAAAAAAGACAGATTACAACTGCGTTGGTAGGAAACGTTCTCTTGACGTCATTGCCACGAGGACGACGACATTCGTTTTATCTCTGGGTTCAAGAAGGCAACTCCAATGCGTTTCATATCCTTGTGAGGATTCTCAAGTCCCAATGCTAACAAACAACAAATTGCAACGACGTTCTTTACATGAAGAGAGTGAAAAATCACCTCAAAATTGAAAATAAAAAAAAACCATGTGTTTGCAAATAAATCCCATCATCATTCCATCATCAATTTGGCCTTCTTCTTATGAAATGCGGATCGACAATCTCTCATAATAATTATTGTAAATTATCAATTAAAAGTGAACCGAATAAATGTAAATTTTGAAAGAATGAAGTAAAAACGAAATATCTGCATTAAAAAAGAATTTTGAATTTGGAAAATTGGATTAAAACAAACAAATTACAAATTTTGAAATAAAACGTCAAGGGGAATAATCAACAAAAAAAAAAAAAAAAAAAAAGAAAAAAACTTTCTGGACTTTGAAAATAGATGGGAGCAAGTCTGATTGCAGACTGGGTGTTTAAGCCCAAAGAAAGATTTTCCAGTATTGAACTACTTGCAAATTTTTCACGAGCTCATCTTCCTCTGCATTTTCGACAAAGCTGTCTTGGACAATTCTCCTTGGTTCGGCCACGCAAACTCGATCAAGCTGGAATTGATGGAGTTGGAGAACATCGTAGCAAATACTGTGTACCTGAAAGCCAGAGAAGGTACGATATAAGACATTTACACAGAATCGTACGGAATTAATTACTTAAATTCCAGGCCTCGGATTATACGATTTTTTCGACTATTTCCAACTTTTTATTTCAAAAATACGTCTTTTTTCGACTTATTTTAATAAAATGCGATTATTTCGACTTTTTCTTTTACATTTTTTAAAAAAATTTTTTAAAAAAATATATTTTTTTTTTAGTATAAAATGCAGATCTTCTTCATATCTTCTTTATTTCAATTATTTAACAAAAATTCTTCACTAAATTAATTATTTTTAATAATTTTAATGAAATTCATCACAGAATTTAATTATATCAAATTATTTTTCAATTGAAATTTTTATAAAATTTAACAATTGTTTATAATTTAAAAAAATAACAAATAAAATTACCAAAAATTTTTGAATTCAAAATCATAAATCAATTCAAAATCAAAAATAAAATAGTTTTTGGCGTCGAGATACTTATACTCGAACTTTTTTCGCTCGTCTGTTGTTGCATTATTTTACCTTTTATGGTTGTTTGTTTTCGGTAAAAAAGTGACCAGAATTTTTTATGTGATGTGCCGTTTCTTATGTGATAAATATTATTAATACTTTCTGTCAGTGATATGAGTTTTTTATTATAATTTGTCTCCCCACGTGCTAATCTAGTACTCTATCCACAAACATTGACTCGTTACATAGACTACCTTTATAGTGATCACAATGCTAAACCCTTTAGAAACAAACGATCCCCAGAATTGCAGATGGTGTAAAAAGAAGGTCGTGAACCCTGTGTCTTGCCCTGTATGCTCCGCTAATTACCACCCTTGTTGTGCTGAAAAAACAAAAAAACTTTCAAGCGGCGGTTTCTCAAAATGTTGCGGCCCTGTTTCATCGCCGGCTGTCTCTCCTCTACCTACACCAGAAGCCTCAGGGACGCAGACTAGTGTTTTCTGTTTTCCTGCAGATACGAGTAACCCTTTCCAAATAATATCTCAACAAATATCAAATCTCTCGACTGACACGAAGAATGGTATGCATCGACTTGAGACTTCACTATCCGAACTTAAGGTGGGATTCGATGAGTTTAAAACGCGTTTGGATAATGTTGAAGGTAAAGTTGACACTGTCCAAAATGAAATGATTTTAGTTCAGGGCCGTGTTGAGACTTTAGAATCATTAATAAATACAAATGTTGATTCTACAGATTCTATATTAAAAGAATTTGAAGATATGCAAAGACGCAAGTCTAATTTATTAATTTTTGGTCAACCTGAAGTTCTCAACGATGGCGGCAATTATAATTCTGATCTTGATAAGGCTGGTGTACAAGATCTTATCAACTCTATCTTTACTACACCAATTACCTTCGTTGATTCCCTTAAAATCTCAAGAATTGGTAAATTTTCTCAGGCCCGCCCCGATCCGAGGCCAGTCAAGATTATATGCGAGACCCAAGTCCAGGCATCGTCGATTCTATCTGCGGCAAGGTCACTCCGGCTGACGAATTCACCGATTCTGCAAAGACTCTCGTTTGTTCCAGACAGAACCATGCGCCAGCAACAAGCATTCAGGGACCAGAAATTGATAATGGACGAACGAATCAAGAACGGAGAAACAGATCTAGTCATCCGCTATATCAAAGGAATCCCCACTATCACCAAGAAACGGCCCCCAACATAACAACTCGGTCTACAAATTTCGTTTTGAATTTTTACTATCAGAATGTTCGCGGCCTTAATACAAAAATATCTCAATTTGAAGCTTTCCCAGATTTTGACTTATATGATATTTTTATCCTTACTGAAACATGGCTCTCTCCTTCAGTGAATTCCAACGAGCTCTTTCCAGCAACTTCATTTAACGTGTACAGGGATGATAGAGAATACCGAAGAGGTGGAGGTGTATTGGTAGCAGTGAAGTTCGATTATAATGTAGACGTCATACCTATTACTTTCCCAGATGTTTTAATTAACCATTTTAATTTTTTGGCTCTTAGAATAATCAAAAAGAATATTACTATTGATATTATTTCGCTATATTTACCTCCTAATTTATCTTTTAAATACTTTACTGATATCTTCGATTGTATAAAATCACAGTTGCAAATTTTTTCTAAACAAATTATAATTATTGGAGATTTTAATGTTCCCAGTTTTGTAAATTATGACCATAACGATATTTCAGATTTACTTGTGACTGATCAGAAACTCAAAGCTCTAGTATCTCTTGCTGCCACATTTGATATCACACAAATAAATAAGATCCGCAATTATCGTGGAATTTGCCTAGACTTAATTTTTACATGTGCTCCCGGGAACGTTTTCCATCCCTCTTTTTCTATTGTTCGGGAAGATATGCACCATCCTTCACTTAGTGCCCATTTATCATTTCCTAACTCCTTCCCTATGCAATCAGATCACATCATAACTGGTGGAGAACCGAGATTTAATTTTAAGTCTGGAAATTTTCCAACGATTTACTCAAACCTCGCTTCTTGGGATTGGTCTCCTATTAAGGAATTTGATGACATAAACGAGGCGTCTAATTATTTGGAATCTAAAATCTTGGAGTTATTTAATGAGCATATTCCCACTTTTTCTAATAACAAACCTAAAAATACCAAATTTCCTTCTTTTTTTACATGTGATATTATAAATGATATAAAGTTAAAAAATACTATTTACAGCAGATATCGTCGCAGCGGTTCACCTCGACTCAAGGAACAGCTTCAACACCTTACCCGTAGTTTAAAAAAACGTATCTCTCAAAAGCAGAAGCTGTTTTTTGACGAAATCGAGTTGGACTGCTCAGCTAACCCAGAAAGCTTTTGGAAATTTGTAAATCGGGCAAAATCACAATCGCGCATTCCTTCGGTCATGAAATTAAATGATAAAATATTTGATACCCCTCAGAGTATTGTTGATGCCTTTGCCGAATATTTTTCAAGTGTTTATCAACCTGGTGATGCGCCTGATGATGAGAACAATTTTTCTAAAAACTTTCAATTTTCAAATGACTTTCAATTATCATCATCAGACGTATCACTTGCAATGAAATCACTAAGTACAAAGAGCACAGCAGGAATTGATAAAATACCTAGTTTCTTTTTAAAATCCTGTTACGCTATACTTTCTCCACCTTTATGCTATTTATTTAACTCCATGTTATCAAGTGGTACATTTCCTCGTTCATGGAAAGTTACAAAAATTGTGCCCGTCTTCAAAGCGGGTGCTAAGGATGATGTAAGGAACTATAGACCGATATCCATTATTTCTAATTTTGCTAAAATTTTCGAGAAGTCTATAGTGAGTTATATCACCTATAGTTTGGCACCCGTCATTGTTGATGAGCAACATGGCTGTATAAATAATAGATCAACTACTACTAACTTAGTAAGCATTACTCAGTATATTAATCAAACTATATCGGAAGGAAACCAGCTTGATGTGGTATATACTGATTTTTCCAAAGCCTTTGATAGTGTAGATCATGAGCTCCTCTTCTCTAAACTTTCTGACTTAAATCTCCCTGCTAGCCTTTTTTCACTTCTACAGTCCTACCTTGTCAATCGCCCCAACATGGTTCAATATAATGGATTCTCTTCACAGTCATTTATCCCTTCATCTGGTGTTCCTCAAGGATCAGTTTTGGGGTCATCCCTTTTTAATATATTTATAAATAACGTTTCTAATTGTTTAACTGTTGGTAAACTATTGTATGTAGATGACCTCAAAATATTTCATCCGATTAAATCATTAGAAGATGCTGAATTCCTTCAATCCAACCTTAATGATTTTGTTCGGTGGTGCCTAAATAACAAGCTCAAATTAAACTTAGATAAATGCTATATTGTTAGCTATACGCGGCGTGAGACTCTGATAAGCCACAAGTACTTTATAGATAACATTGAATTAACTAGAAAAGATTCGATCCGCGATTTAGGCGTTCTGTTTGATTCGAAATTAACTTTTATACCTCATGTGGAAGCTGTTGAATTAACTGCCACTAGGTCTCTGGGAAGCTTAATTAGGAATGCTCGAAACTTTAAAAATATAGATACTTTTATTTTATTATTTAATGCCCTTGTTCTTTCCAAATTTAACTATGCAACGATCCCATGGAATCCTGTCTTTGACAAATATGTTCAAAACCTTGAAAAGATTCAAAAGAGATTTTTAAAGTTTCTATCTTTCCGAAAGAATCATGTTTACCCCCCACGAGGATCTGATTACTATGAATTATGCAAAACCTTTAATTTTTTAACCTTAGCGGAACGTCGATTTATAAATCAATCTATTTTTCTATTTAAACTGCTTAATTATACAATTAATTGTCCAAACCTTCTTGAAATGATAAGACTAAAAATACCGAGACAACAATCACGTTATTATCAGCCATTTTCGCTGCCTATGCCTCACTCTACAATAGGTTTTGCTGCACCCATATATAATATGTGCAATGGCATAAATGTAATGTGTTTACACCATGATGTAAATATAGACTTTTTTGGAATGTCCTTAAATTCCTTTAAAAGCGTTATATATGATTATATTATTGCTCGGCGTTAGATTATAGTTTACCTAACAATATATTTTTCTTTTTATAATATATATTAGTATAATGCTGTTATTAAGATCTAATACTTTACAATGTTTTCTTTTTGTTTTTATGATTAATGCAATTTTTATTTTTGTTATTATGTAGATCTTATATTCTTCAATTATTTTTGTTATTTTCGTTTGACACAAATGTATTGCCCTTCAATGGTCTTTTGACTGTGGGCTCGATATTTTGATTCAAATAAAAAAAAAAAAAAAAAAAAAAAAAAAAAATAAAATTCAATTATTTTCAAAAATTTCAATTTAAAATCAACTAAAATTCAATTATTACCCAAAATTTCAATTCAAAATCTTTTAAAATTCAATTATTTTCCAAATTTTCATTTTAAAATCAAATAAAATTCAATTATTTTCCAAATTTTCAATTTAAAATCAAATAAAATTTAATTATTACTATTATTATTATTTAATTTCAATTCAAAATGAATTAAAATTCAATAATTATCCAAAATTTCAATTCAAAATTAATTATTATCAAAATTTTCAATCAAAAATCAACTAAAAATGAATTATTATCCTAAATTTCAATTATAATTTAATTATTTTCAAAAATTTGAATTTAAAAGCTTCTAAAATTTAATTATTATCAAAATTTTCAATCAAAAATCAACTAATATTGAATTATTATCCAAAATTTTTCAATTATAATTTAATTATTTTCAAAAATTTGAATTTAAAAGCTTCTAAAATTTAATTATTTCTAAAATTTTCCATCGAAAATTTTTTGAAATTTAACAATTTCCATTATAACTCTAATGAAATTAAATTATTTTTAACTATTTTTATAATAATCTTTGAAAATTCAATTATTTCTAAAAATTTCAACTTTAACTATTCCAAAAGTATTATTATTTTAAAAAAAAATTTATTTAAAAATCTGTAAAATATTTTTGTTAAAATAAAAAAAATCGACTTTCTCGACTTTTTTTGGAATATAAAATCGACTAAAACGATTTTTTTTTTGTGCCTTTAAGTCGATCCGAGGCCTGAAATTCCTTTGGAAAGTCAGAAAAAATTACTCTTTTCGAAATTACAATTAAAAAAAAAGGATTTTTAATAAAAATTTAATAAAAATAAAAAATATTTTACAAATTTAATAATAAAATATTAATCAAATTTATTAAGAATTAAATAATCGATTTTTTTTATGAAACCGTAATTAAATATTCAAATGTAATGACGAAAGTGTATATTTATCTGATTCAGTGTTTTAATTAATAATTGACGCGCGATAATAAATTAAGAGTTTGAATTACTGACATACCTAGAGTAAACGTTTATATATAAAAGATACAGAGAGAGAGAGAGAGAGGAAAAGAATTATTATTTACTATGCAATTTGAGATGACTTGAACACGAATTTAAAATTTATCATAAAAATGTAGATATTAAATTTAACGATTAAATTATTGCATTTGTGTGAAACACATGCTAATTTTGATAAGTCTCACCACACCTCGTAAATTCAAGATACGTGGGTATTATATTCGTATATAAAAAAGAAAAAAAAATGCAATCATTAACGACAGAGGACGTGTTTATATGTATATAATTTTTGTGATAAAGCGCGACAAATGCGACGAATAAAAAATTTTTTGTTTTATCTTCAATTTTTGTCATAATTCACGGAGCTAATTTCTATTTCTATAGTTACCAAATTTTAATTGTATTTTTATTTTTTAGAATAAAAAAAAAAAATTCTTTAATAAAATAACGAAATTAAAATTGTGAAAGAGAATTTTATTATTGAAAATTTATAATGACAAAAAAAAGTTTTTTTTAACGCTTTTAAATTTATTAAAACGAAAAAATAATAATAAAGATTCAAGTCCACGATAGTATTATGCTGATGCTTGATAAACGACTTTTCTCTCTCTCTCTCTCACACTACCGGTTTTTAATGTGCAATCGAAAACTTGGCCGCGAATGTCGACAGCTCTCCTTCCACTTTTTTTTTTCTCGTATATTACCACCAGGTCTTTCAAGCTTTTTTTTTTTGTCGATTCTATATAGCTTTCCCCAGGAGCTTTTCCCTTTTGATGAATCTTACAAACAACCGTCTCCAAACTTTAATCCTACGATTCTGATATTTTAATAAATTATTCTCAAGATTTTTACTTTTTTTTCAAGAATGCAAATATTTTCCTTCCCTTTGGAGGGGATTTCTTAATTAATTGAAATTTTCTTCTCCTTTTTTCTTAATGACAGTTAATTTTCCAAAAAAAAAAAAAATAAAGTATATTTTTATTTTTCGTTTTCTTCCAATTTTCACGATTAAATTTGTATCGAAAAAAAATTCATTTCGTTAAATTTCAAAAAAAGAATTTCCTAAAAGAAATGTTTAACAAAAAAATATAAGAATAGAGTGCGGATCTTTTAAGTAAATGAATAGTAAATGTTTTTTTTTTTTTTTTGTAAATAATGTTGAATTCTGGCTTGAAATAAAAATCTTCAATGTGCTCTTTGAAATTTACAGTTTGTGCTCTTTTCGCCAACGTCTCTATAACGAGAAAAAGAGTTGTTGTATTTTTGAAAATAAAAGGAAATTGTATCGAGTCTCTTCGTCTCGGGTCATCTCTATCTTCTATTTCAGAATAGAATCCAATAAGAAAAAGTACAATCGTAAACACAAAGAATAAAAATTTATTTTCCAGAAAAGAAAACAATTCAATCATGAGAGAAAAGTTTCAAGTCGATTTTCTTATTCTTTTTTCTTTTTTTTTCTTACTATTACTTTTTTTTTTTTTTTTTTTGCTTTCAGGTGGTGGTGACAGCAACAAAGGAAAGAGTAAAAAATGGAGGAAAATACTACAATTTCCGCACATATCCCAGTGCATTGGCCTAAAAGATAAATTGGGTAAGTGATGTTATTATCAATTTGGATTTTTTAATCGGAAAAAAAAAAAATTAGGGAAAAATAATTTAATTATTATAATTAAATTCTTTAAATCAAGTAAATTAAATTATTATTTATCAATTATTTGAATTTAAATAATAGAAGACATTTCTGAACGAAAACGCGATATTGAATATCTTCTCGTGAATAAAAATTCCTCTCTATAATGAATCTTTATGACCAGCTGCAAATGCAAATATTTAGCAGTAAAGAAACACAAATTGGAATATATGATATTAATGAAAAAAATTCTTAAATCGAAAATGAGAAAAAAAAAATAATTTCTTACTTTTAGAATTAAAAACTATTAAAAATGCCTTTTATATATATATATATATATACATATCTTCGAATAAGAAATATCCGATAGAGTTCATAAGTAGCACGTTTTCCCCCTTCGACGAGTATGATTTAATCACTACTCTGACCCTTCGCTGACCTCATCTCGAATTATTGAATATCTGCACCCTCTGCACTTATTGAAAAAAAAAAAATAATTTGGATTAAGAACCTTTAAGAAATACTTAGGGAAGAAAAATATGATAAAAAATTCAAAGCTATTTGGTATAAAAATTTACTAAATTCAAGAATTAAAAAAAAGAAATAAAAAATTAAAAGTAAAAATTTCATTTACAACAGCAAAAAATTTTCGTTTTCAATATATAAACTATCGACTTTACGAGGTGGCAACGGATGTTTTCATTGTTTATAAAAAAAAAAAAAAAATGTTTGCACACACGACATGTTTGAAATGAAGTTACTTTGTACTTTTATGGCACCATTCAAGATTGAGAATATAATATTGAAGCTCTTTTTAAAGTTTATAAGCTCCACTAGTTCATAAATTTAGTCCTTATGTTTCATATTTCTCATATAAGGCTTTCAATTCCACAACTAATTTGGAGTTTATGAGAAACCTTATAGCAAAATATAAATCAATTATTATAATTCAAATTACCTTCTATTTGATAGAAATACAGAATTTTTTTTAATTATTTAAAAAACAAATTTATTTTATATAAATTATCATTTTAATCAACGATAAATTTTTCTATTTTTAGTAAATTTTTCTCAATGATAAAATATTGAATTACACGTAATAATATTTTCGATAGATAAATTATAATATAGAGAAAACGTTGCACACAAATCCTCCCAATGAGATTATTTTGTGAAAACAGTTTATTCATCAAAGGGTTTTCTTAATTAATAAATGAAATGTCAACTTGAAAAACGAGTTATCTTGTTTGATCCCGTTTCCTCGTGCAGATTAAATCAAGTATTCACAAAATCAGTTATAACAATCTTTAATCTCGTTTCAGAGATTTTCATCTTATTAATTATTTCCAATCTTTAAGTGACAAATTTTCTTTTTATATTATTTCCATTGCAAAAAAATTTTTTTTTTTTTTTATTTATTTTTAGTAATTTTTATTTAACTTTTTGGAAAAATTAAATTATAATAAACGATGAATTATTTTTATTTATTTGAATTTATTTATTTCAGTGATCGGATATATATATATATATATATCAATGCGCGGAAGCTTGGCAAGGGAAAATATAGAAATTCAAGATAGAGAATGCGTGAATATATATAGGAAAAGGGTTTGAGGGAATGTACTATCATTCTCGAGAATTTGCATTCACTGTATACACAAACAGCACACTGATGTCCCAAGCTCGGTTTCCTTGGTGTCTATCGTAATGATCCATATAGAACATGATTCGAATATTTCCTCCCGCAGCAGACATCTTATCACCCTTCATCAATCTTTCTCTCAAGTTGAGTGAAAATGGATTCCATTCTATTTTCAAAGTTTCCTCAAATCTTCATAGGAGATAAATTGTATTTTTCTCTCTCAAAAAAAAAAATTTCTTTTAATTAGTAATTAAATAAAAAAATTTTTCGCTTTTTTAATTCCTTTTTTTTGTGAAAGAAAAATTTTTTTTTTTTGTCACGATGAGACAATATTTTCGCAGAACTCCATTATCGTAATCAGAAATTAATGAATTGAAGCACTTTATTTAATTACTGCTTATATTCGTGATATTAATAAAGTTTTAATGAGAGACATGATTATATATATATATATGTATATATGGCAAGCACACTTCCAATGTTCGTTTTCATATATATTTATCAAGAGTCCTTTATATACGTGCGCTTTGAAATTGCTCGTCTATATGCAGAATAAAAAAAAGAAAAATTGAGATCTGGGTAGCGCGCCTTTATTGTTTAACCCACTAAGATAACAGGCGCGTACACGTTTATGGTCGACGCCAACGTTGATGGAAAATCAATTCTGAAAAGACGCGATTATTATTTAACACCGCCGTGTGGATGATCGATGAAAATGCGGTCGCTTTTATTAGATATTTAAAATTATTTCACGACTTTTGTACAATTTTCTGAAATCTATAAAAAAAATTTCTTCGAATTTCCAATGATTTGAATTCGTATTGTTCGAATTTTCATTTTTAATTAGAATTTATTGAAATTGAACCGAATTTTCATTTATATTTTCCTTAAATAAAATTCGATTCTGTATTTTTTTAAAATTCGAGTAAATTTGAAATTCATTTTAGAAAATGAAAACTACGAAAATTCCTATGAATTTCCAGTATTTTTGAATTCGTATTGTTCGAATTTTCATTTTTAATGAAATCTTTAGAATTTATTGAAATTGAACCGAATTTTCATTTATTTTTCTTTAAATAAAATTCGATTCTGTGTTTTTGTATAATTTGAGTAAATTTAAAATTTATTTTATAAAATGAAAACTATAAAAATTCCTTAAAATTTCCAGTGTTTTTGAATTCGCATTGTTCGAATTTTCATTTTTAATTAGAATTTATTGAAATTAACCCGAATTTTCATTTATTTTTTCCGTACATGAAAAAATTCGTTTCTGTAATTTTTGTAAAATTCGAGTAAATTTGAAATTCATTTTATAAAATGAAAACTATGAAAATTCCTTTTAATTTCCAGTATTTTTGAATTCGCACTGTTCGAATTTTCATTTTTAATGAAATCTTTAGAATTATTGAAATTAAAACGAATTTTCATTCATTTTTTCCTTAAATAAAATTAGATTCTATATTTTTGTAAAATTCGAGTAAATTTGAAATTTATTTTATTTAATGAAAACTATAAAAAATTCCTTTGAATTTCCAGTGTTTTTTTTCGAATTTTCACTTTCAATTAGAATCGATTGAAAATGAACCGAATTTTCATTTATTTTTTCCTTAAATAAAATTCGATTCTGTATTTTTTTAAAATTCGAGTAAATTTGAAATTCATTTTAGAAAATGGTAACTATAAAAAATTCTTTCGAATTTCCAGAGTTTTTGAATTCGCATTGTTCGAATTTTCATTTTTAATTAGAATTTATTGAAATTGGACCGAATTTTCATTTATTTTTTCCTTACATAAAAAAATTTGATTCTGCATTTTTGTAAAATTCGAGTAAATTTGAAATTCATTTTATAAAATGAAAACTATAAAAATTCCTTTGAATATCCAGTGTTTTTTTTTCGAATTTTCATTTATTTTTCTTTAAATAAAATTCGATTCTGTGTTTTTGTAAAATTCGAGTAAATTTAAAATTTATTTTATAAAATGAAAACTATAAAAATTCCTTCGAATTTCCATTTTTAATTAGAATTCATTGAAATTAACCCGAATTTTCATTAATTTTTTTCTTACATAAAAAAATTCGATTCTGTATTTTTGTAAAATTCGAGTAAATTTTGAAATTCATTTTATAAAATGAAAACTATAAAAAATTCTTACGAATTTATAATGTTTTTAAATTCACATTGTTCGAATTTTCAATTAAGAAATTTAACCGAATTTTCATTTATTTTTTTCCTTAAATAAAATTCGATTCTGCATTTTTTGTTAAATTCAAGTTTTAAAATTCAATTTACAAAAATTTGCTATATTGAAAATTCAAAATAAAACTCTCTCTTTGGAATTTATAAAGTTGGCAATAATTTAAATTTGATTATCTATTTACTATAATTATACTATCGTATTACTATGCTGGCCATTGTCGTATAAGAAACTAATTATTACCTAGGCAGAAAATATAAGGTCACAAGACACCTATGATTTAGGTGTTTGTAGAGTATATATAAAGTAAGGTAAATTGCTTGTTTGTACGATGGATCGAAGAAGATACAAATATCGCAAACACACTAGGTCATCTTTAATGATATTTTTGTATTATATATCAGGCACCGCAAATTATCGCACCTTATTTTTCCATTAAAAAAAAAAAAATTTAATTTTTTCATAAATATAGAAAATTGAAATTCAATAATTATTCTTCATTTCTTTTTTTTGTCTACAAAAATAATTTTTTTTTTTTTAAATCATTTTTTCAAAGATATGTTTGGATAAAAATGTTTTCATGTGATTTTTTAAAAGCACGCGCGATAAATTATTTGTGAAAAGGTAAAATTTGTTATTGTCTGGCTTTCACCTCGTGTGTGTCAGTATTTCACATCGATTCCAGTTGAACGAGTCTCAACTTCCAGTTGATTGAAGAGCATTCTTATGATGGTATATAGCTTCACGTATTAGAGAGCAAGTCAGAGGAGAAATAAGTATTCGATGGAAAATGTTATTCTATATATGTAGTATCAATATATACGTATATCAATTTATTCTTTCTTATCCTAACGAGACATCATTTAGAATTTCTATTCTGATTTCAATCATAGAAATTTTATAATAAATCGTTAAAACGCCTCAGCTATTTTACTTTTATCGTAAATTGGAATTTATCGGCATATAAAAATAGGTTTTTTTTATTATATTTTCTCTAACGCTTTTTATTAAGAGGAAAATTTACTTTTTGTAAAATTAAGAATGTTTTTTTAATTATAATTTAAAATAAATATTATTTTTTTTTTGTTATTATATAATAATAAAATGCTTGGTCTGTCCTTCTGTCCTAACTTGAAGTTGGCCTTTTCTAATTTCACGTGTTTTTTTGAATAGTAATCTTATGACGTGTCAAATTTTGACAATTTTTTTTTCTCATTTTTGCCAAAGTTGTATAATTGTGTTTTCAAATTTCGGAATAAGTTTCTTTAAAATTGCAAATTTGAAAATTCAATTCACGAAACTGAAGTACACAACGTTTACCAACGAAATTTATGATGAGAAAAAAGATGCGCCAGGAAATTTTGTAGAAGATAGTAATTTGAAAAAAATTAATTTTTAAGGTACCAGGGGCCAACGAATATCTATTAAATATTAATTATAAAAATACAGGCCTCGAATCAACTTAAAGACACAAAAAAGTCGTTTTAGTCGATTTATATTCCAAAAATATAATTTGTTTTTTATTTTAACAAAAATATTTTTCAGATTTTGAAATAAAAAAAAATTTTTTTTTTAATAATAATCCTTTTCGAAGGCTTAAAGTTGAAATTTTTAGAAATAATTAAATTTCAAAAGATATTGTTAATTTTCAAACAATTATTAAATTTTACAGAACTAAATATAATTTATCAAACAATTTTTAGAAAAAATTTTTTAAATTTAATTGAATTTTCAAAGATTTAAAATTGAGATTTTTGAAATTAATTAATTAATTCAAAATTTGAATAATTAATTTTGTATAGAAATTTTAGAAAATAATTGAATTTTATTTCATTTTAAAATGAAAACTTGGTAAATTTTAAATTGAAAATTTTTGATAATTATTGAATTTTAATTGATTTTGAATTAAAATTTCTTGTAATAATTGAATTTCAGTTCATTTTGAATTGAAAATTTTGGGAAATAATTGAATTTTAATTGAAATTTTGGATAATAATTTAATTTCATTTCATTTTTGATTGAAAATTTGGATAATTAATTTTGTATAGAAATTTTAGAAAATAATTGAATTTTATTTCATTTTAAATTGAAAACTTGGTAAATAATTAAATTTTAAATTGAAAATTTTAGATAATTTAATGGATTTTTAATTGATTTTGAATTAAAATTTCGGGTATAATAATTGAATTTTAGTTTATTTTGAATTGAAATTTTTTAAAAAATAATTCAATTTTATTGTGATATTTTTTTTATTGTAAATTATAAACAATTGTTAAATTTCATAAAAATTTTAATTGAAAAAGTAATTTTGATATAATTGAATTTGTGATGTATTTCATTAAAATTATTAAAAATAATTAATTTAGTGAAGAATCATTTTAGTTCAAAATTTGTTAAATAATTAAATTGAAAAAGATCTGAAGAAGATATCAATTTTATACTAAAACAATGTATTTTATTTACATTTTTTTAAAATAAGTCGATGATAAAAGTCGTATTTTTGAAAAAAGTCGGAAAAAGTCTTATAATCCGAGGCCTGTAAACATATATAATTTTCATTATTATTAATATTTTATTTATTTTGTATTTAATTTTGCTAGTTTAAAAATAAATATTATTTTTTTTTTTTTGTTTGCAGACATAAGATACGGCTATGTCGTTGATCAGCAGCCGATTGGGCGGCTACTTTTTCGGCAATTTTGCCAGGATAAAAAGCCAGCTTATCATAGTTACAATCTGTTCTTAGATGCAATTGAGAAATATGAAATTGAAATGGATGAGAATCGCACAGAGTTTGCTAAACGACTTTTTGAACAATATTTGAAACGAGAGGGTTCTGAAGTTATTGACATTTTAAATGATTCCTTAATTTCACAGTGCGAAGAGAGACTTGGCTCGGGTGGAAAAGAAATTTTTGTTGAAATTGCACAAACGGTAAAAAATTTCTTGGCCGGCGAACCATTCTCAATATTCCTCAACAGTTACTATTTTCTCAGGTGGGATTTATATTTTAATAATTTTTTAAATTTAATTTAAAAAAAAAAATTTTAATTTATATTTTCTTGTTGAATTTTTAGATATCTTCAATGGAAGTGGTTGGAGGCACAGCCAGTGACGTACAAGACGTTTCGTATGTATAGAGTCTTGGGAAAAGGTGGCTTTGGTGAGGTGTGCGCCTGTCAAGTGAGGGCAACCGGTAAAATGTATGCTTGCAAGAAATTAGAAAAGAAACGAATTAAAAAACGTAAAGGCGAATCAATGGTGCTAATTGAAAAGAATATATTGCAAAAAATTAATTCAAAATTTGTTGTCTCATTGGCTTATGCATATGAGACAAAGGATGCTCTATGTCTTGTTTTAACGATAATGAATGGTGGTGATTTGAAATTTCATATTTATAATATGGGCGGTGATCCTGGTTTTGACATCAATCGTGCAAGGTTCTATGCTGCTGAAGTTGTTTGTGGCCTCGAGCATCTTCATCTACAGGGAATTGTCTATAGAGATTGTAAACCAGAGAATATTCTCCTCGATGATCATGGACATGTGAGAATATCAGATCTTGGTTTAGCGGTGGAAATAACTGAGGATGATATGGTGAGAGGACGTGTTGGAACTGTTGGTTATATGGCACCGGAAGTTATTGACAATGAAAAATATACATTTTCACCTGATTGGTTTAGTTTTGGTTGTCTTTTATATGAAATGATTGAGGGTCAAGCGCCGTTTCGTGCACGAAAAGAAAAGGTAGCTCGCGAAGAAGTTGATCGACGTGTAAAAGAGGATCAGGAAAAATATTCACATAAATTCACTGAGGAGGCAAAAAGTCTTTGTCAACAGTTATTGAAAAAAAGTCCAAAAAATCGTCTTGGTTGTAAATGCGGAAGACATGGTGCAAAGGAGGTGAAGCTTCATAATTTTTTTCAATGCTTAAACTGGAAAAGAGTCGAAGCCGGTATGTGGGAACCACCGTTTGTGCCAGATGTGAGTATTGGTGTTTGTGGAAAATCGATTTTCCACTCGTTAAGTTCTTTACTTATCTCGCTTAGGTTTCTCCTTTTTTTTCTCTTTTTTACGGACATCTAAACTCTGTTTTCTTTTTACACTTGCTTTTTTTTTTTTTTTTTTTTTTAATTGAACATGAAAAATAAATTCTTTTTTTTTCAGCCGCATGCAATTTACGCTAAGGATGTTTTGGACATTGAACAATTTTCAACAGTAAAGGGTATAAATTTAGATGCGACGGATGATACATTTTATAGCAAGTTCAATACCGGAAGTGTTTCAATTCCCTGGCAAAATGAGGTGAGGTCCTTTATCTCTAGTATTTAATCTTACAGCTTGTGTGACACTTTTAATGGAGCTGACCTGCCTTAAAAAAAAGAGAAAAAAAATTCCTGACCTCCCAACGAAAATTACGAAAGTAATCATTTTAAATGTTACATCATGACGCGTCACATTCAATTTATTTACCACGATAAATTTTCTCTTTCCTCGGAAAATATTTTCAATTCTTCTTGACTTATAATAAAAATTTATCACTTTGCAATTTAAAATAAAGTATTCAAAATTAAATTTTTTTTTTTTGGTAAAGTCAATATTCAATGAAGAAGTTAAAAAAATATTATTCTCTGTGAAGTAAAAAGGGAACATTGATGCGGGTCTCTTTTGAGTATTGAGAATCGCTTCTCCTTTGATTTCTGATACGAATTTCTTTTTAAAAAAAAAAAATTTCATCCATCAAACGACTCGAGATTGAATGAAGTCAATCTTTTATTAGACATCCACTTGTCTGTGATTTTAAATGCGAATGCACATTTATTTTATTTTTGCTTTCAGATGATAGAGACCGAGTGTTTCAAGGAACTTAATATAGTTGGTTTAAACAATGCACCCACTCCTGATTTATTGATAAACCATCCTCCACCCAATAATGAAAATAGAGGCTGTTTCCCCTTTAGGAGAAAGGTAATTTCACGTTTATTTCAAATTTAATTAAGAGAAATTAAATTTAATAAAATATAATTTATATATTAAAAAATTATTATCGAAATTTTAGAAGAAACAGAGTGCACGCACAAGACAAATGCCAATAATGGAACGTCATTTATTAGAACTCTTACAGAATCAGAATTGCGAAATACCTGCCAGCTGATCCAGAATGGAATCTGGAATTGTAAGCACATCGACAATGACGATGCATCGTTCAGGAATCATTAGACGTTGTATTTCAATAATACAACGACATTTTAGCGAGATTATAATGTTTACGATGAACGATCCATTAAATGAACAATTTTCTGTAAGTCTACAGTTAAGAAATTTGAATGAGAATGGACGAATTTATGGAGTAGAACGTTCGCCTAATGCACTTGGACAATTTTCGTACAGGGCAAGAGAACTTAATTATTCAAATTCATCAATTGGTTAATTCTATTATTCTACAAGTCTATACAGTTAAGAAATTTTAACGAGAGTAAACGACATTTTGAAGTAGAACATTCGCCTAATGTACTTGGACAACTATTGTACGAGGCAAGTCAACTTAATTATCCAAATTCATCAATTAATTCAATGGCAGAGATTTGATTTTTTTTTTTAACGAAAGTGAGGGTTTTTTTTTGGGAATTTTAAAAAAGAAATTCTCGTTTTTTTCTAAATAGAGATTTTTTTTTCTATCAAGGGGAACAATTCCTTGAAATTCCATCCCACATTGGGTGACATTGAGTCGTGTTTTTTTTTTTTTTTTTTTTTTTACTCAATGAAATCAAAGATCTGAGCACAAAATAGTCATGCTGATGGAGATCGGCGATTAATGAAACGAAGTTTTAGTCCTTAGTGTGAGGAAATACATTTTTATTAGGCAATCGTACCTAGATCATTTTGCATACGCTTAGTTAGGGACTAGAATCATTGTAACAGTACTTTCCGCGAAAAGACAAAAAGAAAACTTGAGCCGTGTCGAGAGTGTTTTATTAAATATTGGACTGAGAAGTTCCTATGGGTTTTTTTTTCTTTTTTTTTTACCAGTAGTTATACTGAAAATACCAATCGTTTGCTAAAAAAAATCTAGAAAATGGGAAAGAAAAAGAAAATTTTTTAGAAAATAAATTCAAAAAAAAAAAAAACAACAAAATAGCACAAATGGTACAATTTTGTATGAATTGGCAGAATATGTATTCATACATTTTCCTTTATAACGCGCATTTCCGTGATATTTTTTTACAAGAATATTTTTAACGTGTTTATCTTTTTTAAATTCAAATACTTTTTATTCTCATACACTTGTATATTGTTGATGAAACATTTTGATAGACCAGGTTTACATTTTACAATGTTGTTTGTTTGTTTATTCTTTTTTTCTGTTTTGGAATAATGCTTTGAGCAAGTACGAATTGCGAGTGTGAAGGGAATTATTATTATTATTTTTTTTAATCGATTTTAATCCCCAAGTTAGAGAATTTATCGGATGCTATTTTTCGTCGTAAATTTTGTAGATGTTAAAAAATGCAGGATTACGTTTAAAAGAAAATTTTTCTACTGTATTAGAAATTTTGTAATTTTTTTAAGGAGAAAAATGTTTTTTGTAAAATACTTTCCCTGAATTGGAATAAAATTTTATTTTTCTCACAGAGCTCCGATCAAAAATGAAAATAAAAATGTTTTATAATGCCACACGTAGAATGTTTCGAATTTGTGAAACTTTATGATATATACCAAACAAACAAAAAAAAAAAAGAAGAAAGAAACGATCAGAAAGTAATTTTTTATTTTGTACCGACACCATTTACAAATAAATGAAAAAAAATGAATGAAATAATTAAAAAAAAGGATGTACAGTGTGAAAATTCGTAGGGGCTTGAGAGTGTTTATGTTTTTAAAGATTTCAAAGTTTTTTTTTTTTTTAATTTTTTTTTTCTTTGTTAAAAAGTATTTTAATGAAATTTTTATTTTTTTACGACCACTGTGGCCAATGTAATGTTCACGTGTGTGATTTTTCAATTATCTCCGAAATCCGTGGCCAGTTTAAATATATTTAAAATAATACACATGTTCGATGCGAGAGACTTGTGTCTCGCGCAATATTTAATATTAATTAATTAATTAAAATACACAAAGAATGAGATGAGTGTCTGTGGCTACTCAAATTCAGCGCTATTTTGCGCTTTCGCTCATATTCGTACGATATAAATGTATTTCCAAATATTTATATAATAGAAGAAAGTTTCGAAGCTACTTGATAAAAAAAAAAAACGTAATTTTCATTCATTTTTTAACTTAACAACTTTCTAATATTCATATTTAATTAAAAAAAAAGATTTTGAGAAAAAAATGTAATTTTACATTTACTGGCGTTAGCAATTTTTTTTTTTCCTAATAATAAATAAAAAATGAAATAGCATCGAAACTCTCTATTTTTCCAGACTCTTAAAAAAAAAAGTTGTCAAAAACAACAAAAAATTATCAGAAACAAAAACAAATTTTTCATTTTGAAAAAAATAAAAGCAACATGTTAGGTTGTTTATCGAGTCGAATTACTGCTTCTGTGTATTGATTTCCGTATATTTCAAGCAAAATATATACCGAAGCAGTCACAGTTGGCAATTATAGGAAAAATGTATTATATTACGATATTAACAAATTAAATTCTGTGGAGGAGCGCTCTCGATTATAATGCAACAAGAAAAAAAAAATTCCCAATAAATTCTAGTTATTTTTATTTGAAAATAAATTTAATTTTCAACTATATTAAATGAATTATTTTATTAAAACCATTTAATTAATTAAACAAATATTAAATAAGAACTATTTATTTAAATTTTGTCCATTATTTTATTTTATTGTATACAAAAGGCTTTTAATTAAATTGAAAATGGGGAAAATTGTGTGCCAGATGCTCCTCCACTGGTCGATAAGTATTTAACAATTAAGAACGTAATGTACATGTTTAATTGTAAGCGATAACTATAGTAATTTAAATTAATTTAATATTAAATTCTAATGGATGGTGCGCGACGATAGATTTAAAAAAAAGGAAATAAAATTAGTAAAGAGAGCCGTTTCGTCCTACGATTCGCGCATTCTTCAAAAACAAAAAAAAATTACATAGTGCAATTTGTCTGTATTTTCAAGCTTAATTCACTGTCTAAATTTACAAATTTAAATCTAGATAGTTGCATATTGATACACATGTGTTCATTCTGTTTCATAAAATCAATGTTCATCACTGTTAAAAAATACACTTCACAAATTAGAGGAGCTTATTGGATTCAAAATATTAAAAAAAAAAAATCAGAAACGAACATTAATATTACATATATATATATATATATATACATATATAAATGTGTGTGCATGTGTGAGTGTAAAAAAAAACTAATTTTCATATATCAGCGAATCGACTGACGATACGGTCTCAGTCCCTTAAAAGAAAAAAAATTTTCCTTATTTTGATTTCTTTTCTAAATAATTTAAAATTGTTGGAAAAATTTTTCTTGAAATTTTAGGGACTGAGGTGCGCAAAACACGAAATAAAAGCTCAAATGTCAATCAGATTTTTATTAAATTAAAAAATGTCTTGTCTTTATTTTCCGGGAACAATAAACCGACGAATTATGTAATCTTAAGAGAAAAAAAAAAAAAAACTTCTATTGTACCTCTTAAATCCAAACGAGACTGTAGCCTCCTCAAATCTAAAAAATGAAAAACGAAAAAAAAAACTGACAACAAATGTATGTTATTTGGCTAAAATTAAATATCAACATTTTGGTCTTTCATGTCTTTGTATTCAGAAATAAATTATAAAACCACGCTCTTTTATACGGAATTAGGAATGTCTTTTTTATTTCAAATTCTAGATTTAAGTTTTCGTTGCATATATATAGTTCTCATTAAACTAAAATTTTAAACTTTGTAAAGAATTTACTAAAAAATTAAAATTCGATTAAATTAAAATTCTCTAAAATTAAGGGATAATTTTAAAAATAAATTGAAAAATTTTGCTTTTTCTTTTTTTTTCATATATTGTATTGTCACAGTTCGCTTATTCTGACATTTTTTTTTTGTTTTTTTTTTTCCTTTCATTCAGATCCTAAGCTACCTGTACCGCAATTTATTCAACCGGGAACATTAAAATTTACAGGATTGCACACACAACTCGTGCTCATTCAATCTTATATAATAGATAATTCACATATTATTTATTACATATACACAATACAATTGATATTGAACGTAATAAAAAAATAATAATATAATCATATATCAAATGCATTCTACTATTTTAGTATGTCTTCATTTTTTTTTTTTTTTCATTATTAATTTTCAGTCGATGCCTTATTGTCACGTGGTAATGTATTTAATTATTTAGTTTATAATTTGCTTTCACATTTTTTTTTACCTTCATTGCTTTTTTTTCAAACTTTCATTACAATCTTAAAATCATTAAAACTAATTTCTAATTTTTTTTTATTTTGGATTTAAGGAAAAATTGACTTTTTAAAGAATTTAAAAGTCGAGCAATAAATGAAGTTATGAATTATTAAACAAGTAAAATAATAATTTAGAATTTATTTGAATTTTAAATTACGGAAATATTGAGGATTTTTAAATTAATTTTGGCAAATTATATATATATATATTTTTTTTAAATAGGTTTCAAGTCAAATTTCCTTAAATTCAATTTTACATTATTCGAAATTTGATTAATTAAACGTAGAATTTTTATATAATTAAATTTCTCGATTGAAAACTGAATATCAGATGTTACAGATATGTTCTAATTAAAAAAATTTTGTTTCACCTTCTAAAGTTTTTCATAAAGAAAGTAAATTTTTTAGAGAACAATTTTTTCTCCTTTTTTAATTGATGAAAAATTGCAAATATCTTAAAAAGAAAATTAGAAAAATTTAATACAAAAATTTGATTTTTTACTAATTAATAAAAATTTTTAATTAAAATGTTTTCAGTTAAAAAAAAAATTGTAATATAATAAAAAAATGTGTTAAATGGAGAAAAAACAGAATTTGACACTTCAATATTTCTTTAAAATTTTTATACAAATATATATAGATTGATCTTTACAATATTGAAGTGTTGTAATAATTATTTAAAAATTAGTGATGCAAATTTTTTTTTTTTTTTTTTAAATAAAAAATTTCAATTTTATAAACGATATGACGTGTAAAAGTTCATGGATATTTATCGAAATCATTAAAGGTCAATTCAAATCGCAGAATGTTAGCGATATGAACAAATTTTTTGTTATTGTTTCGAAGGCATTATTATTTTTCCAATATTTGCGTAATCTGCATAAAATATTTTTACCATAATCACAATAATAATTAATCTAAGATTACGGAAATTTTCATAAAATTTTAATCTTCAAAAAAAGGAAATAAAAATTATTTTCACAACTAAATTAGAAAATAATGTTTATTTAGTCTAAAAAAAAAAATAAAAGATTAAAAGCTAATAATACGTTTAGAAATATAACGCTAATGTTAAAAAAAGACTTAATTAGAAATTACACTACTCAAAAAAATTAACTGCAAAAATACAATTTTAAAAATTTATTTTAATATCCTAAAATATTCCTCAAATCACTAAAATTAATTTATTTTTTAAGCATTGTATCTTAGAGTAAAAACAGTTTGACGATATAATATTTTCTCTTTTTTTTATCAGTTTTAAAATGTGAGTTATATAAGTAGGCGTATAAAAAATCTATCAGCGTACTATTGTAATCGTAGAGTATTTTTGTTTTTTTTTCAATACAAGCAAACAGCATAATAATTTAAAATTATTTACAACTCGCTACGAAATTTAAAAAGACTTTATTGTCTTCTCATGTTTGGATTTTTTTTTCTTTTAATTTAAATATAACTATTTTAAATAAAAATTTAAAAAATTTCTTCAAGATTCTAAATATTGTAAATCCATCAAAATGAAGATATGTTTTTCTTGTCTTTTGAAAAGTTATCCTTTGCTCTAATCTCTATTTCGTAACATTATTTTTCTCTTTTTTTTTTTTTTTTGTTTTTTTTTTTTTTATAATAAACAAATGTAACTTGTATTTGATATCTTTTATATGAACTGGCATTTTGAATAAATATTTAGATTTGTTTATTCTTAATAGAAATGAGTATAATTACGCTTTTTTTTGTTTCTAGATGGATTTTTTAAAATTTAAGAAATTAATATAGAAATATTTCCTAAATATATGAAATTAAATGGAATGTTAAAGGGAAAGTGTTTCTTTTTCTTCTGTAATAAAAATACTTTCTCAATACTATATGCAAATTCGTATCACTAATGCAGAGGGTGATTTAGGACCATTTTCAAAAAATTTTTTGTATAATATTGTCCATTTAAAATTCATGGCAGTCAATTTGTAAATTACAACTAATAGCCGGCGCACGTTAACGACTTTTTACGTGAGATCTGCCATTTTTTTTTTTTTTTTTTTGTAAAGTTTTTTTAAAATACTTTGACAGAATATTTGAAAATTAAAATCACTACAAAAACAATAGATTATCAAAATTATACAAATTGATTCTCATTATTATTTGAATTAAATTATAGAAAAATTAAAAAAAATTATTTAAGTTACTTTAATTTTATTAAATTAATTTAAAAAATCGAATAAATTAATCACTGGAAATTATCACGTTTTGAATTAAAAAAAAAAAAATAATAATACTCAATTCCTCGAGACAAATCAATAGAGTCTGCAAAGTGTGATATTGTCTATTTTGCATCATTGTTTTGCTTTTGTGATAAATCAAGGCAGTGTATAAGAGTGACGATTTTTCTTTTTTTTTTGCTCACAATGTGAAAAATCGAATTGTATTTTGATAGCCTCACAAGATTTTTGCCGGAATTATTTGAAATACATTATAAATACGTATTGTTTTTTTTTTTTCGTTATTATTCCCATTTGATAAAATGATGAATAATTAAACATTCATATATAATTATTTAAATAATGCTGCTCTACGATCAAAATAGTTAAAAAATGTTCAATTCTATAAAATAATATTTTAAATCATTGGAGATTATGAATAATACTGATTGGAAGAAATTAAAAAATAATGACTCATTAAAAGTTAAAACTAAATGTTATTTGATGGTACAGCAGCAATTGAATCAGATTATTTAAGATTTTTTTTTTTTTTTTTTATATCGAATCAGAAGCAGTTTTTCCACTTTTCCAAAAAGAGAAAATGTTTTTCATTATAGAATCGAAAAAATTGCTTTGCGACTGGAAATAATTTCCATATGAGAATTTGTATTTTTTTCTTAAATAATAATAACAATAATAAGCAGATAAATTCTGTTAATGAATTATTTCTATCTGTTATTTGTTATTATCAATAGCAATTTTTTTTAGTATCGAACATTTTATTTCTTCCTTTTTTTTGATTCTGTAATGAATTTTTCTGTTTATTTACAAATTTGCTACTGATTCGAAAATTAGAAGCGAGTAGCTAATAACTATATTATTAGAATTTAAGAAACAATTGATGCTTGGATCCTCCAATCGTAATGGCTGATTGACTCTTTCTTTTTTTTTTTTGTTTTGGAAGACCGGTCGCATTTTTCGTTTCATGAGAGACAAGAATACAGTATGGAAAGTTCGTGAAATGTCTTTCCAATCAGCTTTTTTTTTTTATCTTTTTCATTTATATCATTTTTTCTTACTTAATTAATAGAACTTCGTGCCAGACGAAGAGAGAAGCGAATCACCAACAATTTTTTTTTTTTTTTTTATAGAGTATATCAGCTTTTCTTAAACCTGAGCTGGTTTCGATTTGCCGACAACGAGCATTATCTTCTGCAGAAACTTGGTGAAATTCACTGAAACAAAATTTGAAAATTTTCTTTTATTCGAAAGATGTGAATTTATTTTTTAATTACGAAATTATATATATAGAATATTTAAATATTAATTTATTCACATATAGCATATTTAAAAATAGTGGAAAAGTCAATTGCAGAGTGAAAATTTTAATTCAATTGAATTTACTTAATTTTTATACAATTAATATATTCAATTTTTATTTAATTAATTTTTAAATTAACTTAATTCACTTTTGAATTAAAATTTTCATTAAATTGCCCTTTTTTGAAATTCAAAAAGATTTTGAGATTCTGTCTGCAATGTTTTGAGATTTATATATTGTATTTTTTTTTTAAATTGTCATTCGCTTCCAATTTTGTAAATCTCTATTATATAACAAACAAAATTATCAACAAAGAATTGAGGTATTGTTTCGTATTCTGCTTTTTAACAATTTTTCAAACAAATTTCAATTTTTCACGAAAAGTTCTTTTTTGAAAATTTAAAGAAGAAACAATAAATCTAAATAATTTTTTTAATACGAAACGATACGGTGAAATTTAAGTCAATATTCGACTTAAGTAGTTATCTTACGTTCAAAGAAAAATAAAGGTAATTACGTGATGTTTTTTTTTTAATATTGAAATTCAACTTTTAATTCCTTCACTTGATAAATCACATGATATCACTTTAAAACACTTGGTCACGAAAAAAGAACAAAAAAATACGACACATTCAATTTTTTTTCTTCCCACACTTGTGTTTTCAAATTTTCAATTCGCTTTGATATAATAATATATGGCATTAAATATATATATTAATATTTTGAATTAAATCAAAAAAATCTCTCGATTTTTTTCTTTAAAAAAATATAAATTTTTATTTGTGACATTTCTAAGTTACATATTGTCTTTGGCAGAATAATAATTATGAATAATATGAGATCAATATTTCAGAATATTTACAAATCGAATTAATAATTATTGCAAACAAAACCTCAGTATCTCTCGTTTAATAATTACATAGATTTTTTTTTTTATCACCATGTCCCTAAATAATACATCGAACCATAAAAAGAAATTGGCTTCTCATTTGAAATATACTTGATATTAATATTCTTGATTTTAAAATTCTTTTACTTTAAAAATTAATATTTATAGTTAAAAATGAACTATTTAACTATTTAATTAATAACTAGTAATCTATTAAAGTGAATTTAAAAAATTAACAACAATTATAATTTAAGTTAACAGAAAAATATTATATAACAATAAATTAAATAATATTTTTAACGTTTTCTTTTTTCATTGAAACGTTTTTTTTTTTTTAAATCTTTATAAACAATTATCACAGGTAATTCCTTGACTCCTATATTAAAATTGTGATCATAATTTATTCCAATTGTGGGAAAAAATTTCGAGATCATTGATTAGAGACGATCCATTTGAAAAGCCACTATCGCCAATTTCTTTTTCCACAAGGTATGTACCATAAACGGTGGAGCGTGTTTTGTAGTTCTGATGTTCAATGCGACATGCAAACTGAAAATTTAAAGTATGCCATAATGTAAAAAAAGAAATTCTTAATCAATGACGTCAACATTGTTTTCTTTTATTATAACGAACTCGAAAGTTTTGATAAATATTTTCTATACTCTCTCCTTGTGTTAAAAAAAAAATAGATTTTATTTTATTTTTACTAAAAATTAAAATTTCTAATAAATTTAATTTATTAACACAAAATATTAATAATTAATTAAATCAATTTTTTTCTAAAAAAAAATTATCAATTTGAAAAATGTGACTGTAAAAAAAAATTATGTTTAATTTTCTGAAAAATGTGAAATTAAATTAAATTTAATAAAAGAAAATAAATACTGTGCAATGACTTATGACTGTATCATAACATGGTGAATAGATAAAAAAAAAGGGAATTAATTATATAAATATGGAGAAAAGAAAATAAAAGGCATGCTTGACATATGAAAGAGTAAAATTTGTATAGTGTGTTTTTGAACCTTAGATTTTGGTCCGACGACGACCAACAGCTTCTGCAAACCTTTTGTAGCGGCGCCTGTAGAAATCAGATAAATTAAAAGCAAATGTAAAATAAAAACAAAAATGAAATTTCAATTATTCAAAATAATTCCACAGAAAATATTAAAATCTCGATAAAAATTATAATAACGGAATCTTTTTCAATTATTGTCAAATTGTATGTAATAATAATAATAATAATAAAAATAATTGAATTTTCCAAAATAAATACGAAAATGATTAAATTTTCAAAAATAATTAAATAAATTAATGAATTTATTTTTTAATTTGAAAAAAAAAATTTATTAATATGTATAAAAAATTTACTCACCAACACCTATTTGGAAGAATTTTGGTTTCTTCTTCCACGCAATAAACAAAAAGTACACAGGTACTGAAGAAAGTATCATGAGGCAACCGTATCCTAAAAATTTCAATTTAATTAAAAAAAAAAAAATACTAATTGATTAATATGTTTTTATATGTCCAAATTTTTATCTAAATAAAGAAAAGCAAATAAGAAAAAAATTTGAAATATTTTTCGTGAAAAAAGAACAATTTTTTTATTTTTTTTATCGAAAAATTGTACTTTTTGTTCTCTTTACAGGAAAAATATTTGAATAATAAATTAATAATATTTTTAATTAATATTTCATGTATGTTAATAGTGAACAAAAAAATTTTTGAAAAGAAAAGATTTTCTCAATGAAAAACTGATAGAAGGAGAAAAAAATATATAATTATGATTTCTTACCAGTATCAAGAGGACTTGCGTACATTGGAACAATTGTAACAAATAAAGTCGCGAGGATGTAGACAATGGGAAATGCTAAATTCACCTTGATCGGCCTTGGTAAATTAGGCTGAGCCCATCTCAGCCAAGGAACACAGAGAACCGATACGCCTATGCTAAGCTACAAAACAGAAAGGCAAAGAATAAAGGGTCCATTACGATAAGTGGATCCGTCAATTAGATAATTACTATTCATCCGGCGCTTTTTGAAAAAAAAAAAAATATTCCCTCCAGGTATACATTTCACAACGATTTCTACTTTTAATTCTATACAACAAATCTTCATTTTTTTTTTTAACACACTTTCCTTTAATTTCATGATTTTTCTATAAATATAAAATAATAAATCTCTTTGAAAAAATAAATAATTTAGATTTAAAATTAATAGAATATAATTAATATAGAATAGAAATAATAATAGAAAAATTGAAATTAATTTGAGATATTTTAATAATTTGACAACTTAAAATTTGAACAAATGAAAAAAAGGAAATTCTGTAAACCAGTCAAACGAGAGCAAACAGAGATGTCTTGTTAAAATAATTGCACAACATTTGCCGGCAGTGCTCGATTTACTCATTTATCAAAAGTAGCGCAATTCAACTTAAAGTTTATAATTCCATTCACATTTACTTTTTTCATTAATTAATTGTTATAGTGACAATTTTTCTCTATTAAATAAGAAATTAGAAAATAATTATATTTTTAAATTTTACCTAAAAATATTTCACAAAATTTAAAAATAATTTATCTATATTTAAAAAATTAAAATATTTTAAAATTATTGAAGAAAAAAAGTTTTCTTTTTTTTTGTATATTTACCCAAGTAGCGAATCCTACGTAATTAATCAAACTATTAATATCTGGAAAGAATAGATACACCATTGACAGTAGAGCCTGAAAGAAAAAGAGAGAAAAGAATTTCACATAAATTTTAATTATAAATTATTCTTATTTCTATAATAGTAATTTTAAAAAAAATAGAAATAACTAAAATTTTACCATGCACAAAACTGCAGGTGCAGGTGTCAATCTTGATGTTTGAATCATTGTCAAAATTTCTGGCATTTGTCCTTCACATGCTCCCGCGTAGAAAAGACGCGATGAAGTCAATAAAATACCGTTCACTGCACCGAAACATGACAATGCTACAAAAACGGGAATTGTCCAAGCGAATATACCGAATATTTGATTAGCAAAGGTCTGAAATTAAAAAAAAGTAAAATAAATTCTCAAAAAAAAAAATCAATTTATTAACATTTATTTATTAATAAAAAAAAAAAATTAATTGTAACATAATGAAAATGATTAAATTTTAATTAATACTGGAAATTATTTTTACGATATTCACTTACCACAGCGACAGCTTCACTTCCCAATACTTCAAGAGGGCTAAGAGTCGTATAGAAAGCAACATTTGTGAATACATAAACAATTGTTACCAAAGTGCATGATAATCCGATGGCCAATGGCAAATTTCTGAAATAAGAATAAATTTCACATATAAAAAAAAAAATTCGAATTTACATATTTTTTGTTTCCTGAAATTTTGTATTAATTTATATAAAAAAAAAAAATTGAGAAAACAATATATCTCACCTCACTGGATCCTTTAATTCTTCAATGATAAAATTCAAGTAATTCCAACCATTATATGCAAATAAACCCGAATAAAAACTTAGCGCAATGCTGGTTACTTCTGTTTTTGAATTTTCAAATGTAAAATGTTCGGTGTGTCCTAAAACAATAGAAAATAAAAATTTACATTCTCTTTTTTCTAGAAACTGAAAATTTTAATTTAAATCTTGTAATAAATAATTTTTCAATTTTCAGGAATTTTTTTAAAAGATTTATAGTTTGTTTTTTTTAAATTAATATAAGAAAATTGTCGTGAGAATAGATTGCTTAGAATTATTGATAGATGGGGGAAAAAAAGAAGAGCTTTTTTTTTGTAAGAGATGTCGAGTATAGAAGCTCTTAGGCGGATGAATAGATCAATTTAAAGATTCTTTACGCGACTTGTTATATGTATGATCGCTATTTAACCACCTTTCTGATTGGGCAAATTGTCTCGTCCGGCAAGTGGCCGACACTCGACAGACATAAGAGTTTGACACAAATTTCATGATTTTATCAGAAGTGTTTTTCAAATCAATTACCCTCAAACGAAAAGCGGTGTTTACTTAATGATTCTTTTGAAAATAATTCTTTTCTTTCTAAATAACGTAATATTTTTTTTTCTTAATTATTATTAATATTAATTTATAATTAATTATTAATTTATATTTAATTAAAGCAAAACAAATAATTTTTTTATAATAATATTAATAATAGAATAGTATTAAATAATAGAATTTTTTTATTATAATAGAGAAAATAGCCTGAATTTAAATTTGGGAAATAGATAAAATAATTCCATTGTGTCCTTGGAATAATGAAATTTTTATCTACTTCCTTTTTAATACTTCGACAGCTGAATCATCTCAGGTAATTCAAGGGTCAATGATCTTACTTTTACTTCTTTTTCTTCTTTCAGTGGGATAAGAAATTTTTTTTTTATTTATTTATTTTAGGAATGTAAATCAAAAAAAAATTTCTGTATTAAAAATTGAGGCAAATTCAATTTTTAAAATAGGAAAATATTTTTTAACTATCGTCAATTTAGTTATAAATATAATTAATTATTAAATTTTGTAATAAAAAAATAAAACTCACCAGTACAGAATTGATAAGCACCAGCAAATATAATAATGAAAAGAGCTAAAAGTTTGGCATATGTAAATACATCTTGTACTCTTGTCGCCCATTTTACATCCCAACAATTGATAAACGCCAAAGTAACTGAAAAAAAAGATAAATTTTTTTAAAATTAATTAATAGTAGTATTTAAATTATTAAAAAATAATTATATTGATTACGATATTATTAAATTGTCAATTTTTTTGTCATAACATCATTTATTATTTAATAATATAACAAATATATATATATATATATATATATATATATATATATATATATATATATATATATAAAATAAAAATTAGTAATTAAATAAATAAAATTTTAAAAAAGTGTTTTTTAATTGATTGAACTATTTATAGTGATTCAATTTTATCAGTAAAAAATTAATTAATATACAGTCGTAAATTCATTTGGATCTTGACAAAAAATTATTATCACTAAAGATAATGGAACGCATTTGACATTTTATGTCCTTGCACCCTAATACGAAATAGGTTGACCCAGTTTCCTGTAAACAGCTCAGAAACTGTTTCTTCTTTTTTTTCCCTACAGATTGACTTCATTTCGTATTTCTCAGTCTGTTCTGATTTATGAAGAGAAATTAAGTTATACTGACACTTGATTGTTGACTAATGTCTGACTGCAATCTCCTATCACTACTTGCAAAACGCGTGATACATCCTTTCAATGTTTATCTAATTTTAAATTTTCTTGTTACTTTACTAATATATAATTGCATTATTATAAACAGTAATTATTTTTTATTTCTATTACCAAAAAAGAAAAAAAATCAATTATATTTTTAATAAAAAAATAAATTAAATTAATTTTTCTTTTAATAAATTAATTGAATTTCACATTTATTTTAAAATATTCAAAACTTCCAAAACGATTAAATTATTATTCAAATTGTTTGTAAATAAAATAAAAAATTTTTTTAAAAAAATTAACAGCATTTTTACTGCTAAGCAGAACAAACAAGAAAAGTCAGTAATTTTCTAAGATAAGAGTTAAATTACAAGGAGAGACGAAGCTAAAGAAAAAAAAATCAAACAGGAAAATTGTATCTGTCGTTTAATTAAATCAAAACTTGTTTTGAGACCCTTGAAGTAATATTTTTAAATTGTAGGCTTGAACTTGGCATAAAATAAAAAGGAACTTGTGTATAAAAAAACGAATCCTTGAAAAATGTAATTGACCGTTAAATACTCAGCGATTAACAAATATAAAAATTAATTAATTTTCCTACAAATTTACGTTCCCATAATTGAGTTATTTAGTTATAATTTAATCATTTTTTTTTTAAATATAATATCTTTTGACCTTTCCAACATATAAATGTGCTCGTTACTAAAACAATTAAAGTTTATTACATTCTTATATTTTTCTCAAAAGAGATTCGCAAGAAAATATAATAAACGATTCCTATTGACTAATGGGTTTTCAATTAATTTCCCCAAGGCTAGTTGAAAGCTAATGTTTAATTGACATCAAAACGATATTTTATTATTTATATTTTACTATCAATCATATAATAATTAAATACAAATTATTAAAAAATACACACAAAAATTATCGTTTTTGAGTGGATAGAAGAAATTCTTTTTAAAAATTGATTTTAACGTATAATAAAAAAAAAAAATTAATAAATTATTGATCAGAAATGTGTAACTATCTTCGACAGCCTTGGTTAAAATTGATTTCGAGAAAAAAAAAACTCTGTGTAAAATCTGTACCGCAAGACTTGATTGAATCATAAAATGTATCGTATTTTGTAGTCATTCAGTATCTCTCAGAAGGTCAAGTTCTCCCTTATGTATTTCTATTATCTTTCATCATTACCTGACGATTTCATTTTTATATCTCAAAAAATTTAGAATCCTGTAGAAAAAAAAAAAAAAAACTTTTTTGGAATAATAAAAATTATTTGTAATTCTTTTTTAATTACATTAAATTCTATTTTTTAAATATAAACACTGCCTCTTTTTAATTTCTCTATTTATCTAAACGAATATCTAACAAAAAATAGAATAATCTTTTAGATTTCATAATTAAAAAAAAGTGTAACAATTATCGTTCGAGAATTGAGTTCTACAGTAAAAAAAAAAGAAAAAAAAAAAGTCAAGTATTAAGTCCTAGATAAGTTCTCCAGTTTGGAATAAATATATATTATAACATTCATTCGAGTGGAAGAAAATTATTCATTCAATAACGTAACCAGTTGTTCGCTTTCAGTCAAAAGCATCAATCGTATCTTGATGTAATCGAAAGTAATTTAATAACATAATAACGGATGATGATCGCAAAGAGTAATTCATGAAGCGTCGTCGTCCCCATAGATAATATCCAAAGAGGTCGCAAACAATCAATTTCACGAGGAGAAGAAGAATGGAGGGGTGCTGAAAAAGGCCACTTCAATATTTACTGAGAAAAGCCACAAGAAGACTATATATAAGAAAAGACGAAGAGGCAAGAAAAGAGAGAACACGATTGAGAAGGACAATAGATTGAAGAGAGAAGGTGCTCTGTAAAAACTCATGACGAGGTCGCATCTCACGAGATTCTGCAAGATATTGCATCAGACTCATTGCAAATTTTTCGTGGAACAGATCCCCAACATAGAAATATAAATGGTCACGTCAATATGTTGTTATTTTAAACATTGAACGATTATAATTCTTCTTTTTTCTTATTTGATGACATATTCTTCAAGTCAGTGGTCTCACACAAGTCGAAAGCGCTTATGATCTAGACCTACTAATGCCAATCGAGTCGCACGAGATACACGTGACGCCCTTGAATTGTGCCATTGACTCGCTTCTAAACCATCTCAAGTATTTTTGTCTAGGCAAATTTTTATTCCCTTCTTCTCAATATTAAAAAAAAAAAACGTCTTCAAATTAACACATAAATATTCTCTGAAACTGAAATTTTCTTAATTTAATAACAGAATAGAATTTTAGAAGAACTTATTATTTTATAAATTTGAAAAAAATAGAATTATTTGAACAAATTTTTATTTTTAAAAAAAATATGTTTTTATTGAATAATTCAATAATTATTCCGAATTAAATAAATTAATTAAAAATTATTTTTACAAGTTGAAATTTCTTTAATTAAAATTTTAATGTCTGACAAAAGGGGGCGAAAAGCGTGTATAGAAGAGAAAAAAAAAATCGATTGAAATGTTAGCCACATCAGTCAATTAGACTGTGGGGCTTATCGATCAGACATGAAGAGAAGTCTAACGTGCGAAAGCATCATTAGAAGAAACGAGAGAAACCATTAAAGTGGAATTGTGGCATGTTAGGGAAACGACAAAAACAATAAAAAAAAAAAAATTATTAGTTACCGTTACAATAATATTTGTTTCTTTTTTAAAAAAACTGTTATTTTACGATCTAATAACCCTTGCAAAATAAATATTAAATTCTGAATAAAGAATTCCTTTATAAAAACTTAAAAATTTCAAGCTAAATAATTTCCATTGTTAAATTTTTTTAATAGATAAATTAATAAATTTGTAAAATGAATTTAAATAAATTACTTACATATACAACATGCAGCCAATAGTGCGGCAGCTTCTGCAGGTGGTTCACATTCAGGGAACATAGGCTTCAATACGTATTTACTAAAAGTCAAAGCGACAATTGCCTGACTGCAAGGCCTCACTATCATACATTCTATCCATAATCGTACAAAGGCCATAAATGGCCCAAATGTTTCCATTATATATGCATAATCGGCTCCTGATTTTCTTATCATACATCCAAGTTCAGCGTAGCAATAAGCTCCAACCTTAAATGAAAAATTTAACAAAAATTGAGAATTCAAAAAAAAAATAATTTTTGAAAAATTATTATTTAGAGAAAAAAAAATTTAATGTAAAATAAATACCATTGAGAAGAGACCTGAGGCGGTCCATACTATTAAACTGGCATTGACACTTCCTGTATATTCAAGAACACCTTTTGGACTAACAAAAATACCAGAACCAATAATTGAACCAACAATTACTGTAACACCATTGAGAAGTGACATTTTTGCTTCTAATTTTATTTCATCGCCTCCATCTCCACTCACTGGAACAGGATCGTAAGATCCTTTCTCTCCTTCCTTTAAACTTCCCTTTATACTTCCTTTTATACTTCCCGATTTCGACATTTTTTTTCTGTAACAAAAAAAAATAATATTTTAATTTTCTGCTTCTTGAATTTTTAAATTATTTCCTATTTTTCTTTTTTTTTCATTAAATGAATGGGTTTTCACACAGATTGTTTTTTTCTTTTCTTTCATTTCACTTGAAGGTTTTTATATTCTTTTTCTTGAATAATACATTTTTTTTTTCCTAAAGCAAAATCATTGAATTTTCAACATGTAACGAATCACAGTTTTATACGTGCCGTCGAGACGAAGAAGATCAATTTCTCGAGAAGTTGTTATTTTGAGAGAAAAAAAAAAAAAAAAAAGTCTTTCGCCATTAGCAAAACAAGTCGGGCACGAAACTTTTAGTTCTTCTATATAAGTATACTTTTATATAACTTAACTGATACTCAAGTTGTGAAAAGTCTCATTAATATTTTTTTTTTCATTTACAACTGTTGGAATATTTAATTAAGTTAATGATTCTTTTTTCCGTTTAATTTACAAATTTTTTTTAAACTATCGGAAAATGTAAAAAAAAAAAAGAAATGTAAACATATTTTCCAGTCTTATTGACAAACTCTCGTTTAATTAACAACAATGCTAATGATAAAATTGAAAACAACTTTCGCGAGCCTACAAGTTTATATTACATGAGAAGGAATAAATTATTTCTTATCAGATTACATTGAACTGATCCTTTCTGCAGTGTAATGAATCTTTCTAACCGCATCTATAAGTCCATGATTAAATACATCGCGGCAAATAATATTCCAATGAACTTTAAAAATAGAATACTAGAAGAATTCTTTTCCAAAAAAAATTTTTTTTTTTTGATTATAATTATAATTAAAATTATTAAATATTTTTTTTTATAATTCAAACCCTAATTTTCATTAGAGGGGACAAAAAAAAATTCATTTCCTATATACAAAAATTTTTTTTTTTAAATAAAATACATACACGGATATGTAAAAGGTTACTTGCAATCTTTCACCTCTCAACTAATTATAAATGAGAGAAAAAAAAATCATTTTGGTATACCTACATGATAGACAAATTATATAGTGTGAGGAAAGATAATATGAATATTATTATCTTATGAAGGTGTGATTATCTTCTCAACCAATGAAATGATCGAGAAAGGTCTACGCCTTCATTGCATGAACAATTTTATGCATATTAAGATTCTTGTCATTTAGAACAGAAATAATATAAGCATACATTAAACGATAAAAACTTGTTCTTTTGATTAAATGCAAAAAAAAAAAAGAAGTAATCAAGACTTGTTTACAAATTACATTACAGTGAAATCACTCACACCAGAGTGGTTCCTTTAAAAATATTTTTTAATGACAAATTAAAAATTCCTTTTTTCAAAAAGGCTAAAATTTCTAAAAATTTAATTTACGAAAATTTTCACGAAAAAAGGTAATAAATAATTTTTTTTTTTTTTTAAACAATAGGAAACATTAATATTTAGAAAATTTCATTTAACTCGACATAATTCTGTTCTTTATGATATATTACTTATCTCTTTGATTTATTGCTTAAGAACTTATGCATTGCAATTAAGGACAAATTCTAGTTATTAAAAAGAAGCTGTGTCAGCTGTGAATTAGAAAAATTATTTATTTCTCCTATTCATCACAATAATTTGTATATAATCTTATTTAAGAAAAATAAGATTAATGTAAAATAAATCCGCACTCTATTTAATTTGAACAGAAAATAAAAAACAAAGTAATAGAATTACAAACAAAGTAGAAATAAATTTAAGTTAAATTCAAACAAAATAATAAAAAAAAATAGTAAAAAAAGGTTTTTTTTATAAGAAAAGAAAATAAATAATAAATAAACTTTATAAAAAAAAAGGAATTTACCGTTGTAGTTTAACTATGAACGCATATCAGTTAATATCAAATTAAAATCTATTATTATAATCTAGAGCAAATAAATTCAAATAAGCTTGCGATACATAATTAACAGATTATGTATTATAACAAAATTATATATTTATGAAAAAAAAAAGTTGCTAATATTTAAATTATACATGACTAATACATAATTAGATAATTATATCCTGTATTCTGATTATAGAAATGTTATATTTCTAAAACTAAAAATTTACATTAATAACTAACCTTTTTTTTATCATTTCCTCAAAATGTCAAATTCTTTTTCAAATTGCAAGTAAATTTCTATTTTGAAAGTCAGTTGAAGAAATATTTTCTTTAAAAAAAAAAAAAACAACTTTATTTGTAATCATAAACGGAAAAAAAATTAATTTATTTAAACAAATTTTTAACGATAATTATTATATTTATTAGCAGAAAATTATTTATCGAGGGGAAAATATTCATGAATCATGTTTTTAACACAAACTAAGATTGTTGATTGCAAAATTTTCTAGTTTAATAACCATTTTCATTTAAATAGTTGGTTAAATCTCATCTCATGTCACGTTTCTGCTATCGGAAATTCATTTGAATTATATTTATAGAGATTTATAGAGAAAGAATATATATATATATATATTTCACTGATAATAATGGTAAAATTATTTGTAACAAATAAGACAATTATTCAAAAGAGAAAAAAAATTTTTTTTCTTTAATAAATTTTAACTGTAAAGATTGCACTTAAATTTGGAAGAAACTTTCAAGGTTTTTTTTTTTTTTTTTGATAAGAAACTGATAATTATTTAATTGCATACATTAATCAAAAACGATCGTTCTATTTTTATTCTTTAACAAGAATATTTTAACATAATAAAATTCAAAAATTTAAAATTTCCTCTTAATATCAAATTTTAAGTTTTAATCTCTTAAATTGTATTTATTCGAGCAGAAATAAAAATACATAAAAATATAGTGAAATAAAAAAGAAAAAATTAATTGCAAAAAATAATTTTTTTTTTAAATTACAATTTTTGCAAAATGTCAACAAGGGCTATTTTAGAATCGGAAACATAATTAATTGATAATTAATAATAAGTTTTAAAAAAAAATATGAATTATCTGTTAATTCCCTACGAAAAGCTACTAATAAAAGAAAAAAGAATACTTTTTCCAGGATGCGTCAGATTTAGTGCAAATGGTTTAATTATTATTCTTACATCTTTTTGATAAATGAGAGACATTAAATCAAATCAACAGCTCAGTGTCAATGGTATTTGATAAAGATGTGAAGTGCAATCACATGAGAAATGTAAATATTTTTTTTTTTTCTTTACAAGATTGCTTAATATTCATTAGAAGGAATAAATTATTTATAAATTTGGAAAGGGGGCTTACAACCCTCGGAAAAAAAAATTAATGGTCAATAATAATTTGAATCCCATGAAAAAAAAATTATATAGAAAATAATTTATTATATTCCAAAGAATAGAATTAAAAATCAATCACGAGAGAATAGCAAAATTTTTTCATGAAAGATTGTGATTTAACGTGAAAGAAAATCCTGACGATAAGCTTTGGCTGGCATTTCTACTGCTTCGGTTGGTCTCGCATTTAATGGGGGAACATAATAACGTTGTAGAAAGAGAGAGAAAGAGAGAGACCAACCCCAACAAAATTACAAATACGTACGAGAGGTACCATGTGTTAAGAAAGAAAGAGAGAACCTTTATTCAACCCCTGAACTGGACTAGAACACGCTATACGAGAGGGGTTATTTTTTTTTACCCCCTCGAAAGTGAGTAAATAGCTACACATTTCTAGTCCTAGGACACGAATGCAACGCTTCTGTGAGTTTCGAATTCACTTTTCATTGGTCCCGCATGCAACTCACGCTTTGCTCCTATTCAATCATTCCCTCCCCCCATTCTCTTTCTTTTTACAAAAGAGATCTCTTTCTTTTTTCTTTCTCTCTCTCTCTATATATATATATATATATATATATGTAATAACAGAATGGATGTAATAGAAAACCTCGACCTTGAAAAACTCGCTTGCCAGCCGTCGACAGTGAGAAAATTATTCATATTTTGATTCAATTTAAATATTTTGAAGATTTATTTTTTATTTTAATTTTATAAATGATTTATGAAAGCAATTATAAAAACAAAAATAAGGTATATTTTCATAATGAATGAATTTTAATGTATAAAAAAAAAGAAATTCTGATGAATTCTTTTTCTATAAAAATTTGGAACAAGAAATGTTAAACACTCCTGGAGAACAATAATGAAAATTTGTCAGAATTTCCTGCTTTTTATTTATATGAATGATTCTTGAAAGAAGAAATGATTCCTGAAGTGTGGGATTATATTTCGGTTTTTTTTTTTTTTTTTTTTTTTTTTTGTTTGAAGTAAATGGGGTTTGACCTCAAGCGAAAGTTCACAAGTTACATCATCATTTTTCGTTAATCGATTTTATGGCTGTTTTACGTCAAGACCGTTACTACTTTTCAGATACATATATCTATAATTCATAAATTACTATTTTTTTTCAATATTTCATTTATAAAACTACACTTGTATTTTATTGGAAAAATTAATTTTAACTTACAAATGAAATGTATTTTTTTTTTAAACAAATAGTTGAATTTAATTTTACTATTAAATTTTTTTGTCATCTAACTCAATAGGTTTAAAAAAAAAAAAGAATAAAATATGAGTTGTAAAATAAATACAAAAAACATAGAAAAAAGTCCATTGTAATCTATAATTATATAATATTTAAATATAATTAAAATTTTATTCTTTCAATTTTAATTTATTTAATATTATATTTATTTCAGTTTGCAGTATAAATTAAAAATATTTTTCCAATAATATAGAAATGAATTTTTCAATATTAAAACTAATATATGAGAGTTATGTAGAGAAAATAAAAAAATAGAAAACGCTTTGTCAATTTAAACTGAAACCGGATTTCAAGATATATTCAATTCAGTCAGGATGAAACAGTCCCTATATTTCTGGAACCCAGGCGTAGACTTGCTAGAGGCGTTCATGAAAATCAATAGACCACGTGGGTCGACGTTCGCTTTTTGCCAACTCCATTTTCGTGAAAAACTTATCAAGGACAGAAAATTTAAATCAAACATAACAGAAATTCACCCTCTAAAAATTCTCTCCATTTAATATCAATATTTTTCTAAAATTGACCCATCTAAAAATTAATTTGCGAATTTTTTTTTTTATATCAGCAATCCTGTAAAGTTTTTCCACAAATATTTCAAAAAAAATCAAATTCTCCAAAATTTCAAATTTTCATTTATGTATTTAAATTTGAATAACTAATTTTTAGGAAATTATTTTCCTTTTTAAATTTCTTTCTATGTTCACTATATTTTTATGTATTTTTTAATTTTGTTTTTTTTTAGAGAAAAAAAAAAGATACTCACAGAGTAAAATATATTCCCAGTAATCGATTTCAAAAAATTCCTTGTCAATCAACCAACTTTTGAAGATTGAGGCACTCACGGATTTCTAAAACATTATGCCAATTGTGAAATAAAAAAATATATATTTTTTTTTTGCAATTTTGAATTAAAAAGTGAAATAAAATAAAATTTGTTTTTTTTTTTTTGTCTGAAAGTAAATCAGTTTGTCACGCGTACCGGTAGACTTTTTAGACGCAACCACAACTTGTACGGCACGGTGGTTCGAGTCTGAATGACTTGTATATGCTTCCTGTGCTTCCTCATTTTGCTATCTCTCTCAGATTGATTCCCCTTTCTATTGCGCGAGCGCTTTCTTTCTCTTTCTCTCACATTCGATTCCTTTCTCTTTATTTTTCCCCAAAAAAATAAACTCATAAACATTAAAATCTTATTTTCTCCCCATTTTTTTTCTTCTCTTCTGAAAAAGACAATGATCTTTTAGAATTTTTGTCAAAATTTACAAAAAAAAAAGTTTTTATTTACAATATGAAAAAATATTTTTAAAAAATTGAATTTAAATTATTTTTATAAATAAATTTACTTAGAAAAAAATTTTTTTTTAAATAAAAATCTATTATTGTAAACAATAAAATTGATAACTTTAGAAAAATTAAAAAAATTTGCTTTATATGCTCGAGAAATAATTATTATTGTAAAAGAAACATTATTCATTACCTTAATAAATGTCGTAATTAATCATAATATTATTTGTATTTAAAATGTTTAAATAGAAAATAAAAAAAAAATTAACAGGAAATTGCAGTGAAAATATTTTAATAGAAAAAAATTTTTTTTAAATTTTACCGATTAATGAAAATGAAATAAATCTCGAGACGTTGTTTTTGATAATAAAATTAACGATTAGTTGATTAATATTAATAATGTTCGAAAGATCTACACTCAGAAATTTCACTATTTATTTTTCCAATATTGCTAATTTTTTTTTTTATTATAATTTAATTTTAAATCAATTAAAATTCATATAAAAAATTGAATTATACCGATAATTTATTGAATTGGAAATTTTTTTTCTATTTAGAATATTTTTTGAATCAATCTTAATTATAACTAATTTTGTCCAATTATTTAATTATTAAATTGATTAATTACTTTATATTTTTAATATTTTAATTATTTAAAGTTTTTCGATATCTAATATAACAGGAAAAAAAGTAATTTTTGTCAATACCTTTTTTCGTATTGCCAAAATCGACCATTTTTCAAAAAATTGAAATCCCATGTTCTAGTTTAAGGTGGTGCTCGAGAAACGTGGGACGCCCTTGAATGACGTCAAGAGATCAATACCAGTGGAGGCTGGATCCAGCTACGTCATCATCGACAATCCAAACAGGTCCTTGGGATCACATCCTGGAAAATCAAAAAAAAAAAAAAAAAAAATTAAAATACAGACCCTTAAGCTCGAAATTATATTCATTTTTTGTTCCCATATAAAATTAATTAATTTAAATTTAATTTCCATTCAAAATAATAATTAAAAATTTTCAAATCTAATTTACTGATTTGTAAAAATTTTAGATATTTTACATTTTTGAAATATTTTAAATTAACTTTTTTATAGATCGATATAGAAAAGGTGAATCACCTTATATGATACAAAAAAAAACCACGTGTGGTTAATGTTGTTAAAAAAAATTTTAAACTATATATAGTTAGATTGTAATAAAGTAAATTAATTCAGTTGAGTCACACGTTCGCTATTATATACGTTATCACCCCTCGTAGTTATAACTTTACATAGTGTATATTATAATTATTACTTTGTATCAGATTTGCATGCAAAGTGCAGCTAGTGTTGGTAAAAAGTTTTAAAGTAAACAGCCCCGAGAGTAAATTGAGCATATCGATAAAGAGACAGGCACAAATCAACGCTTGTCCAACAAGTTTGTCTTAACAACGTGTGTACCAGCCGTCAATATAAATTGCAATTAATAATTATCTAAGAGCAATTTTCTAATTTGCGACTAAGGCTACACACCATTAAAAGCACTCTCTGTAATTGCATATATATATATATATACACACTGTATTTATATAGATATTAAGATTCATTTTCCTCGAAGACCTTGTGTCCCCAAAGATGAAGTTCTTCTTCTGAAAAATATTGTTGAAAATTAAATTTTAATAAGAAAAATAATTCTCCTTATAATAAATTATAAGTTTACCTAACATTTCAAAAAAAAAAAAAAATTAATTATTTTCCTTTTAATTAACATTATAATTCTGAGTAATTTTTAAATTGATTTTTAGAACAGAAAAAAATAATTTTTAAAAAAAATCTTATTTAAACTATATTAATTTTAATTAAATAATGCAACAAAAAATTAATTGCTATTTATAGAAAATTTTTATGTATTTTGCATAATTGAATGTTTTTTTTGTTGTAATGAAGTTTAATCACTGCTTTTCCATTTATCAACATATTGTCGATAAAATTTTTTAATGTTACAAGACATGATTTCATTTCATCACCTATTTCATCATCTTGTGCTAAAAAAAAAAAAAATTTTAATTTCAATTTAGTTTATTTTTACCTCCCAATTTTAAAACCTTATATATATATACTTTAATAATAAAGGGTCAATAGCTCAATTCATTCAATAGGCGTCAATTTATATTATTATTTCCCCATGGGTAATATTTGATTACTCATTAAGTACACAACTAGAAGAAAATTCGATATATTATATTAATTTTTAATAACATTTAAAATAATAATTACCTATTAAAAGTAAATAAAATTTAAATTTTATTGACTTCACCTTTTGCCACAATGTTGAGTTTCAAACAGAAACGAATATTTTTTATGACTGTTTTAAAAATTAGTAAATATTTATTCTAATTGATGATTTTATACATACCTGTTAAATTTTTTTTTTTACCTGTTATTGAAATAATTTTAATTCTTTTCTTTGTTTTTGTATCAAACTTAAAATCCTAACCTCTATAACGACATTCTGCGTGCAATGAAGATTAAATTGTAATACAACTTTAACCGAAGAAAACATTAAAATATAATAACTCTGCATAAATTTAAGTATACAGCGATAAAAAAAAATCACTCACAACATTTTGTAAATCGATGAAAACAATATTTTTTCTAAAAAAATATAACTGAAGTAAACTTTAAAAGCCGGTATAAATAAACAGGAAAACGGAATAATTTGAAAAAGAATTGTATGCCTGCTCCATCTATAGAACAAATTTGTAAGTTTAATAAACACAGGCAGCGCACTCGCTGGTGATTGGTTACTGAAAGTGCGCTATTTTTCAAAGTGCACGGATGTGAAAATACCTTTAAGGTAAAAATATAAAGTCACGTTCATTATTTACTGTCTCTTTCTCTTGATGTTTACAAAAAGAATTTGTAAAATTTTTCCTTTTAATTTTTAAAAAACCATAACTTGAAACATTTGTTCTAAAATAATTTAAGAATTAAATTAGTGACTGAAATTTACAATTAATCAATTTAATTATTAAGTCCAGCTAAAAAAAGGTAGGAAATCTTTTAACTTATTTACCCATAACCTTTCAGAAAGATATCTTAATTATAAATTTTAAAAACTATTTTTGCTAATTTATATTTGTTGTTAAAACTTAATTTAAAATTATATTATCGTCTTTTTTTTTTGTTTATATTCTACGTTTCAGTTATATTCAAAATTAACTAAAAAAAATTCTTGAGGTTATGTAGCACTAAAATTAAATTTTCTTAAAAATATTTATGCAATTATTATTTATCTAAATTAATTTACTCTAGTTTTCTGTATTTATTATTTAGATTTATTTCTAAATTATTTTTATAAAATTTTCTTTTTAAATCACCTTCAAGTATTAAAATTTATATCAATCAGTCGGATTATTTTCTAAATAATAAACAATTTAATTTATTTTTCAATTAGCTATAAAATGACATTTTTGGACAAAGAAAAACGTGAAATATGTTGGAATAACAGAGATGTATATTGGAACTGTCTTGATAAAAATGAAGATTCAGAAAGTTTATGTGCACAATTTAGAAAACATTATGAAAAAACCTGTCCAATTCAATGGGTGAGAATCGATTTTTATAAATAATAAAAATAATAAATAGAAAAAATTTTACTAATTAAAAATAGTTTTTAAAATAATTTAAAAAATTTGTAATATTTTGCAGGTGAAGCACTTTGATAGGAGAAGAGAATATAATAAATTCAAGGAAGAAATGGAAAAAACTGGAAAGGTACCAAATTTTCCACAAAAAGAGAGTCTTAAATCTTAAATAATAATTAGTTAATTGTAATATAAACAATAAAGTTGTAACATATTTTAATTTAACAGAAAATTATAAATATACGTTAAGCGTAATTAAAAAGAAAATGTCTTATAATTAATACATTTTTTACTTTATTTAAAAAAAAAAATGTCAATTATAGCTAATTGAAAAAATTTCAATTCATTAAAATGTTATTTTGCAATTTTAATTTAAATTAACTTTTATATTTAAATACAAAAATTAAAAATTTGTGAAGAAAAAAATTTTTTTTTTTTTCTAAAAAATAGAATTTTTAAAACTTAATTTTATGATATTTTAAAAATATATTTTCTTATTAATATATATATATATATGTTGTATGATCAACAGTTTTATATATATTATGATATATATATACTATAATTAATAAAATAAATTTTTTTTGTTGATAAAATTGATTAATTCTAGTTTTACTTTAAAAAAAAATCACTGAGTTGTATTTTTTTAAAAAAATATATATAGTCAATTAATCAAATTGTAAAACAAAGTGCCAAAGCTTGAGCAGCTCGACTTCTCACATGAGAATCATTGTCACGCAATAACTGCAACAATCTTTGGACATCCTCTGGTGTTGGACGTCCAAAAAATCCTAAAATCAATGCAGATGTTGCTCGTGTCGAGGTGAATTCTGACCGTGAATAACCACGTACAACAGAATTTCTGGAATGTCATGAAAATTACATGACAAAATTTTTTTTAATACAATTCATCTACAATCAAGACATTCCCTGATAAAAAATTAATTTCTTTACTTTCTTTAAATTAAATTAAAGACTTTAATTTAATTTTTTGGATTTTCTATTCTCGGTCATTAACTTTTCACAGAGACTGATTGCATGTGTACCACTTTAAAAATATAAATTTCTATATAACTAATTAATTGAGAAATTTAATTAGATTATTTTTTTAAAAAAAACTTTTATCACTAACCTGAGTTCCTCGGCTCTCTTTGGTAATTCTTTTCGTAAACATTGTACGAATTCACGAAGGAATATTTCAACGTTTAAATTAACATTTGGTCCAAGATGAATGTTTATTACTCGCACAAGTGGCTCGCATTGCAGAAGTTTTCCGCAATTGCATAAAATTTCTCGAACAAACTGAAAATATAGGAAAATTTATTATTAGGTAAATAATTAAATTTATTAAGGTCTTACCATAATTATAGCGAGATTTGGATCTTCAAGTTTTATCACAAGACATGGAATGCAACTAAGAAGTTGATCAGTTATATCATCATCAACAGAATCAATTGTTGTTTGCCAATTTCGAACTGCCGCTTCTAATGCACTAACGGCAGCTAATCTTAATTTTGAATTTTCCTTCTCAATAAATGGCTTTAATGTGAGTATTATCCTTGGACTCACAGGTCTTCCAATTTTTATCGACAACATAATTGAAAGTCCATTCAATGATTCAAGAATAACATCAGATGCACCCGATGGTTCCTCTAAACCTTCCAATAAAGCTGACATTGTATTATCAAAATATTCATTAATCTGAAAAAAGAAAATTCATTTATTATCTCAAGAAAAATTTTATAATTTTTAAATTTACAAGACTCATTTTACCTGTTTAGGTTTAAGATATGAGATATGCGTGAGTCCAATTAAAGCCAATTTTCGAACTAATGGAGAAGAATCGGCTCTCGCTTCATGTAGAGTATTAATTATTCCATCAAGCCAAATCGAATCATGATTCACTTTACCCACAAGTTCTGCATAAAATGCAGTAGCCATTGCTCTTTGAATTGGAATTATACTTGTCATTAATTTCTCAATAGAACGTGCCAAATTTATCATAATTTCATTTTTATCCGACAAACATCGAATTACTGAATGTACTATTGATACCAAATTATCTTCAGCTTCCGATGTTGAATCAAATTCCTTAAAAAATTTAATTTCACAATTATTATTTATAAATGAAAAATATTCATATTTTAACTTACTGTGTTGTTTAATAAACCTGATGCAGTATGTGAATCAACGGCAGTTAATACATTAACGAGCACCGAATAAACTTCACGATGGGGATTTATTTTCGATGACTCTCTATTGGGAACAAATCCAAATTTTGTATTTGTAATTGAAATAGGCGCATCTACGTGTATCCATCCAGATAAGTACTTTAATAATACACCAAGAAGTTTTGACAATTGATGTTCAATTAAAATTTCCGAATTTGGTGATTGAAGAAGATAACCCAAAGCAACAATTGCTGCTAATGATGAAAATGTTGCCGTTTGATCTTTTCCAGAATTCGATGTATTATCCGATAATACACTATTATTCTCCAGACGATCCAAAAGAATTCCAAGGGTCTAAAAAATGTTACCATTTAATAATAATTAAAAAAAAATAATAAAAATTTCCAAATTTACTAACTTGCAGGCCAAATTCCTCATGTGTTCCAAGTTCTTTCCAACATTCCTGCGTTCCTCGATCCAATGGCAATGGTTGATGAAGCAAATGCTCGAGAACAATTTGCGAATGATGTTTCATGAGAAATTTAATTGTCATCGCTGCATTACGTAAACAACTCACGTTTTCCATCAGTCTCATTTGGCTTATTATATTATCTGTAATGTTAGAATTATGTTCATTCATTAATTTTTTATTAAAAAGATAAATTCAAGAGTAACTTAACCAATTAAAGAAACACTCGAGCGAGGAATTTCAGCGCCACGAATTTTAAAAAGTTCCGCTAAAGCAATTCCAGCTGCTAAACCACCTTCTCCACGAAAAAGTAAACCTTCTATTAGACCTTCTGCAAGACTAACAACTTCGCCACTCGCTATTCTTTCACAAGCAACCACTGATAAATTCTAAAATACAAAAAACAAATATTTATACAAACAAGTTTCGATTTTGAAATTAAATAAAAAAAAAAAAATGTTTATACCTTAACACCTTCGTAAAGTAATTTAGGATCTTCGTTAACAATTATTTTTTTCGTCTCATTAAGATCTTGATTTAAATTATTGTCGGGCAATATTGAACGATGTCGGGCACCAATACTTAGTGATAAAATAACGCAATCAATCACCAATGTTCGTAAAGTTGGTTCAGGATCTGCGCTCCATGATAAAATACGTCCAAGAAGTTTTCCTGGTTCTAATTTCCCTCCTGGGAATGTATATTTTAAGGAGTCATGATATGATCTATAAAAAAAATAATTAATAAATAATAAAGAATTTAAAAATCTATTAAAAAAATTAATATTAATTAATTTTGCAACCTTAACGTATATCTGAGGACAATTAACGTCATTTTACGCTCGGCTGTCGATTTTGATTGCATCCATGGTGTAAGTATTTCAACAACTTCCGCCAACATGTCAGCTGAGTCTGTTATAATTTCACCACAAACTGTTCCCAATTCTGTTATGATACTTTGTGTAACTTTAGGAGATAACATGGTGGCAATCTGAAGAAAAAAAATTACATACAAAAAATAAAACTCAAATTTTTTTTATTTTTATTATAAACAATTTGCAATTAATTTTTTAATTACCTCAGAACTAGTAGCAATCATTTTGTCCAGCATTGTGCTAATTAGAATTTCTTTCTCCTCTTGATTTAACTTTGGTGGTACTTTTCTAATTTAATTATTCAAGAAAAAATATTTTTCAAATTCTCTTAATTTAAAAATTTTTAATTATAAAAATTAATTTTATTCTTTTTTAAACAAAAATTCGATAAAATTTCAAAATAAAAGTAAATTTAAATAAAGAGCTAAAAGATATTGATAAATAGAAAATAAATTAAAAAATTATTAAATAAAAAAAGGATACAATAAAGAGATCATTGCTTGTAGAATGAGAGAATAAAGTTGTAATGGTCGATAACCAGAAGGTGATTGAAGAAGTGCCAATAAACTAGCAAGAGCATTGGCTTTTGTCTTCAGTCCTGGAGAATCAGTTTGCGGCATAGAAAGAACTACTTTTCCCACCTAAAAATTTTTTTCCTACAAATTCTCATTTGTAAATAATAATTTTTTCTACATTTTTTCAGTTGCATAAAAAAAAAGATAGAAGAAAATTTACGCTTTGTTAAATTACTAAATAATTCTTATTAAAAAAAAAAAATAAAAAATGCCAACTAACTTGTTCCAAGGCAATTAAACCCGCTTCTTTTGCCATTATTTCTTTACAATCATGTAACTGACGAATAATCCATGGTAAAATATGTCTTTCAATTTCAGGGAATAAAATTTCCGCATTTCCTTTGCGCATAATTTCTGCATAACATTTTAATAATCCAGCTTTTGCATGTTCAGCTGTAATTAATGCTTTCACATCTTTAACAAGACCCAATAATTTCACTGGTTGTTTACGTGAATCTTCAATATTACAAGAATCTTCCATTAATTTTAATATAATTTCTAAATGACGTTTCGCACAAATTCCAATAGCTCGTGAATATTCGCCTGAATTATTTGTAGTATGTAATCGTGAAAATGCAATTAATGTATTAAAATGTATAATATCGGCTGTAACAGCGCCTAATAATGGTCCAATATGCGGTGCAGTTATTTTTCTCGCTAATTCATCAGCTAAATTTTTACTCCAATTTTCACCTTCGGCCTGTACACTTTCCTCTAAAAATTCAACGAGTCGTTCCTCCCATTTCAATGTCCTTTAAAAAAGAAAATTTAATAATTATATATAATTAAATTAAATTTTATTTTATAATTAATAAAATTTTTCAACCTTTCATTTGATAATTGTGATGTTACATCCTCTTCGAGAATTTCCATGAGTTCCTGTAATTTTATATCCCATTTGGGCTTGAGCATGTGACCCAAAAGAGGAGATGCTGATCGTAAAAAATTCAAAACAGCAATTCGATTTTTTTTCTCTTCCAAAAGTTCAAGACATCGACTTAATACTTTTATACTTGGAAAATCTTTTTGTACAATATTTATGTTTTCATCGCGTATTACTTTTCCAGCGAGTGGTGAAAGAGCTCTTAATACAGAATTTGCCTGCAATTTTATAAAAAAAAATTTATTTTATAAAAAAAAAAAAATAAAAACTTTTATGAAAAATGTTTTACTTTTTTCCAAATTTTCAATCATGAAATTATTAATTAGAGAAAAATTATTGAAAGAAAATATTGTATTTTTAATATTTACGGATAAAGTGCAAAGGGGATCTAACAAAGCCGAAATTAACGATGGCCATAGCCAGGTTTCCACTCCTTCAACAGTGCTCGATAAAAGATGAAGAGCTTCATCGTAAGCAAGTGCCTCTTCATTTTTTGCCGCGCAATTCGTTACCTATAATTTTAATTTTAATTAATAAATAATTGTTTTTTTTTTAAATTAATAACAAATATTTACCATAAAGCGAATGTAAGTAGCTCTTTGAGATGGAAGAAGTGAGAGATTTGGACGTGCCATTAAAGCGACAATTGCACCGACCATTTGATGAGCACTACTTTCTCCAAGAGAGTCTTGCAAGCTCAAAGCAATTCTTTGCATTGACGTATCATTTTCTTCAGGAAGTGCATTTATCAAATGTTTCAGGACCATCAAAGCTCGTGAACGAATCGTTACAGAATGAGATTTTAAACTTGATAGAATTCTAAAATTTGTAAATTTTGAAAAAAAATCACATTTTTCGAAAAATTCCCATTAAAACATTTATGTTTTAAATAAACATTTACCTATCTAAGCCTTCTTCGGGATAAAGAATGACTATTGCATGAAAACATTTCAAAACTTCGTAATGTGTTAAAAGTGTATCACGACTCACTGTGAAAGGTGTAATACAAATATATTCAAATAATACTTGATGAATATTCTCCAAGTATTGACGTAAATTTTCCTTGTCTACTTCTGTAGCAGCGCTCAATATTACCGCAAGTACTCTATAAAACAAGTTAATAAAAAAAATTAAAATAAAAAAATTCATTAGTTCATTCATTAATTTTTAATAAAATTCGATTATACCTCGAAATGGCCAGACGAATGTTGGCGAATTTTTTACAAAGATTTAAAAGAATTGGAATCAACTTAACAGTATCGTTATGATTGGAATTTTTCGGAAGAAGTGGTAAAAGTGAACTTATTGTAACTAATACACCTTCAATTATTTGAGAATCTCGACTCCCTCGTAACCAACTATCAATCATTGTATTAAAAAGTATATTTTTCATCATTGTAATTTCAAGATCAAGATTCATATTTTTTTGTGAATTTTCTTTAAATTCGCCAACAATTTCATTTTCCGAATTTTGTGGCTCCTCATTATTTATAAAATAATCGTTTATTGCCTCGGCAAATTTTCCAAGAGCTGTCGAATGAAAAAAAAAAAAATTAGTAAATTATTATTTTATAATGTCAATTTTTCTATATAGTTAAAATTCTCTTATTTATAGTTAATTAATTTTAATCCACTTACTAAAACATATTGCAATTTTTAATTGTTGATCGTGTATTCGATGCATCACAGGCATTAATAAATTTAAAAAAATACGAATATATGATATTGTATCGTGAGCATTATTAATTGCTATTAGACCAACTACTTTTACAATAGCTTGATTTGGTATTTCCGATAAACTGAATCTAGAAAAAAGAGATTTTTTTTTTTTTTTTGTAGACAAAATTTAAAAATTTTATTTCTAAAGATTACCTGGCTATTACATCACTCATAGCTTGTTTACAATATGCTTTGCTCAATGCAACCAGTAATTGTGAGGCTTGATCTTCCATATCACCATGCAATTCATCTAGAGCTAATTTAGCAACTTTTGATGCTGATTCATCATCTAAAAATGCTGTCTCTTTTAAGCCTTCCGTTATTATTTTTAATAAAGCTATTGTTTGTTCCGAAGACATCTAAAATATTTCATAAATTTATATATACAGGGTATTTAAAAAGTTTCGGAATTTTTAATTTATTTAGAACAAATTTACCTTTCTATGAAGTTCCCAAAAATAAACAGCTGCCTGAATAACAATAGCAGGATATTCATCTGATAATTGTCGAATTGATTCAATGACAGATTGTTCAACTCCTTCATTTTTATCATTTAATAAAACATCTAATAAAGCGCCGACCACAGCTAAAGGAATATTAAAACAAAAATAAATATTTAAATTAAAAATTTTTAAATTTGATTTTTCTATAAAATAGTTTAAATTCTGAAATTTATTATAAAATTAAATTTTGTTTCGATATTTTAAGTTACACGAGATCCTGACCTCATTATATTTATTATTATCGCAAACACTGATAATTAATTAACAACGTTAATTAACACTTTTAGCATAAATAAATATAACAAGATATTAAAAAAAAACAGTTCCTACGCACATATTAAGAAATAAAAAATAATTTATCATTTAAAAATTATTTAAATATGTTAAAATTCAATAAATTTAAGAATTGCATCTTATTATGAAAAAAAGGTAATAAATAATATTATAATAATATATTGATAAAAAATAAATACCTGGAAGTTCTGCCATACCAATTGCTTCGTTGTCCTCTTTCATGTTATTATATTAAAAACACTTGTTTCTTTAATTATAAGATAAAATTATTATGACTGTCAAAATACGATGTTGTTTGTTGATTAATTGTTTATTTGTGGCAACAATGACAGTTGCCATAACCTATAAATATTGTCGTGTCAGGGTTGGGAAGTTGAAATTTTTCGCGCGAAATTTTTAAATATTAAATTATTATAAACATTTGCATATATAAAGAATTAATAACATCGTGACCAAATTATACAATAAATAATTCTAATAATCTTCCAATATTCATTAAAAAAATAAAAAAAGATAAACAGATTTAAATAAAATAAATGAGCAAAAATTTGATACAGTGCGCATGCGTAACGGTAAAATTTTTTCAACCAATTATAAATTTGTTTATCATGTGACATATTTAAATTTAAAAATTGCATATTTAAATTTTGTAATAATAATATAAATTAATCTTCCACATTATTTCTAATATTAAATAATTTAAATATTACTAATAATAATAATAATAATAAAAATAATAAACAAATGTGTAATTTATAAAAATTATGAATGGTAGATATAATAAGCTCTATTATTTATATTTTTAAATTGTTTGTTTCGGAAATAAAATTTGCAAAATCTATTTTTACAATCAAGGAAGAATTCAAGGAATAATTATATTTTGTAATGAACCCGAAAACAAGGTCGAAAATCGTATTAAAAAAAAAAAAAAAAACGTTTCTTGATTCCTTTTACGAAAATTGGCGGAAATTTCCGAACACCTGTCATCCAAGCTCAGTAACGGAGAACGAGTTAATGGTGCCCGGCACTTTTTTAAATGTGTAAATAAAATGATCATAAAAAAAGAATACAAAATAATTAAGTCTAAAATAATTAATTATTGATTATGAAAAAAAGCATGTTTAAAATTTATCACAAATGCAATTGTTTATAATAAAAATGGTAGTAAAAAAATAAGTTTGAAAGTAAAAAAAAAAAAAAAAAAAAAATTGAAAGAAGGAAAAAAGTCTAGTGATCGAATTATACGTTCCTGAATGCGTCATGTCGTCACACTACACACTTGACAAGTAACAAGGTTGCAGACTATTTTGCACAATACGTATATACATTTACAATTTACATTAGGACTCCAATTTGGGACATGGTCGTAGTTGGATGTCCGTATGTCCGTAGTTTAGTTTAGTTTAATTTGTTTTAATTTGGCTAATTGTGTTTATTAATGAAAAGTGTGTATTTGTTTGAAACTGATTTAAACCTGGTATTAAGCCAGGAGTGAAATAATTGCAAGAATTTGTATTGAGAATTATAATATTAATTGTGGTTAGATACTACTATCTTCTTGGTCACATGTCTAACAGCAATATATGAATCCGAGTGCATCTTAAATATAAATAACCACACCTTATGATAAATGGATTTTATATAAATTATTACTGATTTCTTTCTGAATGGAAAAATGATTTTTAAAGCGTGCAGAAGGAATAGCGGAAAAATCAATTAAGGAAGCGTGATGGTCTCATAACCTAAAATCAATGGTTGATAATTTGAGGAAAATTTGCCACATTCTTTAATACCATCGGAATACAGGTATTAATTTCGAAAATAAATATTCGGCCTTGCTGATTTATATTTTGGAGTTTGCTGCTTTTTGGATTTGTGCTAATTTAGTTTATGCTTTCCTTCAATTTATTCTCTCCTAATAAATTCTTCATTTGCTTGGCTTTATCCCTGCTTAAAAATTAATGGTTTAAACCATAATCCTCAACTTGCCTGAGTGAGTACATTATTATTTTTTTTTTAATTTTTCTTGCTGATTTTGTTTAAAAAAGAAAAAGGAATAAGGAGAGGAAAAGGAGGTTAAAGAGGGAAAGAAGAAAAAGAAAAAAAGAAAAAAAAAAGATAAGAGTTGATTTTGTTAATAAATAAGCGTGTTAAGTTTGGAAATGCTTTTCCTCCTTTTTTTTCCTTATGCTGGGTAAATAGGGGATTTGAGCAGTCAGTCTCCTGTAATTATTAATCACTGAGACATTGTGCGTTTTTAAATCTTGGGGATTATTAGCAAATTAAGATTTGCTTAAAAAAAAAAAAAAAAAAAAAAAAAAAAAAAAAAAAAAAAAAAAAAAAAAAAAAAAAAAAAAAAGAAAGGGAAAGGGGAAAAAAAAAAAAAAAAAAAAAAAAAAAAAAAAATTCTCTCTTTCTTTGCTTAATTAGTTAGATTACTGATTGATTATAGATGTCTTGGTACTGGATGTGAAAATAGGGCTAAATTGTTTCTCTCTATTGTGGTTGCTTTACTTACTTGAATTTTTTTTCAGCTTGATCCGGTTTAATACGAATGAGATGGAGTCCTTGAGGGAAGAGTCTGCTGAGGAGGGTGTGCCGTCTGGAGGTTTGGAACGACCTGGTCACAGTGTAAATGAAATCCCTAATCCTGCGGTCATGAGTTGCGTTATGGATGCGGATATAGATCTTTTGACGGGGAATAATATTCAATCAGCGGAGAATGACACTAATTCTTTCCTTCCTTCCCCAATTAGACCCTCAATTAATCCTAAGAAAAGGAACATATCCGTTAGGAATAACAATGAATCAGTTGCAACGGGCTCTTCAGATGGTTCATTTGGTCATATTACAAAAAAACTCCTAATTCCTGAAAAAAATTCTTATCGAGAAATACGGGCCGATCGACAACCACATTCCGCGGATATTGGTCCCGAAAATGCAAGCAATCAATCTCAGTTTGAGGATGTAATTTGGGATCAACACGATCTTGAATGGAATAATAGTATTCTTCCTCCACTCTATTCCGCTTCTAGCCCTCCCCCATTTATTGTTTTAATGGAGAGCACCATTAGAGGCAAAAATATTGGAAAACTGGACCCGATATGTGTAATTGATCTAATATCGCCTATTATTGAGGGGGGAAAACAAATAACACGTAATGGGAAAAATCAAATAAAAATTGATTGCGCAAAATGGCAAGATGCTAACACCTTAGTTGGTGCCAAAGAACTAATATTGGCGGGATATGTTCTCTTCATCCCAGATTCCTTTTTGAGAAAAAAGGGATTCACAAGATGGTTCCCCACTAACAGATCAGTCAGGGATATAGTTAGGGTATGTCGTGAAGGAGACTTGGATAATATAGCTAGTATTCGTCGTATTATTGATGATAGGAACACAATTCTAGAAAAGATAGAATTTACTTTCAATTCACCTATCGTTCCACGTAACATTGTACTAGGTGATTTTGTTATCCCAATAACTCCTTCCTTACAGAGACCTCGGAGATGCTTCCGTTGTCAGCGTTACTGCCATGTGGCTAATCAATGTCGTTCGACTTACCCGACGTGTGAATTTTGTTCTGGAAGGCATTTGACAGACCTTTGTCCGAATGGTCACTTGCAACCAAAATGTAAAAATTGCAAGGGTTCCCATGTGGCCTCTTCATCGGAGTGCCCTGTATTTAAATTTGAATTTGGCATTTTAAAATATCGTTATATCCATAATTGTAATAGAGAGGAGGCTAAACTTCTGTTTTATGCGGAAAATCCTGATTTATTAAATAACATTGAAACTAGGGGTGAAACACCTCTGCCTTTGCCGGTGATTCGTCAGGGTATGACATCAACCCAACCAACTAGGTCTTCCACACCTATTGACCTTCAAGATAAGGTAAATAATCCCATTCCTGATCCGGTTTTGGAAATTTCGAATGCGCTGAATCAGCATCAACTGTCTGAAAAAATATCGGCTGTAAACACACTTATAAATATCAATCAGTCTCGCTCAAACTTGATTAACTCAATAAATGAGAATCTCTCTACAAAATGAACACTTAGAAGAGTTCAATTTTTTTATTTACTAAGAGATTTAATAGTTCTATTTTTGTTAGTTTTAAGTCGTTATAGTTATTGGTATTGATTGGGCTTAGAGGTTGGCTAAGGGAAAAGAAAGAAAGAAGAAAAAAGGGAAGGGAAGGGGGGAAAAAAAAAAAAAAAAAAAGAGAAAAGGAATAATGAGGGGTAAGGGATGGCCCTGTTTTAATATTTCTATATTTTAATTCTCACTGTGTTTCATAATTTGAGTCTGACTGCTCAAATATAAAATCGATTAAAATAATTGGAGTGTTATTGTTTTGTGTACTATAAATGGTTACGGGTTGTAAAACACCTCCTACTAAATTTGATAGATGTTTAGGAGGATTTGGCAAAATTAATCGTATTATCTTCCTTGAAGGATTATTAAACTACTATATATTCAATTGGTTATACTAAGGATAATTAATTTTGTTGGTAATTAATCCACATTAAATAATCCTCAAAAAGGGGAGATAAGGAATAGTTTTCTACAAATTGTTTGAGGTTTTTTTTGTTTTGTTTTGATTTTATATACTACTTGTTTTTTGCTATGGCTATTTAGGTATTTGGATACTCGGGAGTTATTTGAGGAGTTTTGTTGGTTAAACTTTGAGGAGGTAATTGATATTTGGATTGGATAGAAGTGAGAAAATAGTTTGCCCGTTGTTCTACTGGTAATATAACTTATAACAGTAATCTGTAATTGGATTGTTGTTCGTAATGATGTCTTCAACCAATCAAACTATTAAATATGGAATTTGGAACGCTCACAGTGTGCTAAATAAACGTGCTGAAATAGAGTCGATGTTACATATTTATGGGCTGGATGTCTTGGCCATTGCGGAAACTTGGCTCACTGCTGGAACTAAAGTTTGGCAAATCCCTGGCTATTCCACCTATCGCTGCGATCGGCTTGATCAGCGACATGGGGGTGGGGTGTTGATCTTGGTCCGTAGCAGGTTTATGGTTGCGCCTATTAAAGTCAAACACTCAATATTAGAATACATTGATTGTGTAGGGGTAACCATTGCTTCTGACATAGGGAAAATCCAGTTTTTCTCGGTCTACGCCCCTCCTAACGTTAAGATTCCCTCTCGAATTTGGAAACAGCTGACTAGCTGTGGTACTAAAGAAAATCCCTATATTCTATGCGGTGACTTTAATGCCCACGCATGGATGTGGGGGGCAATTAATTGCAATTTGAGGGGAATCCAACTGAGCGAGGCTGTGGAAGAGGCAAACCTGGTCCCGCTGAACGATTGCGATCCTACATATGTTAGTGGTAGGGGTAAGGTTGGGGGGAACATTGACCTAATATTTGTCTCTGCTGACCTGTGTAGACTTACGTCGGCTGATGTTACCTCTGACACCTTTAGTTCGGATCACTTCCTGGTTGTGGCTTGTACGGATGTCTCCGCTAAATATCAAAAGGCCTCAGTCAATAGACTGAACACTAATAAAGTTGATTGGGCGAGATTTTCCTCTGGAATTAATTCCTGTGTTAAGATTCTGTCACAACGTCTTGAGGTTGAGGATTCCCCGGAGGTGATCTACGATCAGTTGTTGACTGACATAAAAGATCAGTTGGTTATTGCGGGAGCCTATTACCCCTCAGGACTTCCTGGTCTAAGAAAAGCCAAACCACTCTGGTGGGACCAATCTTGTGAGGAGGCTCTTGAAAGGCGTAGAGAGGCCAGAAAGAACTTCCTAAAGTCTCAGTCCCAGGAAATGCGAGTTATATTTGATCAAGTTGATAGCGAGGTTAAGTGGTTTTTGAGAAACAAGAAAAAGACTTCTTTCGTTGATTTCTGTAACTCGGTTAGTCCGGCGATGGGTTCTAAAGAGATTTGGAAGAAGGTTAGGGCTTTCTCGTCTTCAACGCAACCCTTACGTACAGGGATTTGCAATGACCCCGACTCTGAAATTTTTAGCAAACTACAAAGGGATTTGGTGAAAGAAGATGTTCTTCCTGTAGATCTTCCCCTGATTCATGGAGTTAATAATGACTCCCTACTTAATGGTCCATTCTCGAGAGCGGAATTTAAATCAGCAATGTGTTGTGGTAAGAGGGATTCTGCTCCAGGTCTAGATGTTATTTCCAATTTAATCTTGCGTCAACTACCAATGGATGCCCACAACTTGCTTTTGTCTCTTTTTAATGAGTTCTTCTTAAAGTCATCCTTTCCAACGTCATGGAGAAACACGAGAGTAGTTTTCATTCCCAAACCGGAGGGCAAGGGCTATCGTCCGATTTCATTGACATCTGCGGTTAGTAAACTGTTTGAGCGGATGATTCAAAAGCGACTAGAACACTACCTAGAAATGAAAAACAGTATTCCGATAGGTCAGTTTGGATTCCGCAAGGGGAGATCGACGATCGACTGTGTTTCCACCTTTACTACGGACATTCAGCAGGGCTTTGTCGGGGGGCACCATACTGTGGCCTTGGCCTTGGATCTCAAGGGTGCATTTAGCAACATCCTTCCCAGTGCAATTTATAGTCACCTTGTCAAACTGCGAGTTCCTGACAGATTGGTGAATTTCGTCTCGTTTATTGTTTCGTCGAAGAACTTGTTTTTTTCAGCAGATTCGTGTGATTTTAAGGTTTCGCATGTAGGTGTTCCACAGGGAGGGGTGTTATCGCCCCTGCTTTTTAACTTAGCTTTAAGTGGAATAGCCTCTGTCATTCCCTATAGAGTCAAATGGCTAATGTTTGCTGATGATCTTCTCCTATATGTGAGGTCGAAAGATGTTAAGGATGCGATAGACTTGATCGAGGAAACTGTAGGGGTATTAACACCTTGGCTAGCAGAGATTGGTCTTGACATCGCTCCGGGCAAGTCACAATTAACCATTTTTTCCAAAACACGAGATAAGCTTAATGATATATATTTAAAAATAGGGAACAATAGAATTAAAAATCAGGATGACTTGATCTATCTGGGGATTCACTTGGACCGCAGATTGACTTGGTCACTGCATATAAGGAGTATAGCTCAAAAAGCTTCTAGAGCCATCAACATCCTGAGAGCTATGTCAAAGATATCATGGGGAGCAAATCCTTCCTCAATGATCCTAATTTATAAGGGTTTAATCAGGGCTCACCTGGAGTGGGGTTGTCAACTCTTCGCAAATGCTAGTCGATCTAACTTGGACCTTCTAGATAAAATACAACTGGCTGCGTTGCGTGCCATTTTAGGATGCATGAAATCAACCCCTGTCGGCATCTTGTTATCTGAGGTGAATGAGTCACCACTGGCCTTGAGACGCTCGATCATTGGCAAACGGCACATGCTCCGAAATCTTGCTTGGTCTCTGAACCCTCTCGTTCCAAAGTTGCAATTGTTGTCTGAGAAATGCCTAATAGATAAGAGATATAGACGGGACACAGGTTCGATGAAGTTTTCATTGCTGGATACATATCGAGATATGACATGTATTACTAGGAAGGCTTTTAAATCCAGGAAACCCTCAACTTTTGATATGACTTGGGAGGAGCTATCTAGTTCCCTTGACATTGACGTTCATTCTGGTCTTGAACTGAAGAATGATGCTCAACCCGATAGAGCCTTTAATCAGTTGATGCAGCGGGATTTTTCAGAATTTATTCAATTTTTTACTGATGCTTCTCATAATCCAGTTAAGGGTCTTTCTGGCGCTAGTTTTGTTGCTCCTTCTATTAATTTGGAATTTGGTGTTCGTTTGAGCGGATTGATGTCGGTAGATTCATGTGAGGCATATGCAATCTATTCGGCATTGAGGCACTCTTTACAGATGAAAAACGATAATACACTTATCATATCTGATTCACGGAAAATTTTACAAGAACTTGACCAAAGAATATGGATTAGGGATCCTCATCCTTTTATTGTAAAGATTCTCAGAGTGATTTTCGAGTTGAAGAACCTGGGTGGAAGGGTACGATTTTTATGGATTCCGGCGCATATAGGGATCAAGGGGAATGAAATGGCAGATTTGGTAGCTAAAAAATCATTGTACTTACCTTTTGGGAACTACTCAGGTACCCCCCTGCGTGACTTTATTTCTCTGTTAGAGCGAGATTTTGAGTCATGGAAATCCTTAAATTGGCCATACGCCGATATACGGTACTCGAGTAATAGATATTATACAAGGGTTAATTGCAAAACCAAAAGACCTTGGTTTAAAGGAATCCAAGCTCCACGCCGATACATTAATACTGTGACCAGGTTGCGGACCTCGCATATATGTACGGGAGAGCACTTTGAAAGAATGCAGTGGACTCTTCCTTTAGGATGTGAGTGTGGTGCGGAATATAAAGACCTCAAACACCTACTTAGCTACTGTCCTATTCTTTCCACGGGTAGACCGGCTTTCTTTTCATATCTAAATACCAAGATAACTGATTTTAATCCTGATAATTTTGATTTGGACAATTTGATTTTTAATCCAAATGCTGATATAGTTGTAGAAATCGGTAAATTTTTTGCTAGTGGCGATGTGGTTATTTGAGCAGAATGAATTGAGATTTTATTACTAAATGTTTAATTTATAAGTTAATTATATATTTTTTTTTTTTTTTTTTTTGTTTTTTTGTTTTTTTTGTTTTTTTTTTTTTTTTTTTTTTTTTTTTTCTCTTTACACGCTCTTCTTATTGAGTGTATTAATTATTCTTAATTTTAAGATTGTAATGGAATAAATAATAAATAGAGGAAAAAGAAGGAAGGAGAACGGTTGAAGGAAGAAGGAAGAGATTAATAAAGAAATTTATCATAAGCATTTTATTATTTTCACTTAAACTTTCTTAGTCTCACTTGGGTAGAGAGAACTTGGTTTTGAATTATTCAAATTTTCCCGCTCTCCCTCTCCCTCTAGCATACTGCACTGTGGGATCTATTAAAGGCTATGTACATAGCTGTATCTGACTTACATACACATACCTGGATTTACATACATCTAACTGGAAATAAAATTTAGTACTGGCTACCTGTATATACAAGAGGCCATTTAAACAAAAAGAAGAAGACAATTTACATTAGTCATACAACACTTGGAGAACGAGAAGGTTGTGAAATACAAAGTGGTGGCTTTCCGGCACTGATAATTCAATAGACAAGACATTATTGTGGATGGTGGAATCGTTGAAATATCACGAACGGACAGAGTGGCGCATCAAGCTGGAATTCTCGTAGTAAAAAATAAATAAATTAGTGCGGTAAGATCGCAATGGTCGCGATCATATTTCGACGAACTATTTCGATGATGGCCGTGTCGCATTTAGTTTTTTTCCTTCTATGTCTGATTGCAACAACGGTAAGTGCTTTTCAATACATTACAATATTATCATTGCAAAATGATTCTTGTGTTTTAAGTTGTAAATGCCCCACCCCCGTTTTGTTGATTATGAAAAAAAAAGATTTGTAATGACGTCATTTGCTTGGAATGCCTTAAACTTATCCAAACTGACATTCGGCTTATTAAATTTAATTATATGTCCTTGTCGAGGCTTCTTTAGATATACATAATTACAAAATATAATTATTATATTAGTCAGTTTGTTTTTAATTAAGGATTTATAATTAAATGACATACGCATTTTAAATTATATTATTCTTTTCTTTTTCATTTTTTTTTCTCTGTGTATAGTATAAAAAAACAATGAAAATGCAAATATTTAAAAAGTCATTTTTATTATTCTAGTCATGTTTTCTTTTATTGATTTATTCAAAAGAAATTTGTATATTGGTTAAATAAGACGTTTTATGATATAGGAGATAAATACAATCTTGTTTGTTTATTAGTCACTTGTTTAGTTGTCATATTAGTCATTTTCTTTAATTTCTAGAGCGCAGGTGTCTGATCGATTCCAACATTCTTATCATATGAAAAGATTTAATCGAATTTTCAACTTTTTTTTAATACATTCAAACCCCGCGTAAATAAAATAACTAAATAAACAAGTAGACATTGTTAAATATTCATTGTCTTAAAAGTCAATTTTTTATTAACTAAACAATTTTCAGTAAATAAAAAGTGAGAACAAATTTAAAATTTAGTTCTTATTAATTAAGTAGAAATGTTTACTTACAGTGAAATTTTTTTTTATATCTAATACAAAAAAAGGACTTTCTTTTTAAATATAATATTATAGCCATTTTAATTATTGTAAAATAAATTTATAACTATTAATTTTGAAAATAATATTAAGTGTAATTATTTTAAAAGTAATTTATTTTTTTTGATATTACAAGAATTGGTTTTATTGTTGTCTTATCTATATTGAACTGTTAGAAAATGACAATTTAAGAAGTTGAGTTATTTAAAAAAAAAAAAAGTTGTCGGACTGAATATTTAAAATATATAAAATTATTAAATTGCGAATTATGAAGTTTTCATTTCTATTATTTACATTGATTGAACTCTATAACCTTGTGGATGATTCCTGAATATAAATGAACATTAAATTGATATTCAATCAAAGATAACAAGTACTGATTAAACAATAAATAATTATAATTAATTCATACTCTTTCCAAATTGTCTTGTGAAAAAGAAAAAATATATATTATTTTCAATTCTTATAATTTAGAAATTTTATTCTTATAAAATACAAAGTCGAGGTGTCAATTTCATTGTGTTTTTGCAACACGTTGCATTCCTCCAGTTTATAAAAATAGAATCATCGAAAAAAAAAAGAAAGATTGACCTTAGGATATTTTAGTGGAAAACTTTTATAGTATCACACATGAAATTTATTTCTTCAACCACGAAATTTTGGATTCTTTGAAGAAATAACATTTTTTTTTTTTTATAATCATAATAAAAATTAAATTTTAAATAATTTTTTTTTTTCTATTTCAGGTGAAGGCGCAAGATAATGGACACTGTATTTGGTATGGAGAATGTAATCTTGATGATTATCAACGAAAGCAAAATTGTCCAAATACAGGTCCAGCTCAATTATTGGACACAGAGGGACAAAAACTTCTACAAAAACACTGTCCACACATGATTCAAAATTCTGAAATAAAAACGTGTTGTGACACAAATCAATTGAGAACACTAGATCAAAATATTAATCTAGCAGCAAATTTTCTCAACAGATGTCCCAGTTGCCTTGATAATTTAGTGAAACATTTTTGTGAATTCACTTGCAGTCCACAACAATCGACGTTTATCAACGTTACGGAAATATTAAAAAACGATAAAAGTAAGAAAAATATTAAATAACATAATGGAAGTAAAAAAAAAACATGGATTTTAAATCAAAAATGTATTTTTATAAATAATTTAAAATTCCTTTTTTTAAAAGTGATAAATATTTCAACAGAATAAATCGATGGTGAAAGTGGAGCGAACTAACAAATTATTTTTTTTTCTTTGTTTTCTTTTAGATATTTCCTACATAAATGGAATAGAAGTTTATATAACAAACAAATACATTAATGGCACGTTCAACTCATGTAATAAAGTCTCTGTGCCAAGCACCGGACAATTAGCATTGGATATAATGTGTGGAGATTGGGGGGCAAGTAGATGTAGCGCAAAAAGATGGTTCGATTATTTGGGCGATGCATCAAATATTTATGTGCCTTTTCAAATCACTTACAAAACAGTGGATCACAATGAAGATGGTTTTGAACCAATGGATCCAAAAGTAACACCATGCAGTCAACCTTTGGATGTGAGAAAAATAAATTTTTAAATTATATAATTTAAATCAATTAAAATTATTTAAATAATTGAAAGTTAAAATTTCATTTATAATTTAATTTTAATTAAAAATAAATTTTTATTTTTATTCTTAAAATAAAAATAAAATTTTATTTGAATTTCGAAATATTTTTTTGTTTTAGTCAAAATCGCCAGCGTGCAGTTGCGTGGATTGTGAGGCAAGTTGTCCCGTGCCACCTCCGCCCCCACCTTTACCAAAGCCATTCGCTATAGCCGGTTTCGATGGCTATGGAGTAATTATGATAATTATTTTCATTTGCGGATCAACCCTTTTTCTACTCTCGATCATCTGCTTTAGCAACAGGAAGCAAATTGGTAAGTCATTGCTTACATAATGAGAAATACTTGATTAAATACCTCGTGGTTCAAAAGATCACAGTGATTATTCATTAGTGAAGATTTACAGACTTCAAGTAAAAGATAATGGAATAAAATTGCAAAATGAACATTTAATTTTCATTTGAGATTGTCGAGTTTTGCTTTGTCATTTTTTTTTTCTTTGTAATCTCTTTCAGTGACAAACAGAAATTTCAAATATCTTAAAATTTTACTTCAATTTTTCAGATAATAATAATTTTAAGAAAAAATTTTTAAAAAAAAACCATAATAGTAAAAAAACAATAACAAATCTTAATCAGTTATTAAAATATAATTTTATCTTTTGCTGGAATTTACATCAATATTGGAAAATTCTTAATTATTTAAGTCACGCAATTATTACATCATTCAGTAAATTGTCACGTAAAGTCAAATTAATCAATAATTTGTAGTTTTGAGATATATATATATTTTTTTCTATCAATTATAGAAAAGTCTGATTAATCTATATACTAATTCCCCTAATATTATTAGTTAAAAAAGAAATTGAAACAGTAATAATTGAATATAATTTTCTTTTTTTTTCTGTATTACAATATTATAAAAAGATTTTATTTCAGATTTATATTACATATATTATTTTATATTGTGAACTTTCTTATAATTATGTGATTCATTCAATTAGAATTAAATGTCAGTCATTGAAATAATTGAGTAATGACGCCTACTTAAGCGTGGTTAAGGGATTGAGAATGTAATTAACAATGAGAGGAAAAAAAAAATTGGAAGGTGGTGGAAATTTTACAGACCATCTTTTGTGATGATTTTGGTTGTGGTTTTAAATTTGATTTTTGCAAAATATCTCTTAATATAAAAATTTTCAATTAGATTTAATTTTGTTCTAACATGATTTTTATTCCTTGAATTTTATTTTTCTATTTTACTTTTTTCTCTGAATATGATTTATCTATTAATTTGTTTTAATTTACCGAGTTTTTCTATTGAGTCTCAATTTAACAAATTTTTGCTAACTCGAATTTGCATTTATTCGAATTTTTCCATTTACTTTGAAAAATTCAGATTTTTATTAAAACGATTAAAAAAAAATTGAAATTTGAACTTTGGTTTTTTTTTTTTAAATATAAATTATATAATTTTTTTGAGATGTGAATGTATGGGAATGTGTATGTGTGTGTAGTTGCACGAGGGGAAGAGGTAGGAAGGCAAGTGGGTAGACGACTAGCCGCTGGGCTTCATCATCCTGGAGATAGTGCTCGTATTGCTCTTGCAGCTGATCAAGAAGACAGTCCACTACAATCAAAACGTTCCAGTATGTCACACTGAGTTCCAAAATTTTTGTTTTTTCCAGCAATATTTTGTGGCTGTCCTATCGCTTTTTTCTCTTTCATATTAATATCTCACATTTATTAAAAATTAATTCAATCTTTTTTTTTTAATTAACCAAAAAAAAAAAATAATTTCTTTTATGATAAAAATATAAAAGAAATAATTTTTTTTCCAGCATTAAGCATGAAATTGCATGTTTATTAAAAACTAAAAAAACGATTCCCTAAAACAAAATAGACAAAAAAAAAAATCATGCTACAGTAAGGCGAAAAAAATACCATTTTAAATGGAAAATTCATTTACTTTGATGAATAAATTATTTGGCTCATCTATATAATAGAATAATATATAAAAGCGTCAATGCACAGTGATGCAGTAGAAATTTTTTTTTTTACCCCTTTCAATGAATGATTCACAGATATGGAAATGACTTATTTGTCTTAACTGATAAGCTCAAGAAATATTTTGCATATATCCATTTGGAATATTTTCAGTTATAGAAGCTACATTTTTTTTTTGTTATCATTATATATTTTTATTTTTAATTTGTGTTTGTGTATAATTTAATCGTCTATGTTGTATTAATTGTTGCAAGGCAAATATTTTATTTCAATTTGTAATTCTTGATTTTTGTTTCAATTAAAAATATTAGAAAATATTTTTATTTAATAAAAAAAAAATTTTAATTTTTAAATTTGATAAATATTGTATAAAATTTACAATAATATTTGTTTTGTTTATTATAAATTATTTTCTTAATCAAATTGATCTTGAGCATTTTCTGGATAAGGCATGACTTATTAACGTCAGTGTTTTAATAGTTAGTGATTATTAAGCGCATTTTTTCCAACCCATGTTGGTAACTTGACTCATAAATTAAAAATTGCAATTAATTATATATGATTTTTCACTTTGCTCATTAATTTTGTTTTCTAACAATCGTACGATAGATTTTTCGTAAAATATATGTACTTTCATGTTTAATGGTTAATAATTAATAATTTCATTTTTTTTAAAAGATATTTTTGATACTTTTAATTTTGTTTTGTTTTTTAACAAACTATTTAAAAAAAAATTCATTATAAAATTAATTTCACACTAAAAATTTTGTAAAAATATGTAAATAAAATAAATTTTATTTATTATAAAACAAAAAATTAAAAACATAGTTTATTATTGTAAAATATAATTTATATAATGAATTTCAGTTTTATTTTTAGTTAGAAAATATATTTTCAATGTTACCTGTAATAATATTATTAAAATATTAATGTTTCTCGTTATTCAAACTTGTTTTTATCAATTAATGTTTTTTTTTTTTAAATGTTGCTTTTTTACATTTTAATTTATCAGTTTAATTTATTTTTTTTAGAACGCTTTATGTGTTTATGTAGTCGACGCTTTTCTGTTGATATTCATGACATGATTTTTTTTAAATTAAAATAATATTTATAGGTGTCATATCGGCTGACGATTTGCCAAGTACATTTGAAGATGAGCAATCAACTTTCTTGGAACGTCTTGGTGCTGGAACTGACAAATTCCTACAAGAATTTTTCTGCTCTTGGGGCACCGGTGAGTATTTTTTTTCTTTTTTTTAAATTTATTCTCCTATTTTATTTTATTATTAAAACGAAAATGGTTTCTTTTTGACTAGAAAAATTTATATAACGATTCTTGTCTTTTTGAGAAAAAAAAAGTGACTGAATAATAAATTATTTTCAGCTTGTGCGTCACGTCCCTGGTTGGTTCTTTTTATGGGATTCATCTTGATCGTGACCTTGGGTCATGGAATAAAATACATAATTGTGACAACCGATCCAGTCGAATTGTGGGCATCACCAACATCAAGGTCACGTGTTGAAAGAGAATTTTTCGACAGTCATTTTGAGCCATTTTATAGAACCGAGCAAATTATCATCACATCGATAGGACTACCGCCGGTATAAATCAAATTTCTAATTCTAAAGGATTGTTGAATTGTAAAATGTTTTAAATTTATTCTAATTTTAAAATTGAATCTCTCTCTTTTATGCTTTTCTTAGATCGTGCATAATACATCAAATGGTCCCATTACCTATGGTGCTGTATTCCATGCAGATTTTTTGAAAAAAGTTTTCGAATTACAAGAAGGAATAAAACAGATTGTTATTTCTGATAATCGAACATTGGCTGATATTTGTTTTGCTCCATTGACAAGTCCTTATTCGGGTCCAACAACTGTTTCTCAATGTACTATTCAAAGTATCTGGGGATATTATCAAGATGATATGGATACTTTTGATGGAACGTCTGAGGATAAAAATGGTTTTGTTGTTAATTATTTGGATCACTTTCAGGAATGCACGCAGTAAGTTTCTTTTTTTGGAAAATTTATAAATTTGAAAACTTGAAATAATTGAAATGGATTTTTTTTTTTCGTTTAGGAATCCGTATAATTTAAATTGTTTGGCACCTTATGGTGGACCAGTGGAACCGGCAATTGCAGTCGGTGGTTTTGTAAACAGGGGAGAAAATCTTCTTGATCCTCCATATGAGAAAGCAACAGCGATTATTTTAACATTCCTTGTTAATAATTATCATAATAAAACTAAACTTCAAGCTGCCATGGAGTGGGAAGAGAAGTATGTTTTGAATTTTCAAAGAATAAAATTAAGAAAAGAATTTTTGTTTTTACCAATTTGAATTTTTTAGGTACATCAGCTTTATGAAAAATTGGACAGAAACAATAAAACCAGCCTATATGGATATTGCATTTACTTCTGAGCGTTCGATTGAAGATGAATTAAATCGAGAATCTCAGTCAGATATTTTGACGATTTTAGTTTCTTATCTCATCATGTTTGCCTACATTGCTGTATCCTTGGGACAAATACGAAATTGTAGTCATCTTTTAGTGAGTTTTTTTTCAAAAAATTTTTAAACTTAATTTTTACAACTTAAATTATTAATCAATTTTTTAAATTTTAGTACGATTCGAAAATCACGCTCGGCTTGGGAGGTGTTTTAATTGTTTTGGCATCGGTGATATGTTCAGTTGGAATTTTTGGATTTATCGGAGTGCCAGCGACTTTGATAATTATTGAAGTGATTCCATTTTTGGTGTTGGCAGTTGGCGTTGATAATATATTCATTCTAGTGCAAACAAATCAAAGGGAAGGAAGAAGGCCAAATGAATCAATACCTGAACATATTGGTCGTACTCTTGGACAAGTTGGGCCCAGTATGTTATTAACAAGTATCTCCGAAAGTTGTTGCTTCTTCCTGGGTAAATTTTTTGTCTCCCTTTTTTTTTGAAGGATTAAAAAAAATATTGATTTTTTAAAAATTTATCTCTATCCTTATCCTTAACAGGAAGCCTCTCCGATATGCCGGCTGTTAAAGCGTTTGCTCTTTATGCCGGTATGGCACTTTTAGTCGATTTTCTACTTCAAATAACTTGCTTTGTGAGTCTTTTGACTTTGGACACGTATCGTCAAACTGTAAGTTAATTTTTTTTTCAAACAATTTTTTTTTTTTTTAATAATGAAATTAATCATTTTTGTTTTATTTTTAGAATAATAGACTAGACGTTTGTTGTTTTATTCGCGGGTCGAAGAAAGACAGTGGTGAAGAAGTGGTCGATGGTCTTTTGTATAAAATTTTCAAAGTCGCTTACGTTCCGCTTTTAATGAAAAAATGGGTGCGAGCTGGTGTGATGATTGTTTTCTTCGGATGGTTATGTACAAGTATTGCAATGGTTCCACACATTGAAATTGGATTAGATCAGGAACTTTCGATGCCAGAAGACAGTTTTGTACTTAAATACTTCAAGGTATGATTTTTTTAAATAAATTAATAATTATCTGTTTGCTTCAGTAAAAAATTTTAATTTTTTTCTAATTTATAGTATCTCAACAACTATTTGTCTATCGGGCCACCAATGTACTTTGTGGTGAAAGGGGGTTTAAATTATTCGGACACAAAAACGCAAAATTTGATATGTAGCGGTCAATATTGTAATTCCGATTCAGTTACAACGCAAATATTTACAGCATCCCAACAGCCAAATACGTACGTAATTTTAATTTCTCCTAAATATTATTTTGTTACTACTTTTCTTTTTTTTTTTAAACTGATTTTATTTTCCAGGAGTTATATAGCGAAACCCGCCTCTTCATGGTTAGATGATTATTTCGATTGGTCAATTTTACCATCGTGTTGTAAAATGACAATTTCAAATGATTCCTTCTGCCCACATAATAGTATGTATACTGTGATTTATATTTCAAGAAATATTGAAATTTTAATTTATAACTTTTTTTTTTTTCTTTTTGCGCAGGTTACTCGCCAAATTGTAAATCTTGCAATATCTCAGTGAATAAGTACAATCGACCGACAACGGACGAATTTGAAAAGTACATTTCATTCTTTATACAAGATAATCCTGATGCTTCTTGTGCAAAAGGTGGACACGCGGCTTATGGGCATGCAGTGAATTATTATACAAATCTAAAAACGCATCATTCAAATGTTGGTGCCTCGTACTTTATGGCCTATCATTCGATTTTAAAAACATCGTCCGATTATTATGAATCAATGAGAGCGGCCCGTGAAATATCGGCGAACATTACAAATATGATTAATAATAATCTTGAAAAATGGAATAAAACAACGAGAGTTGAAGTTTTTCCATACAGTGTTTTCTATGTGTTTTATGAACAATATTTAACAATGTGGCCTGATACTATCAAAAGTATTGGTATTTCTTTATTAGCAATTTTCATTGTCACATTTTTATTAATGGGTCTTGATATATTTTCGTCAATTGTTGTTATTGTGACAATTACGATGATTGTTGTTAATATTGGAGGTCTAATGTACTGGTGGTACATCACGCTTAACGCTGTGTCATTAGTTAATTTAGTTATGGTAAGTTCTTATTTATTTTATAACAATTTTTTTTTTAATAAATTAATTTAATTAAAATAATTAATAATTTTTGTTTTTTTTATTATATTTTAGGCAGTGGGCATAGCCGTAGAATTTTGTAGTCATTTAGTGCATTCCTTCTCTGTGTCAGTGAAAGCAACTCGGGTTGATAGAGTTGCTGATGCTTTAACGAACATGGGAAGCTCAGTATTCAGTGGGATTACACTAACGAAATTTGGTGGAATTATTGTTTTAGGTTTTGCAAAAAGTCAAATTTTCAAGGTACGTTAATTTTGTCAAAAAAAAAAAAACCAAAAATTTAATGTTGTTTAATTGTGATAGTGTATAAAAAAAATGTTTTTATTTTTCAGGTATTCTACTTTAGAATGTATTTAGGAATTGTACTCTTTGGAGCAGCGCATGGACTTATATTTCTGCCTGTCCTTCTCAGTTATATTGGTAAGAATAATTTTATTTTAAAAATATTTTACAAAAGTTGTAAAGTTAAAGGAAATTTTTGCACGATAGTTTAACATTTATTTTTCTGGGTAAAGAGTAGAAAAATCCATCTAAAGCTTTGGTTAAATTAATTAAGGATTAAGTATTTTAAGAATGATTTTTTTTTTTAAAGAAAATTAGGATAGATATAAATTTTATTTCATTAGATTTTAACAGGGTAAAGGGCATTATTTTTTTTTTGGATGATCACAAACCTCACGTTCAAGCGTCAATTTAAAACCCTAATTAAATGATCAATTTCACGCGAAATTCCACAATCATTTTATAATTATTCGCTTTCGCAATTAAAAAACATCAGTGCTTAATTCACAATATACTTAATTTCAAGGTTTCAATTGCTCTAATATTTTAATTTAAATTTATTTATAATTCATTAGACTGAAAAATAATTAAATTTTTTTATTTCATTGATAATATTTGGAAATAAAAAATAAATAAATAAAACTTAATCAATAAGAACATAAACAATTGTTTTAAAGTGTAATTTCTTTTAGTATTAAAAAATTTGCATCTTATGTAGTATTAATTAAGGATAATGTTTTTAATCCTTGAAAAATATACACAAAGCAATGAATGATATACGTAATGGAGACCTTGAAATATAGTATATATAAAAAAGATAAAAAAAGAATTGCCTTGAATAATTTTCATTATGAATTCATGAATAATCATGAATTAATCTCTCCTTCACAACTTGGAGTCTGATTGAATTAAATTTGAAAAAAAAAAAAATAAACACGTGAGGTTCATGGTGTGGCAATTGGTGATTTTAGGCTCGCCGATGAATCGGGAGAAGCTGGTCAATCATAAGAAAGCCACGAGAGGAAATCTGGACAGCATACAAGAAACTTCCATGAATCAACGTGTAAGCAAACCCAAATCAAGCACAACTACCGTTCCCACTTTTCGTATTTTAGAATACAATCAATAGACTCGGTGGCGATGATTAGAAATCATATATATATAATGCTTTTTATTAATTAAGAATCTAATTAACACAATACATAGTTATAGTTGCCTATAACAATTTTTGCTAAAAGCTAATTTTAAAAATTGAAATTATTTCAATAGTTGTGTATTTTTGTAGTTTTGTATTTCTTTATTTTTGTATTATTTTTTCTGTATTTTCTATGTTTTTGATTGTTGTAATTAGTAATTTTTTTACATTTTCAGAAAATTTTGATTTGTATTTTTTCATGCGTATAAGAATATAAAATTTTTTTCCAGTATTTTCTAAATGAGATTAAAGAAAAAAAAAGTTCAAAGAAAAAATTATTTATATGAATTATAAAAATGTTTATTATGTTTTAAAGTAATTAAAATTACTTTAAAAAAATTTTGCCTTAGAAATTAAATTAAAATATTAAAAAAAAAAGTTAATAGTAATTAAAATTACTTTAAAAATTTGGCCTTAATTTAGAAATTAAATTAAAATATTAGAATATTGAAATTAATAGAAATATTAGGAAATATTTATATTTATAATTAATATTTTATATAATTACTTAAATTTTATTTAACAGTATTATTATATTTATTAAAAAAAATATATATATTGACAGTAAATGTTTTAAACATTTAGTTTTTACTTTTCATTTATAAATCTCATTTATTAAATAAAGGAATTTAAATAGAAATAATTAAAAATAAATTTATATTTTCTTAAACGCAATTACCGATATTAACTTTTATCAGAGATTTTTATAGGTGAACTATTTTTTAAAGCGACGTAATTTTTTTTCTTTCTTTTTTGTATACGTATATAAAATAAGCCCAACACAAAGAACGGTAACTGTGATAATGCACACAAAAATTTTCGTTTAAGTTTTTTTTTTTATTATTATTATTTACGCTTATTATACTTTTGCTAAGTGTTTACTAATTAAAGTGAAAATCTAATTTTCATTTGTGATTTAGGCGCAATGATTTTGTTTTTCTTTTTAAAGCAAAATTGTTTATGAAATTTTTGGTAGATGTAAAAAAAAAATGAAAGAACAAATTTTGATAAAAATTTTAGTATAAAGAAATTTTTTTTTTTTTGTTCTCTTCGCTCAAGTTGATGAAATTTTAAAATAGCCTAAAGGCCGTTCTTGAACAATTTTTGTTATTCCAATTTCAAGACTGACAATTATTGCTCCGTCCATAGTATTAATTATAGGATGCACTTTTATATATACATATCATGAGTGTGTATGTCGCCATTTTTTTTTTTTTTTTAATATGATTTTGTATTTTTTATGTATCAAAACTTGTCGTATTTGATATTTTTTATCTTTTTCTAGAATAAACGATTATAAAATTCCAAAATTTTATTTTGTCTTTTCCAAATTTTGTTTGTCCTTTCAATCAGATTCCAAGTGTTAGGAAATTTTTCAAATTTTTTGATTGCTTTTTTTTGGTACTAATTTACATAAATAGTAATAATATTTAATTAATTGATTAATGTATTAAAGAATTAATTGATAGATGTAAAAATTAACATATAAGGAAAATTATTTAATAAATTAAAAATTGCGGTTTGTGACTAATAAATATTTTTTTTTTTTTTGCTTATTAGATTTTGATTGTGACACTTGAACTTGTGGTATTTGTTGTGATTCAATGTGAAGTGAAATTGTGTGATGATTATTTTTTGTTTTCTAATTTGGAACGAATTTATTTTTTTTTTTACAGATGTGATGCCCTGCCGAAGATATAGAAGATTCGAGCAGTTCAATAGAATACGAGGAGAGACAAGTCAGAATGAACAGGCTACAAGCTCTGTTTCACCACTTCTTCGAAATAATCCACTTCAGGGTACCGCCTCCTACGCAAGTGTAAATGACTCGGACAGAATAGAATCTTTCTAGCTTTAAGAATTTAAGTCACTCTTATAAGGGAACAAAAGATGTAGGTAATAGTCAATATGTACCATTTGAAGTAGAGTATTTGATTATCAATAATTATTTAATTCACTCGATTCAATTTTTAAATTAAAATTTACGCTTTTTTCCAAAAAAAAAAAGAAAATATTCGCGAATATTTTAAAATCATTTTTGAAATGTTAATGAATTCATTAAAAATTAATATCAAATGTTAATTAATTTCTAGTCTCCTAGAAAATTTAAAAAATGAATTTATTGTTATTTCTAAAAATTTTAACATTTAAATTACTAATATATTTATAAAAAAAAGGGATTGAAACAATTTCTACACTTAAATTATGGAAAGAAAATAAATTTACAAAAATTGAAGAAAATATTAGTAAATTTTAGAAAGATTAAATGAAATCTTTAAGTTTAAAATCATTAAAAAAAATACTAGATGAATTTTGTAAATATTAGCAAAATTAAACCAAAAAAAAAAAAAAATATTTAAATTTGTTGTGAATAGAGTGTTATGTGATTGGAAATTTATACATATACAATTAATTACACTAATTAATTAAACGTATATGTATATATAAAATAGGAATTGTCTTTAAGTTTATTTAAATATTATATAGGATTGTTTTGATTCTTGGAAAGTATTTTTAAAAAAAAAGAAATTATTTAATCGAAAAATTATTCTCTACTTCAAAAGTTGCTAATGACTGGAAGTAAATAAAATGAAAAGTATTATGAAGTCGAGCTCTCGAGACAAAAATGTCCGGTGTACGCCTTGTAGAAAAGATTATAATGTAATTTTACAGGATAAGATTATTTATTGTTTAGGTTGTTTTGTAAAATTAAGGACGTCAAATGGTTATCGGAATTCGATTCGTATAAAAGTTCTGATATAGCCTTTTATCATGACGGTTTTGTATCCTCAGAAATTCAAACAATCCGTCGTATAATAATTATAATAGTCATATATATATATATATATATATATATATATATATATATATATATATATATATATATATATATATATATATATAAAATTAAGAATCAAGAAACGTCGAACGCTTCTGTAAATATCAAAGTTCCTTGATTTATGTCTTTTCTTATTTTGTTTTATTTTGAAAAAAAAGAGAAATATTTAAGAAAAAAAAATATCTACATTTCAAACATCATAAAATAATCACTTAACTTTCATTTAAATTTTAAGATTGTGCCTTTTGTACCTAAGAAACTTATTTTACTACATACTGACCATGAATGTAACGGCGTTTTGACGTTTCGAACAGTACGAATTATTATCTAAACTTAAGACAAACATTTTGACCGTATAAATTAAATATCTTTAATTTGAAAAGTAAACGAGCGAGTTCCTAATTTTTAAAAAATAACTAAGTGGCATACGGTCAATATCGTTGTTTAAAAAAAAAAAAAGAAAATGTAGATTGTTTTCGTTAAGCGAAAATAGATTTTTTTATACGTTTATTTATTTTGCAAAAATAAAAAAAAGAAAATCTTTCATCAATTTTACGCGAGTCTTTCCAAACATTGAAAATTTGTTTTTTTTTCGTTAATTGCGTAATTAATTAATTAAATTTGTAATTTATTATTTAATTTCGTAAATATAAAGAAAAATCGATTTTCATAAAAAAAAAATTTTATATACAGTACAAGAAATCCATTTCATTCAAGCATTCATTTAAATAATCATATTAAACAAAACAAAAAAAACGGACTGCCGTGTGCGTGTTTTCTCGAATGAAATGTTAAAATAATTGAAATAGTTTTTTATGAAATACAACAAAAAAAAAAAAAGTACTTTTGTATGTTAAAAGCAGTCAATGTTCAACGAGCCTATGTTATTTTAAGTAAAAATGCGCTATATAATTATAGCTTTAAATATCGTGAAATTGTAGTTGAGAATTTGTGGGTGATTTAATTATTATAATTGGTGTTAATAAAAAATGAACGATTGTCTTTTTTAAAAAATAACACTTGTCTCAATTCTTTTTTATTCCATTTAAAAATTTTAGACGTCTCAAAAATAATATATAATTTCATTTGAAAATTATTTAAGTTTGAAATTCGCGCCATTATCGTCGACCAATGGGCATGTCTTATTTCTCCATAGCAACAACCAATAAAATGTCAAATCAAAAATATATATAACAAAAAAAATAAATAAACAGAAAAGTCGTCAGCTAGAAAGTTTATACAGTTTACAAAAAAAAAAAAAATCATTTGTCCCACTTTCACTGTTGGTCATTTCTATATATTTTCTTTTCTTTATTGTCAACTTTATTTTGATACTTATTAAATCAATAAACTGCATAAAAGATGAAAATAAATATCGAATATTTGCATAACAATTTTATTCGTTTAAATGCTTCTCTATTGTATTTTTTATGCAAAATCAACAAAAAACAAAAATTACCAATTTTTTGGAAGTACAAAGGTGTTTGGATCATGTAAACTATGAAAATTTGTGATGAAACATGAAAACCCATAGAAATTTGACGCGTATATCAAATGTGCCACGAAAGCAGTTTCTGCTTTTAACCAATGACAACAACCTAACCCTATCTTCAAGTTTTCATTGGCGGAATGTTTCTGATTTCCAGCTGTTGAATTATATTTCTCCAAAAATCGGTGTGTTATGCTCTATATATATAGTACTCAACATTTTTTGTAAAAAAAATTATTATTTCATCTATAGTTGTTCTGCACGCAGTTATTGAAAGTTTTTTTTTTCCTTTTTAATTGTATGAATTATTATATTTTATTGTTGTTCAAATAAATTTTTTTCAAGAAAGTTTTTAGTTAATGTCGTAAAAACTTTAACAAATCTTTTGTACAATATTTGTGTAGAAAAAAAAAACAATATCTGTCAACAAAAATGAGTGTAGAAAAGCTTTGTGAAAATGTGATGTTAAATTTGAAAATTGATGTTATTTTATTTTTTATTCAATTTTTTTTAATTGTTTACATATTTTTACGACATTCAACATGCTTGAAATTAATTTAATTTGTTTTTTTATCAAAAAAAAAATAACAATATGCTTTCATTGTTTCAGATGAACTTCATAATTGTTTGTGTTTTTCTTTTTACTACTTATTCAACAATTGCACAAAAAATTGATCCAAAGGAACTACGGTGTCTAGGTATGTTATTGTAATTTTATTTTTTAAATTAATTTATTATTAATTCATTTAATTTAAAAATTTATTCTTATTGTTGAATTTTTAAAAAAATGTAAAACATATTATTATTCTTAGTTCTTTTTATTATGATTTTATTTGGTTTGAGAATTATTTCCGGTAATCATTTTATTGCGGTCTGTATAATTTTAGTGTGTAGAAAAACAGTGGATGAATTGCAAAATAAATTGGATACTATTGATTCGTCAAAAACAGTCGAAGTGGGACAATATCGTTTAGATGCCGATGGAAATACTTTACACAAGAAAGTATGTTTATTTTTATCATTTTTTTTAAATAATATAAATCTTTTGTTCTCTATCTTATAAGGTTCTGTTGCAGTTTTATTTATAGATATTACGACTTTTGTTTGATAAAAGTATAAAATTAATATCTTTCTTCTTTAGTAAAATTAACAAAACATTAATTAATTTTTGTTTATTTTTTGAAATTAAATATATTAGAAACAGAAAGGGATTAAAATTTGTTGGTTTAGTAAAAAAAAAAAAAAATTCCGAATGATTTGCAAACATTTCTTTAATATCCTATCAGATTCCACTAGCAAAATCAGAGGTTTACATCTCTGAGACTTTGGATGAAATATGTGGAGCTTTTGACAATTACGCACGGGCCAAGTATAAAAATTCTGGAAATTTGGTACTGGTGGATCTTCAGAATCCTTTTAACAAAAAAAGTCCTGGAATGGATAAAGTTGATTTTATTCAAGACGGAGATTTGAATAAGAGTCTAAAATATATAGTACGTATTTGTTATTAAATTAATTTTTTTTTTTTTATGAACAAAATGGATGAGTTTAATATTTTATTTTTTTAGTGTGAAGATATTGTGAACGATTTTGAAGACACGTTCGTTGAAGTATTTCAAAAGGATTCATCAAATGCACACGATGATATTTGTACAAATGTCGCTCAATATTGTGAAGAAGGTGTAGATTATAGTTTAGAAGATACTATCGAGAATATTAATACCGATAGTTCTGATGAAACTGATAAAACTGAATTATAATGATCGTATTATAGATATTATAGTGAAATTTCCTATTAATTGCACAAATTTTACGAAAAACTCAAATATAAGTACAATCAGAAGAATAAGTGTTTAATATTTATTTATTTTTCACTGACAGTACATTTATATGTTGAAATTTAATTTTAATAATACGCTCTTATAAATGAATATTACAACACGAGAACTGTCACAACATAATATATTCATTGTTCGTCGTTTATAATACTAGTCTACAATTTAATAATAGTTTTATACCGAATTGTTAAATAATTTTTTTGATAACAAATAATTTTAATTGACGAAAATTTTAAAGATGTATTACAAAGTAATAAATTATAATTCAAAATGTTTATTTTCATTTTCACTTAACAATAAGTTGTTTTATTTCAAAACTTGCAATTTAAATATTCAAATTGTAAAATTTAATTCACTTGATAAATATTGTTCCAATATAATTTTATTAAATAAATAATTGAAATTTAATAAGAAATCAGCAAAAGGTTATAAATTAAAGAATAATTATGTAAATTCAAATATATTAAATATTTCCATAAAAAAAAATTTAGTAATTCAACTAATCTATGAAATGTTTTAGACAATTTATATATATATATAAATTTAATATAATATAATAAATAGTTATTGATAAAAATTATATCATTAAAAACAAAGATTATTATGGTAATTAAAAGTAGATTATCTTTATATAGATCGTTTAAATGTTCCTGTTTTTTCTCAGTAACATTCAGCACAACAGGTAACTTCATAAAGTAAATTACTTGAAAACTTGTTTATAATACGAATAAAACTGGAACCGCCCAAAGCTATATTATTCGAAATATTACATATGTGTACAACAAAACATATACAACACAATTTAGGAAATATCCTTTTGCATTTTTCTGACAATTTCAATTTTTTTTTTTAATTCACGTCACCTTTAATTCTTTTCCTATGTAATTTTTCTTCTTTACCGAAAAAAAAATATTTATTCTGAAATGAGGTCTTCAACAACTCTCACATGATTATTATTATTACTAAGCATATACATAAGCAGACAATCGGTTTTCATCCTTATACAGTTTGCCTACTGGTTGCCAAGAAGCCAAAGAAGCTATTCTCGAAAATCATGAAATCATTTTTTATACGATAATTTATAGCTAAAAGCTTAATATTCGGTAAATTAATACAACCTTAATTCGTGGTGGATAATTTTAAACTTTTATTATTATTATTTTATTTTTTTTTTGTTCAACAAAAAGTTTTATTCTAGCATATATAGCAGAACACTGCGCTTGCGCGCATAAATAAAGGAAGATTTTGACATCACTGTCGCCAAGGATGGGAGCTCAAGAGGGGAAATAAGGGGAAAAAATGACGTTTCCTAATGCGTCCTATAGGGGGCGAAAATTGGAGTGGGAGTTAAAGGGGGAATAAAAGTAGGGGCGGTGGACTATTCCATTTAGCGAAACAGCTTTTCAGCATTGTCCATGAAATTAAAATTTCACTTTTCCCCTTTCCACAAAATAGGAGAATAAATAAAATAAAATTCCAATGACAACATAAGAAAATAAATTATGAGAGAGAGAAAAAAAATCACTTCCCTCCTAGGAAAAAAAATTTAGTATGTAAATGGATGAGTGACTCCCTTTTTTGTCAAATGTTGAAACCGATTATCTGCTTTTGCAAAATATTCGCCAATTAATTATTTGTCGGAACTGATACTAATTCAAGTGAAAATAAATTTGCCTATTACACGAATTTTAATTATTTCGACCGATTTTACAGCCCGAATACACATAAGGTAAAATCACTTGCGTTACAAACGAATATTGAGATATTTTACGTCTCAAAACGAGCACCACACGAACACCAACACTAAAGTGGGTTTCGACAGGCAATTGCACCAATCAACGCGCAGCTCTCTCACCAAAGAGCCAGTCCTGTTCATCGATAAAGCGAGTGAGGAAGGAGTCTGGTTATTGGAAGAGTCCACAAATATAATTTTTTCAAGGAGCATTTCTAATTTTCTACAAATGGAGGTATTTCGCGCACTGAGCTCATTTTTCACGACAATGCGACATTTTCACCAGCAGCTGAATTGTTTCCAACAAAAATCGCGGATTCAAAACGCAGTTTCCATGACCCAGATAATTAATGGGGATGTTCGGAAGTTGGAATATCTCCCCTTCAGTTGTTGGAAGCGGCGCGAAGATGTCTCAGCGGGTGCGCACGCACCTTGGCGGCTTGTCGGAGCAGGACCGTAGGAATGGTATGAATTCTCGAACAAAAGCCTCTCCCTTCCTGAATCCTTACAGATATAGAAGGGGTACAAAGTGGCTGGATTGTTTGAAATTCATATGAAAAATTTAAAAAATTCCCTTTTTTTTTAAATTAATTACTATCACCAACAAGATGTTTTTCCCTTATTGAATTTTTTCATGAAAATGCAGTCTTATTTTGATTACAATATTTAAGAATTTTTTTTTTTTAATATGCACAAAATTTATTTATTTATAATAATTAAGAAAAATTATTATTTTTCAAGTATTTGTTTAATGATTATTCTGCAATCAATTTGTGTTCTTTACACAAAATTAAAAAACAAATTTTTTATTTTAAATAAAAATTTTATTTTGCAAATTATTAATATTGACATAAATTTTCGAAAAATATCTCAGCATAATAATTTGCTAGCAATAGAGAAATTGGGTACTATATGGAAGACGAAATGACATATATGTGGTCAAAATTTAGGGCCTTTAATGACATTTAAATCAATACTGGGCAATAAATCAATCAGCTTACTAGAGAGCAGGTAAAAATTACAAATTTCTCTCTATGGTTTAAAATTTAAAGGCAAAATAGATTTTCTATTATTAAAAATGTCATCCTTGAAGAAGAAGATTTTGAGGAAAACTCCAATTTTTTTTACCTAGAAATTTGTGACGAAATTCGATAACCCTTGCGCGGGGATATAATCCAGAGGAGATCACGAAAAAAAAGATCCGCTCGCCGGCGCGTAATACTGGCGAATGGGGTGGATCAGGTTGGCTCGCGAGCTTGATACAGCCCTGATTCCCCACTCTTGTCGTTATCCCGCTATACTGCGAGTCGTTCCTTGTTTGCCTGTTTGCCATACAAAATCCAATAGTTTGCCTTGTACATCGCGCGGAGACAGTATGACTTTCGCATTTGATTTTTTGAGAAAGCGCGGTGGCGAACCCTTCTTCAAGAAGTACGCAAAATTATGCATTCTATCGTCAAATACAATGTGTCGTCAGTTGTAGTGTAGTAAAAAATCATAAAAACCTGAGTAAACCTGGACCGGCCCCTTCGTTGGGGGTACGTCGAAGTTTTTTTGATTGCAACCCGAGAGTTCTTTATACAAAACTATTCGAGGTCTCGAGAGCATTATTTTCAATCATTGAAACGCGAATTTATTAAATCTCGTGATTATTCACGAAGATTTGTGATTTTTTTCTCTCTCCCTTGAGAGAGGAAAATAGAAACGCAACGCCACGCAAAAAAAAACGTCAGGTTACAACAGAACAGAAACGCTGATAAAGAAGAAGAGTGTACGAAAAGTGTAAGTTTATAAAAATTTTTTTTATTTTTTCTTGAAAAAAAAGTAATGTTTGTAAGTTTCCCTCGCCCCGGTTCCCCTCTTCTCCCTCTCTTCTATAGCTTATCGACATCGTCTTCGTCGGCTTGGAGAAAAGCAATGGTCGTAATACGTTTTCTCACTTGAAAAATGTGCTTCTTGATATTTACGTGAAATATTGCGTAACTTTTAAGAGTCTGTGAGGTTTAGAGTCCTGCTCGAGGGAAACACCGAAACTAGCTGGCAGGGACGACCAAAAGCCGTGCGCGTCCATCCCAGCTGGGCTTATCGGGTCGACCCGAGTGCCTCTTTTCCGCAGCGGGATATCGTTTTGGTGACAGTGACCCCACACGAGAATTTCAATTCACTGGACATTTACATCATTTTCATCGACAATGAAAAAAAAATTCAATTAACCTCACATGAAAACTTCAAAGTTCTTTTCACTTTAGATTTTGACGTAGTGTGTGTCTATATATGTAGATGTATGTATGTGTGCTTGTTACCAGTGTGATAAAAATTTCCTCTTGATAAAATTTATTGAGTCTTTCATTTTCTTATGTTTACGTCCCGAGATCTGCCACCTTATTCACTTCGATTATTTACACAATTAATTTATTTTCTGTTTTTCATTGTAACGCCGTGTTTGAGCCGTGTTTGAATTTAGTTTTAGTTGCGCTTTACGATTAATTCTTGGCTATTGAGTTTTATCGGAAACACACTTGTTTAATATCTCGTTTGTTTTTCACTTTTTTTTTTTTTTTCTTCTTTAAATTAAATAAATGGAAAAGTTGTATTTTCGAGTTTTGAACGCCCGTCCCGCGAAGGCATGGCCGCGATCATTATTCTTTTTATCATGAAAGTTATGCACTGTTTTTTCCCCTTCCTCTCTTCGAAAGTCATCGTGTGTATACGTGTATGTATGCATGCACAGATGAGAATATTACGCTCGCGTATACAAGTGAATTGCCGCAGTCACGTTGAACGAAATTACCAGCGTTTCCACTTAACTCAGCGCACAAAATATATATATATATATATATATACACACACAAGTTTTTAGTTTTCCCCAAAAAAAAGATAATTTTCAAAATATTCTAGATAAATCGATTTTTCAAATCTATTTAGACGTTAGACAATTCATTCCATCTTTGATGACGAAGCTAGATTTAGTATAGTTAAGGAAATAAATATATTGTGTCACAATTATGACTTAACCTTCTTTTTATATTTTTCACGAATTTTCTCAGAGATTCTCCTTTTTTTCGAAAGAGAAATTAATATAAAACTAAATAAACGATAGTGAGAATATAAAAAGTGAATTTTTTTTTTTGACAGAACAACAATAAATTATTTTAACCTCTTTTGGATTCTAATGGATTTGTTTATTTTTTCAGCATTTCCAATGTAAGTTGAGATGAAACGTGTTTGTGGGGTGGACGAGGTAGATCCGTCAGCGACAGTGACATTGAAAACCTCCTCGATTGGTGGTGGAACAATTTTAGGAAGCGGGGGGGCTAATTTGGACTATCATACTAGTGCTGGAATTGGAGTTGTATCTGGACAAACAATTAGACCGATCACGTCAAAAGAAATGCCAGGAAGTATTCAATTCGGCACTGCTCAAGCTCAACAGCAATATACAGGTGCAATTGTTATGCCAACTGCAGCTCCTTCTCCTGTCAAGGTAATCTATCATTTTTGAATATTAACTAAACCAAACGAAGAAAAAAAAACAAAGAATCTCAATAATCAATTCTATCATTTGACAATTAAGGAATTTTTATTAAGATATGTAGTAAAATGCACAAACAATCTCTGCCAAAAGTTAATCCTGTAAATTGGATTGATTTCAAGCAACATTCAATTTATTTCTTAATTATTATTCTTAGCTTTGCCTGACAAGAATTTACTTTTTCAATAAAAATGATATGAAAATAAATGAAAATTATTTATTAAGTAATGTTATTTTCCAACTAAAAATTTGTTATTTTAATAATTTTAGGAAGAAGCAAGATAAAAAAAAGTGGAGAAAGAAGTAGTAGAGAAAATAAAACAAATGTTTAAAAAAAAATCGAAATAATATTCTTTGGACAATGATTATTAATTGTAAAAAGAGTTTATTTAAAACTATCAAAATAATTGTTAAATTATTTCAAAAGTTAATAATAAAACAGAAGATGATCAAATTAAATATTTTTTTGCCCTAGATAAAGTTGTAACGTTTTGTATTATTTTCTAGAAATAAATTATTCTTGAAATTGCGGCCAAAATTCGTCTGATTCAATATGAAGAAAAAAAAACTTATTTCACAATCCAAAAGAAAGACATCGAACTATATTTAAGTAAGGGTTCAGGGAAAAGTTCACAACTTATATATAGAGGAATAAAATTAATTAATACAGTTAAATTATTAAAATTTAAAAACTAATAAATATTTTTAAAAAATTAATTCAATTTTTTTAAAATTATTTTGTAATCAGTCATGAGATTAATTAATAATTTTAACATTTACTTTTACTGAATTGATAGTTCAATAATTTTTTCAATATAACATAAAATTATTAATGTAACTAATTTTTTTTTTAAACAAAACTTGATAGAATAAAAAATTTAATGAAAGATGTAAAAAAAAGTGAATATAAGATATTTTTTTTAAATGCTTTGTAATTTAGAAATTTCGTTTAATTAATCAGAAAATCGTCTGTAATAGATTTTTTCATTCTGATGGTTAATAATTTTTTAATTTTACATCTATTAATAATTTTAAATGTATATTTTCTAGGGGAATGTGCCTACAGGAAGTCTAAGTTCAACCTGCAGTGCAAGCAGCATAAATACTGGAGGAGCATTGCATAATACCGGGATAGGTACAGGAGGAAATCATAGTATTGGTCCTCAACAATCTACTCAAGGCTCACAAGTCCAGTCCCATTCCCAACAAGCTTCTACTATTCGACATAAGGTACTTTATTTATCGAAAATTGTATTTTTTTTCTCTACTCTATTCAATTCTCTGATAATTTTTATTTTTAATATCATAATTTTCTAATTTAATAACTTTTAAAAAATTTTTTTTTTCAATTTAATCATTTTTTTCATAATGTAATAATATTTATTTCAAAATGAATTAATTTTTGTCATTTAAAAATAATGTTCCAGATGCATCCTAGCAACGCGCCAACTTTGCCGGTAACTCCGCCGAGCAGTAATTTAAGTGCCGGCACTGGCGGACAACAGTTTCAAAGATTAAAAGTCGAAGATGCACTTTCCTATCTTGATCAAGTCAAGTATAAATTTAGCGATCAACCGCAGGTAATTTACTATTTTTGTTTAATGTGAATAATTATATTATTTAATTTAAAAAAAAAATTTAATTTTATGAATCGATAGGTTTATAACGACTTCTTGGATATTATGAAGGAGTTTAAATCACAAAGTATTGATACACCCGGAGTTATAAGGAGGGTGAGTCATTTATTTAAGGGACATCCCGAATTAATTGTCGGTTTTAACACTTTCTTGCCACCGGGTTATAAAATTGAGGTCCAATCAAATGCAAAAGGATACGCGTATCAAGTATCCGTATGCGTACCAGACGAATCGCCTGCCCATATGGCCACAGTTTCGAAACATCATTGCACCGTTAGTCTCAGTTCGTTTCCGACCTCACATCCCCCAATTCAATCGACAAAAGAGCCACCTGTTCTTCAAAGCATGCCAGGGTAAGTTTTTTTATTTTTCTTTTATAGAATATATTTAAATCGATTTGATTTGACAAGTGATTGAGAAAAAAAAATAATAGAAGAAGTAAAAACAAATTGAAGAGCATTTGTTTATGTTTCGAATTTTTTTTTTTTTTTTAGTTCTGGAAATATTCATCATCCACAAGCAAACAATATTTCCAATAATAATATGACGGTACATGGCCCATCGTCACCACCAATTCAACCCTATAATAATTCACATGTAGCCGCAGCTCAAGCGCAAGCCGTGAGTCAGGCATTGAGTCAAGCACAAGACGGTGTTTCCAATAGTGGACAAACACAACAAAGTCAACCTGTCGAGTTTAATCACGCCATTAATTATGTCAATAAAATTAAGGTAAGGCATACTTTCTGGAATTTAAGTTTTGTTAAGAATTAAAAAAATAATAATAATTTCTTTCAAATTTTTTTATTTATACAAATTAAAATTTGAAAAAAAAAATATTTTTTACCTGCCTGAGAGTTAAAATTTAAAAAATGAGAAATTGTTCTAAAAAAAAATGTTCTAGAATCGATTTCAAGGCCAGCCGGATAAGTATAAGAAATTTCTAGAAATTTTGCACACATATCAGAAAGAGCAACGGAACCTTAAAGAATCGGGACATATGGGTGTTGGTAGTGGAAGTTCACTATCAAATACCGGGAAACATTTAACTGAAGCTGAAGTTTATAGTCAAGTGGCTAAACTTTTTGAAAATCAAGACGATTTACTTCAGGAATTTGGACAATTTTTGCCTGATGCAACGAATCAACAAAGCGCACTGGTGAGTTGCTTTAATGTATTTTCCTATTTATAACAAAAAAAAAAGAATTATAAAATTTATTTTATATTCAGTTTCTTTTTTTTTTTTTTTTTTTTTTTGAAATTCAGACTTTTAATTATCGCATTGATGAAAAATCTAACTCTGATTGGTGCCAGTCTGCTATGTTTCAGACTAATAAAGTTGGTCCTGTTAATGATCATTCAACGATAACAAAGAAACCTATAGGGATAAAAACGTCGTACAATAATTCGGGTTCATTGCCAAGGGATCATAGCGATTCAAGTGGAATAGGAAATCTTGATCGAGATAATCGTGAGCATAGGGATCGTGAACGTGATCGACAAAGTTCACGTGATATTGGCGCTGGACAAAAAATTGGCCATAGTACAGGACAATTAAAAAGAAGTCCATCGTTTTCAACTTCAATGTCAACGGGAAATTCACATCATATACAACATGGTCCACCACCAACTAAAAAGCACAAGGTCACTTCCGCTCGTGATACTTCGATTGCGGAAGTTGGAAAATACGGCAGTCTAAATGATTATGCATTTTTCGATAAGGTAAATATTTTACTTTCAAAATTAATATTATTAATTAAATTCACCAATTTTCTCACTATTAATTTCAGACAAATAAAGTGAATGTAAATAAATTAAATTTTGACAATTCTTCTTTTTTTTCAGGTACGAAAGGCATTGAGATCTCAAGAAGTTTATGAGAATTTTCTCCGTTGTTTGGTATTGTTTAATCAGGAAATTGTATCAAAATCTGAATTGATACAATTGGTGACACCTTTTTTGGGAAGATTCCCTGAATTATTGCGTTGGTTTAAGGATTTTCTTGGACATGTACCGGATCAAACAAGTACAACATCAACGAATATTACATCGTCCCTTGGCATTGAAGCATTACCGAATAATGTCGTACGAAGCCATCAGGATAGACCGCAAGGTGATCTTGCTATGGAAATTGATTATTCCACGTGTAAAAGGTTAGGAGCATCGTATTGCGCGCTTCCAAAGTCATATATGCAGCCAAAATGTACAGGAAGAACGTCACTTTGCAAAGAAGTTCTTAATGATACATGGGTATCGTTCCCTACGTGGTCGGAGGACAGCACATTTGTCACTTCCAGGTAATTATTTTATTTCATTCGTTCTCGTTATTAATTAATTTTAATTTATTTCATCCGCAAAATCCGAAAATTTATCGTCGATCTAAGAATTTCAAAATTCTTTTGAGAAATTTTTAAGTATAATTTTCGTTCTCTTTTGATCCCGTTTTATTTTGGCGCTAAGAGTAGAGGGGGGAAGGGAGGTTATACAAAATAGCGGGAAATAGTTAAATGGTTTCTTGTAAAATAGAAAATAATTCTAATTTTTTCAATTATTATAATGAACAAGTTCATTAATTGTGATCAATTTAATATTGTAATGTGTTGTTAAATTTTTAATTTCCTGAAAATGAGAGAAAAAGGCGCCAAATGCTTTTAGCTATATATATATATATATATATAACGACTTACGGTACTCGACAATTATTAATTGTAGGTTAATTTTGTACTCATCTATTTTCGAAGAAACATCCGTATCCTAATAATGCTCCTCTGAGATAATCCAATTTCACAAATGGCACAACACTTTTCACTGCACAATTACACTTTAATTTTTAACCAACAATTTTGGTTTGATCCGTCTCTAGTGGCGGATTTTTATTTCACTAACATTTACACAAATACACAATATTCACTGGAAATTCTTCTATTATTTTGAAGATTAGGACACTCACATGTAGAATTCAAATGAATTTTTTATTATTTCCATCAGGATTTTTTGCTTTATTCACGAAAATTAGTGGATCAAAAGTGTGTCGCGTTTTTTCTTCCAAACGAAACTGATATTACAACTGGCACTTGACAGGTTTGCCAACTGTTGCAATTGTTAATTTTCATATTTTTCTTCTTCCAATAGCAAGACTTGCAATAAATAATATTTTATTACTTTTTTTTTGTTCAACAGAAAATATTATCTCTGTATTCGTAAAAAAATCCATTGTTGAGAAAACTTCCTTGTCTAATTTCACAAATAACACTTTACATTAATGTTAACGAACGATTTTCCCTCGATTTGATCAGCCTCGGATTTTTAATTGACGAACATTTACACAATTACACAATAATTACTCGAAATTTTTATATTATTTTGAAGATTAATGATCTCACATATAGAATTTAAACGAATTTTTAATTATTTTGTTCACGATTCTTGTTTTATTAACGAAACTTAGCGGATCACAATTGTATGGCGTTTTCTCTTCGAAAGGAAACTGAGAACTAGCAATTGACAGGTTTGCCAACTGTCGTGACCGTTAATGTTAATATTTTTTTTTTTTTTTTTGCAATAAAGAATATTTTTTCACTTTTTGTCCAACAAAGTATAATTTCTATATATTTATGGAAAATCTATTTTCAAAGAAGCTTTCTTGTCTAATTTCACAAATACTTTGCATTAAACATTAATGTTAACGATCATTAGAATTTTTAATGAACAATTTTTCCTCTGGTCGATTCATGTCTAGTGGCGGATTTTTATTTCACTAATATTTGCACAAATACACAATATTTACCCGAAATTTTTATATTATTTTGAAGATTAGTGATGTCACATATAAAAATCAAACGAACTTTTTATTATTTAAATTAGTATTCTTGTTTTATTCGCGAAAATTAGCGGATCGCATTTATCACGCGTTTTTTCTTCGAGAGAAAACTCGGCACTGAACAGGTTTGCCAACTGTTTGCAAAAGTAAATTTTAATAATTTTCTTTTTTCAATTATAAGACAAATAAAATATATTCTAACATATTTTGTTCAATGGAAAATATAATCTTTAAATTTGTGATAAAGTGTTATTATTAAATTAAAAAAAAAAAAACATAAATAATAATGTTTATTTCAATTTTTATTTAACAATGTTTAAAAGTTAATTGTTGCGCATGCGCGGATGTCCAAAAAATGATGGCGGAAAAATTTGAATTTACAATGTTTAAACATTTATTGTAAAAATTGATTTAATATAGTTTAATTTATATTTGTGTGATAGATTATTGATTGTTTTTTATATTTTTACATTTGAATAATAAAGGTAAAGAATTGATGGTATATTATAGTAGTTGGATAATATTTTTTGAACGTGGAAATTTATTAAAAATTAGGTTAACATAACCTAACAATTTGAACTGTCATACATTGTTTATAATGAAATTATAATAATGGACTAAGTAGTAGTAATTGTTAATCGATATTACAAAAGTAAATTAGAAATAGTAATAAGTATATAAATAATAATCGAACTGTTTTGAAAATGTTATTCCATTGTATTATTTTGTTAAATTGACGAAATAGATTTAAAAATGTATTTTTTTTTTAAGGAAAACACAATACGAGGAATTTATTTATCGCTGTGAAGACGAAAGATTTGAATTAGATGGTGTGATTGAGACAAATGCAGCAACAATAAGAGTTTTAGAGGGTGTTCACAAAAAGATGAGTCGCATGAGTCAAGAGGAATTACAAAAATTCAAACTTGACGATTCTCTTGGTGGTTGTTCACCGACAATACATCAGCGTGCTGTGAAAAGGATATATGGTGATAAAGCAGCCGATATAATTGATGGATTAAAGAAAAATCCAATGATTGCCGTTCCTGTTGTTTTGCGACGTTTAAAAAATAAAGAAGAAGAATGGCGAGAGGCGCAAAAAGGATTTAATAAAATTTGGCGTGAACAAAATGAGAAATATTATTTAAAATCATTGGATCATCAAGGTATCAATTTTAAGCAAAATGATGTAAAAGCCTTAAGATCAAAGAGTCTCTTTAATGAAATTGAAACACTTTATGACGAGAGGCACGAGCAAGTTGATGATAATAATGGCGACAATCAAAATGGTGGCGGTCCACATTTAATATTCTCATATAAAGATAAATCCGTATTGGACGATGCAGCGAATCTTTTGATACATCATGTTAAACGACAAACTGCTATTCACAAGGAGGATAAACAAAGGATAAAACAATTATTAAAACATTTTATTCCCGATCTCTTTTTTCATCAACGGCAAGAATTAAGTGATGACGAGAGAGACGATGATGAGGATAAAGATGAATCGAGTATTAGTTGTGGCAATAATACATCAACGGGAAATGCAACGTGTTCCATTGGTGGTCTTCAAAGTAGTAGAAATAAATGTACATCGTCGCCAGCTCTGTCTTCCACGACAACAATTAAAATTGAACCTGACATTAAAGTACCAATTCATAGTCTTTCAAATGATCCCGAGGAAGAGTATGTTCTCTTTATGGCGAGTAATAGTTGGTATCTATTTCTCAGGCTTCATCAAACACTTTGTGAGAGATTAACCAAAATGTATGAGAGAGCAGTGGCTCTCGCTGACGAGGAATCTCAATATAAGCAACAACGAAAAGAAAGTACCGCCGTTGCTTTGAGATTGAAACCGAAAAGTGAGTTTTAAAAAAGGAAATTTATTATTCTTTAATATTTCAGATTTTATTGAATAGAATTTATAATTATAAAAAAAAAATTTCGATTAATAATTGACTGTTCTAATAATATTTATTTTTTGTAGGTGAGATTCCGATAGAAGATTATTATCCAGCATTCTTGGATATGGTAAAAAATGTACTCGATGGTAATATGGAGAGTACGGCATATGAAGACACACTTCGTGAAATGTTTGGTATTCATGCCTACATTGCATTCACCTTGGACAAAGTAGTCATTTATGCTGTGAGACAAGTATGTATTTTATTTTCTTGCAATTAAAATAATTTTTTTTCTAGCGTGATAATTATAATGGTTTAAAAAAATATTTTCTAGTAATCTAAATTATTTTTCTAAATTTTGCAAATTAAATAATGTACATTTTATTTTGAAATTAAATTTAAAAAAAATAATGTGAATTAGAAAAATGATTAATTGGAATAAATTTTTTTAGTTGCAGCATTTGGTATCCGATCCAATTTGTCAACAGTGCATGGATCTTTTTCAACGGGAGCAAAGGCAACCAAAGGAAAGTGGTGGAGCTGGTGGACTTTGTATTACGGCATATCTACGAATTGGTGCTGAAATGGCCTATCATAGAAAAGCCGAGAAGGCCATGGCTGAGGAAAATTGCTTCAAAATCTACATTGTAAGTTTTATTTTCATTAAAAATATAGAAATTTTTTTTTCTAAATAATTAAAAAGTTTAAATTATTCAAATTGAAAATTAAATTTCACATAAATAAAAAAAATATGAAATAATATTTTTAAAAATTGAATTTAAAATAAAATTTGTAGAACACGTTTTTTTTCAAGTTAAACAATTAAAATTTATATTGTTCGTAATTTTCTTTTTTTTATCGCGCATGCTCAACACTGTTCACGCCTCCTCGTTCGACATTCTCCGATTATAAAAGCCGAGATTGTATTAGTGTACACTTTATATACGACGAGTGTGGCACGGTAAATTAAGAGATGAAACGGAAGAACAATTCTCTTTTAAAAGAAAAACTTTATTTCGTCCCTCATTGTTTTATATTTTAATTACAATTTTTTTTATTTGCCGTTAATTTTTTTTTATTTAAGAAAGTGCAATGCTTGTTATAAAAAAAGTAAGAGTCAATTTTTTTCAATTACCATTCTACTTTAATAATAATACTAATAACAATAATTGAAAATTCATTTCATTGTCTAATAATTAAATATCGTCGAATCGAAATAAATTCGTTAGTCATGAAATTTTTATTTATAAAGTATGAAACATAAATGATTATATAATATTTTTTTTTCAATAAATATTTATCTGGAAATATGTTATAATTATAAATAAATTGAATGTTAGTAATTATTTTAATACATAATTTATTTTTTTAAATTTGCAGTATAAGAAAAATTGTAGAATGACGATAGAGATGTTGGATACGGAGGGTGAGGATAATACGGATGGAAATTCACGTGAACGAGAATCGGTGGCGGCAATGGAGAAATGGTCATCGTATGTCGAGAGATATTCGACGCCAACGGGGGGCCAAACGAGTCCAAAAGACTCGCACTCGTTGCCGGATAATGAGCCACCTTCTACCACCAATCAACCTGTGAGTAGCGACCAGGCAGCAAGGGGGGGGAGGGGCAGAAAGCGCAAGAACACCAACACCACTGACATTAACAAGAAGGTATAGGACTCACACCCCTTTCAATTGCCATCGTTGTAGTTGCGTTTCTCCTTTGTATACTATTCGGGTATTGTGATTTTTTATCTGTAACTCTATACTTACTGATATTACACTCGTTTAACAAAATAACTCTCCCATCGCAAAACCCAAAATCGTAATCTCTCGTTTTTCTCACACACATACATCAGAGACTGTTAATAATAAATTAATTAAATTATCAAAAAATGAAACAATCGAGACGTTACGTGTTAACTTTGACGCATAATTCTCAATTAAATTACTGATTAAATATATAATTTGGTATTAATTTTTTTTTTTTTGTCTAATTCTAAAATACATTGACGATAGTAAGAAAATTTAAATGATTATTTGTATATAATAGAGATTATTTTTTATTATTAATTCTAGTTTTGTTATTTTTTTTTATTATTAGTAATAATATTGATATTATTAATTGTAACTAAGTTATTAAAATATAAGAGAGTTTAATTTTTATCTGTTTATAAGAATAATTGAAAATCACGATCTCAGTCCAGTCATAATAATTTATTTTGTCAAGTTTTTCTCTCTAGACTTGTAAGAAAAAAAAAAATGAAGTTTGTACACGCACACACACACGTCAAAGTTCACGAGGTTCTCGATCGTTTACATATTATTAAACGTCTTGTGTATATCTCGTTCAAGACTTTTTTCGTGTCCTAGATAACCCATAAGCAATTTAGATTACGTGGTAAAAAGAGAAAACCCAAATAATACTCATTAATTCGCAAAGTGAACCAGATTTTTTACATTCTCATAACAAAGAGGATTAATTTCCCATTTTCTTTATTTATTTTTTTTTTTTTTAATTGAACAAAACAAAAATTGATTGATTCTTTCATTCATGAAAAAATTAGAAACACATATCGAGATGGGGATTAATTTTTTAAATTATATATTATTCTTTGAAATTTAACTTTGAAGCTGATTTTAATATTAATATTGAATTTCATATTAATTAAAACAAAAAAGTAAATAAATAAATTTGAGTAAATTGAAATTAAATTAAAATTAAAATTAAAATTTTTATTTAATTTATGTTTCATAATTTAATTGAATAATTGAATTGGCTAATTTTGATTTAAAATTTAAGTTAAAATGAAACTTATTTTTAAAAAGGAAGAGCTTTGAAGTAAAATTTCATTTTTGATGAAAAATTGATATTAATTTCCCCTCTTAATTTCTTTTCAATTTATTTTTTCTTCACTTTCGGAAGTGATTATTTAAAATAATGAAAAGAATTTTTTTTCAATAATTCATCAGCATTTAGCTTTCAGTGAATTTTATAAACTTTAATAGTTTTCTTACATATAAGGTCTTTAAAAATAAGACCAGAACATCATTAAAAACCAGGTGTGTTTAGATTATGTATGAGAATTTAGTCAAAAACCTATACATAATATTATTATTGAAAAAAGAAAAACGAAAATCACCTGAAAAATTAAAATTGTATAATGATTCAATTATACATATGTAATTAAATAATAATATAAATTTATATGATACATATATAAGTTTATAAATTAAAATTCTTTTAAAAAGTCTTGTAACTTCTACGGTTCGTTCTTCTTTTTTTTTTTTTGTTTGTTTTTTGTTTCCTCGGAGAAATAATGTAAATATCCGGTAGATTATTAGGAAACTGTAAATAGGTAAATAGGATTTTTCGTACGTACTGTAGGTTACAAGTAGCACAACACACCAATTTGTATAAAGTTTAAATAAGAAAATCATTCTCAAATAGATTTTAGAGTAAATTCACACACGCACAGTTATTTTTTTTTCTTTTTTTTTTTTTTTTCATAAAAAGCCATTAATTTTACGTGTCCGTTCCGATGTAAATATCGAAGGCAAGACTGTAACGAGGTCCTTTTTTGGATATCTTTTACTTTCTAACAAAAAAGAAAGAAAAGCAAACAGATATCATCACAAATTTTACTGTGATCTAATATTAGCTCTTTTAGAAATTTTTAATAAATTCAAGTTAAAATTACAAAAAAAAAGTAAAATTAAAAAAAAAATTAATTTAATTAATTGAAAAAAAATAATTTTCACATTCTATATAGCATGAAGTTTGAAAAATAAAAAGATTTTTATACAAAAAAAAAAAAAAAAAAAAAAAAATCGGACGTTTGAAAATGTTGATTTTCTGGGATGTCGACTTTTATGAAAAAAAAGAGTAAATTGGTCCTGTTAAATATTTATATATATTTTTTTTTATTTTTCTAAAGTCTTTTTATTGTCCGAATTTTAAATAAGACGAATAATAATTTTTAATTATAATTTACTTATGAGAGAATATATTTATATAACAATATTAATTTATCGTTAAATAATAGTTTTTATTAAAAATGTTTATTGTTTAGAAATTTTATTTATATGTCATTATTGTTTTTTTTTTCTTTTTTTAAAGATGTTTTTTGTCGACGCCCACTAATGAAAACTAATAAGAAATAAACTTACATATTACATTTCCAACGGAATCTTTAAAACCTCTTTACCGTTTTTACCAGAGAATTGAAACGAGACCCGCGTTAAATAAATCTTTACAAAAAATAAGGCTTACGCCTAATTGAATATTTGTACATTTGAAAAAAAAGTCAAATTTCTTCTTTCTGACGAGTGTTTCATCGATTCTTGTCAAAAACGATAAAAAAAAAAAATCTGAATCCGAAAAAGTTTATTGAAAAAAAAATAATTTTTTTTTCAATTTTATTTCGGTTGTCAGCGCGTCAATTGTAAGATATATTTTTTTTTTTATTATCAGCTCGTTCTTTAAAACGGTGAATTTTTATTTTGAATGTCATGATTCCGTATCCATACTTCCCCCTGTTTTACGCGATAAAATTTTAACTTTGACATATACACATATATTAGATATATATAAATAAATATATATATATATATAAATATACATAAATATATTTTGTATCTTTAACTTGTATATGAAGTAAATATGCATATAATGATATAAATGGCAACAATATTGTATAGAAAAAGAGATATTGAAATACATGAACGATGCTTTTAAACATTCTTGTCTAACATCATTTTTGTACCACTAAATTTTTTCATTAGTTTCGTTTTCCAAAAAAAAAAAAAAATTTTTATTTGTTTTTTCTAGTTCGTTCCTTTAATTTTTTTCACGTCTTTGCAGAGATTTGTTGCTGTTTTCATTCAACTAAAACATGCAAGATCTATTTATCTTTTTTTTCTGCTTCTTTTTTCTAATTAGCGTCAGAAGAATTTTTTTTTTTTATTTTTCAAATCAGCTTTCGATCCTCATTCCTATTTTACATTAAAAAAAAAATTTTTTCTGCCTTAAGTACAACTTCTTTTTTTAATTAAGACCAATTTCTCATTAACATTTAATAAACAAAAAATTTATAATTTACTGACAGAAAAAATTTTTTTTCAAAAAAAAAAAAAAATTATATTTTAACGATTTTCCTTTCAGTTTTGATTTTATTTCTGAATGAAAAAAAATGCTGATTAGTCAATTTTTTGTTGATCAGAAATTTTTCGAATATCAGAAATCTTTTTTTTTTTTTTTTTTTTTTTTTTTTTTTTTTTTAATTATTCTTTGTAGTTATATACGAAAAGACGCGAGTTCGAAAATGATTTGAGTAGCTTAAAAAAAAGATAAGTATATATACAAGATATTTTTATAATTTTTTTCCCGTCGAGAGATTTTTCCAAATTTTTATTTGAATTGGAAAAAAAATGATTTGTTTTTCTTTTTCGAAAAAAAGATAATACTTTTCATATACAAGTTTCTGTTAGGATATTTTGTGTTACAACTTTTTCTTTTCCAAATGAGGACTCCCTCAACTATTTTCTTTATATAGAAATCGATTTTTTATTTTCCTTTTTTAAAAATAAAAAAAAAAAAAAAAATAGAACCAAACGCGATAGGAAAACATTAATCCCTGTATCATTTATCATTTTTCATTAATTTTTTTGCAATTCGATACATTATAAATTTTAAAAATAAATTTCATTCTTTTTTTTTTTTGTAATAATTTACGATTTAATAATTTTAACGATTAATAATTTTTTGAAGTGACAAGATTATGATTGTTGTAGATCGATGGAAATGAAATTTGGCAGACTGTACGCAGAATAATGTCAAATCGCAAGCCAACAATGCTCCCTCGCAATATTCGACATTATGAAAATTATGCTGCAAGGATAAGTAGATCTGCTCAGGATAGAAAATCGAAGTATGTTTTTTTTTAATTTCACACTTGTTTTAGAAATTTGCAATTTTATTTTGTATTCCGATTAAAAATTCCATTTAAAATTGTTGCAATTTTTTTTTTTTTTTTTTAAAGATTAGAAATTTATAGATATTTATTTGTGTTGCAGTTCAATGAGTGGAAAAAAATCATTTGACCCAGAGGATGTTGCTGATGGAACTGAAATTATTTCTTCACATGAGATGGAATGTCAATTAGTACCCCTTGATTATCGTCTATTCTTTATAATGAGTGAAGGCGAATTTTATTATAGGTACAATTCTCTCTCAAGAGCATCGGAAGTAAGTTTGTTTTTTTTTTTTTTTAAATTATATAAATAATTTTTTAGTCAATTATATGGGAAAATTGAAATTTATTCCTTTAAAAAAAAAAAAATTTTTTTTCCCTATATTGACAATAAAAATATTTTTTCAAATTGAAGAAAAGGAAATTAATTGAATTATGTTTCTTTAGTCGCATCTAACAGTGACGAAGAGTAAAAATGCCAAATTTCATCAGTGGTTTGATAGTTGGGCAAACGAGCATGTAAGTGAAGAACAACATCGAATTTGTCAAGATTGGTTAATGGGACGGTATGAAAATTTAATACCTCATAGAACGCATTTGATTACCGATAATAATCAGACAAAAACACCATATCGTCAATATAATCGATATCGTGTTGAATATTTACAATAGAAGGAACTTGTTATGATAAATCAGATCTCTTCATCGTCAGAAGAAACTTTTTATCACGCCTTTAGTCTATAAGATATGTAAAATATTCCTATATAAATATCTTCCCCCCCCCTTTTTTTTAACTTGAACTATTTTTTTTTCAATATTACTATATATAAGACATCACAAATTAGCTGCTTGTATTTAAGATTCTTCGAAAATTATTGACATACAATTTCAAAATCAAATGTTTTATTAAAGGAGGAAAATGATAATTAAAAGTTGATTACAAACTATTTTTCGAGTAAATGAAGTCAAACATTTATTTATTAAAAATTCTTTTCTTTTTTGTACTTTTTGTTAGAAAATATATTTTTTTTTTAATCTAAAAGAACGTTTTAATGAATAATTATTTTTTTTTATTAAAAAATTTATTACATTTCCTTCGAAAAATTAAAAATAAATTTCAATAAATTATTGGTGAAATTTAATTTTCTTTGCAAGATTAATTTCTTTTTTTTTTTTTTTTTTTTGTATCATCCTGTTGGAATAAAATTTGAAATTGTGTTTCATTTACTGAAAATCTACAAATTGTAAAAATTCGAAAACTATAAAGAAAAACGCAAGAAGGTTGTGATTTGAATAGAGCTAAAGAAATTCAACGAAATGCCCTTTTTCTCGTATTACCGATGCTAATATGTCACCGACATTATTCTAATTTCTAATTTGTATTTAATTTTGATTTAGTTTATATTGTACAGTAGTGAGGTTATAAAAAAAAGAAGCTTCCACGGTTTCATATTGTGTTTTTTTTTTAAAGCTCTGGCGATAATTTTTGTATAGTATTAAGTCTTTTATATATACATATACTTATTATTATTATTATTAATATTATGATTATTATAATCCTTGAAAATCGTTAACTGTAAATATAAATGACGATTCCATATCGTTTCATTCGAAGAATGTTTTACTAACAACCTTATTGCGATGTGATAACAAAAAAAAAATCCAAACCTTGTCGCAATTAACAAGTATTAGTTTTTAATCTTATTATCCTCTTTTTTCAAAAAAAAAAAATATATATATATATACATATATATATTTTTAATGTCTTTTGACTATTTTATGTTATTTTTTTGTACTTGGTTTGAGTCCCAAATTTTATCTAGTAATTATGAAGTTTGTCCATTTGCATTGTAAGAATCGCTCCCTTTAATTTTTAAGAATTTAACGTTTAAATGAAGAAAAAAAAAAGTATTTGTACATGCAACTGAAAGTCCAAGTATATGAGATAAACATCTCTTCTTCGTGGAAAGAGAACAATTTGAGTAAATTATATATTCAATTTAATGTTTATAAAAAAAGAAAATTAATTAAATTCTGTTACATTCTCGTTTTTTCTTTTTTTAATGAGAAAAATAATTATATATAACTTTTAACTTATCATTGACTAAAACATGAGATTTGTACAGTTCTTATTGTATTTTTTGATTACTTTTTTTTAAAAATTAATTACATTAGATAAGATTTTTTGGCAATGGAAAAAAAAAGTTTTTCTCGATGATTGGTTAACAAAATTTTTAATAAGAAAAAAAAAATAAATAAAAATCAACAAAATCCTTAGACAAGTTGATTGAAGAAATTACGAGAGTTTATATTTTTTGGAAAATTATCGTTGATTATTTATTTAGTTTTATAATATAAAAATAAAATTTTCAAGAATTCAATATTTAAGAAAATAAAATTTTCCAAAAAATTGAATTCTTCAAAATTGAAATTAATTCGCGAGTTTTGTATAAAAAAAAAAATTATTTATTTTTATAATCGGCTATAAATCTAAGGCTCAATCGTCGCTCTTTTCACGTTATGTGTTTTATTTAAATTTTTTTTTCTTTTTTTTATGTTGAAAATTCGAAACTTTGAAAAACAATTTAAAAAAAAACAATGCTTTTCAAAGTTTGGAGTATCAGTGAAATATTTGTAAATATTAGTAAGAAAAAAAATAAATGTAGGCCTTATTTTTTACCTGAATGTTATAAAACCTAGCGCAAAAGATTATATTATAAACTAATAATAATAATAAAAAAAAAAAATGTTATTTGGTGGCTGACAATGAATTTGAAAAATAAGCCTGCAACATATGGGAAAAAAGTCTGTGCGTGCCTGTTTATATCGCAAAAATTTACCCACACAGTTCAAGCGATTGTTGTGTATAAATATAAGTGTAATATTAAATATAATATTCCATTATGTATACAGATACTTGACAACAAAAAAAATCGCATTTTTCAAATTATTCACCATTCAAATTATATTTTAAGTTAAACTATTAATGATAAATTATTAATCAATTTAATTACTATTTCTTGTTAAGAAAAACATTTTTATTTCTATAAAAAGATTCAGTTTACAATATTATGTTTTTTTTTCAAATGATGGTAATATATTTTTTAAAAAAAGGAATCTGATATTAAGTTGAAAAATCAACATCTGGAGTTTTCAATTTCATTAGAAATTAATGAAATCATATTTTCAATAAAAAAAAAAAGTTAGTCTGATTGGCTATTTGCAATTTTAATTAAAAGAGTAACTGATTTTCCACTTTTTTGCAACAAATTACCATATTTTTTCATAAATTATTGTAACTTTTCTTCAAGAACAAGTTCGTTTTCTTTTTTAATCGTGTCAATTTTATAGATTAGATAAGTTTAAAAATATAAGAAGATAAAGCACATTAAGTAAATAATATAAGTAAACTATGCTTCTTTTTTTTTTAAATATTTTCTCATAAACAATAAAATTTTTTGCTTAATATCGTATGAAAAATAAATTTTTGCAAGTTATTTCAAACTTTTTTCATACTTTTGTTATAACATTTTAATTTACAAATTTTTTTTTATTCTTAACAATTATTAATATTTTATAGACATATTTTTTCATATTTCATAAATTAAGGGGAATTATTGCCCAGTATACTTTCAATTTTAAGTTTTGAGGCCTTTTTATTTTTTTTTTTTTCGACATAAAATTCACAGTTTAGCTTTTAAGTAATCAATTTCTAATACTTGTTTAAGTACAAGTTCTATATTTACAGTCTATATATTCTATGGCTAAAAATTACACGAGCAGTGATTTTAATAATCATATCATTTTTTTTTTTTTTTCAAGACCAAAAACAGGTTTTGTATTGAAAAATCACAAAGATCTGTTATTGGAACAAGAAAAATTAAAGAAAATAAAATTTTAAAAATAAGGTTAAAATAACTTTTTCACTGAAAAAGTCTAACTAATAAAATATTTCTCTTGTGCGTGGATAAAATAATTTTAAAAAATAGCTCTAAAAATCCTTAAAACTTATCATCTAATTTAGAATGATAAAATTCAACTCTTTAAAAACAAAAAAAAAAAAAAAAAAAAAACCGATACCTCAATAATAACCTGTTTTCAGTCGTACCAGTCTTTGCACATTAATCTCGAATTCAAGTGTTATACTTGCAAAATAAAGATTCTAAATTAAAAATTTACTTTTTTTACAAGATAGAAATATTGTTTTTTAAAAAACGAGTAATTCCTTCTTTTATGCTTAAAAATTAAAAAAAAAATTCTTATTGGCACTTGAGAATTGTCCATCTAAAATTTGACCTCTAGGCACTTTATATGTATTTTAAATTTGCAATTAGACTTTTAGATTCCAAATTAGTCTATTATTTTTTTTCCAAATATTGGAATTTTTTTTTTGTTTTAAAAAAATATTGACTGATTTGGAATTATAATTAATTTTTGTTACTTCTCTGCTGAATACATGAGTGTTGCGTTTTGCTATCAATACACACACGCAAACACTCGAATTATTTACATATTTACAAGTCAAGTTAATTGCTTTTTTTTCAACTGCTTGAACTATTATATGTTTGTCTACCTCCCAATTCTAATAAATAACGATCAGGATGGTCCAGCCATTCGGAAGCGCTTAATTTTACAACTCTTTGCTTCTCTGCTTCTTTTGCTTGCCATTTTTTAATATCCAATTGTTTTTCTCTAAAATAATGTTATAATTATTTAGTAAATTTTATACATATATATTTTTTTAAAACTATTTAAATTAGTTTTCTAATTAAATTTTCGATTTTCAGTTTGAAATTCGAAATTTTTGAATAAATTACCTTGATTTTGCGTCGCCGCATCCCCAAACTTCTAAGCTCGAGATACGATATGGGACACGTTCAAAAGTAACAGAATTAAAAACTTGATCAACAATAATGCTTGGATCACGGGGATCTTTTCCTGCTCTCAAACCCTGTGGATAGCCACGAATTTCAGTATTTAAGTACAAAAGTTTTGATCCTTTTTCAACAACACGATACGATGGTAATAATTCAATGACCATTGAATCTTCATCGCCCCAATAAAGATGTGATTCTCGCCATTCAACGCATGAACAAATGCAATAAGTCGGTGAATTTTCTTCCTCCTCACTCACAGCTCTTATAAATATTAATGTTGGTCCTTTATAGCCCAATACATGATGTAAAAAACGATTTACACCTGTTCCATGTTGATCGCTGTTATATAATAATGTCCAATGTTTTGGGCAAATATGACCCGACATTTTTGATATCAACGCTTGCATTCCCTCCATTTGTGGATCTTCTATCTGTGAAAAAAAAAATTTACAATTAGAAAAAATAATTTTAAATAAAAAAATAAAAAATGATATGAATAATTTTCTAATAAAATTTCACCTGTGTATAAATTGAGGGTAGACTAGTGGACAATAACCAAACATAACTGACGGGCAAAAAGGGCTCAGAATAATCGAATGCATCGTGTGATTGCTCCAAAATAGGTGTTCCTGGTTCTAAATGTGGTTGTGATTCTTCTTTACACAAAAGATTATTTCCAAATCGATAAGCAGTTGTTAAAACATGCACCACATAACGATGCAATCCATGTACAATTTGAGGACAATTTTGCCAAAGCCAATGAGTCACATAATTCACCGATAAACTTTCCTTACCATGAAACTGAAAAAAAAATGATTCATAAATATACACTTTTTTAAATGTTAAAAAACTAATCATTATTTTAAATATACTATCATTAGACAGATACTTAAAGAATTTAAAAAAAAAGGTAATTAAAATTTAACGCTTACGCAAGAAACAAGAACAGCGTTGATGATTCGCTCGGCACTGAGCAATGTAACCATATTGGCATTGCCCATGGCCAAAACATAGGAAATCATAAGTAATGATTGTAAATTTTTTGTATTAACATCTCCATCGCCTTTTAAATTAGAATACATTCTCACATAATTCTCAAGTACAGATTCATCATTCATTATAGAGATAAATTTTTCTGCTTGCTGTTTAAAAGCAACAACACCAAGATGTGCTGTTGTTGCTTTTGCACAAGAATGAAGATAAATGAATAATTTTTCTGCTAATTCAGAATAATGGGGAAATAAATATTTTTTAATTACATTCGATGTTATACCATTAATTGATTCCTCACGTTGTGTAATATCAGCTAATATCTGTAAATTTCAAAATTTTAATTACTTTTATATTCTACATTTTGTAAAAAAAAAAATCTTCAAAAATTATGAATATGAAATGATTTAAAAAAATTTTGATTGTGCAATAACAAACAATATCTGTGAATTTAAACAGAGATAAGAAAAATATTTATAGTTTTGTAATATGAGAGATTACAAAAAATTTGAATATGAAATTATTAATTTATAACACAAATAACAATAATTTATATTTAAAAACAAATGATTTTTACTTCTTTTTCACAAGTTTATTTTGAAATAACATTATTGAAATTCTAACCTTAATGTACATGTTATATTTATAGATCATTACAAACAAAATAAGTAAAGAATTATGTAAAATAATTATGAAATACAACGTAATATTAATACGATTTCAAAACAATGATACTCAATAACTGCATGATATTTTAAAAAACATTAACAAACAAAAAAAAAAAAGATACAGAAAAATTGGAGTAGTCTCCAATAAGTGGAAAGTTCCTTAGTGAGAAAATGACAGAAAAAATTGGAGCAAGGTTAAAATTGGAGCACACTATTAAATAATGTTATTGGCTTATTAAAATATAAAAAATCAACTTACTTTAGCTAAATTCTCAATGGGAATAAAGTGAGTGTGTGATCCATTCTGAAAATCTGTTCCTGAAGGACTCCGAGACATGGTTTTTGTGGTTACTTGAACAACACCACCTGTTGCTGCAGCACCAATTTTTTTCTTAGCACTTCCTTTCTTTACCATATGATTTCCCATTGTCGTTAGTTTTTTTTTTCAAAAATTCGTGTAAAAATTTAGTATTTTAGTTTTTTTTCTCCTTTTTTTTTAGCAAAGCATTCCTTCTTCTTGACACACACTCACCAAAGCCTTGCGTGTTCCCCACACTAGAATTCCTACACGTTAGCGCGCGCAGCTTTTGTCGTTTGTTTGTGTTCATATGGAAAAGTCGTTGTTTTGAATATTGAAATTTAATAATTCCATATGTAATGGATTCTGGGGAAAAATCATGTGCTTATATTTTTTTTATATTATAAATAGATATTTATTTCTTTTCATCTTGTAATTTACATTTTTGTCGAACTGTCAAAAGTGTCAACCAAATAAAAAACATTAAATCTTGTTCACATGCTCTTAAATCCTGTGAACGGAACTTTACTTTAACGCACATGCGCCGCAGGTAATATTTCAGGTTATGTTGACATCACCCCTTTCTCACCCTTCAACAACGCAAAAAAGAAAACAATACAAATTTTTTATAAAAAAAAAAGATTTTAAATTTTACCTTACACATTGGTTGTAAAATTTGAAAAAAAAATTTAGTTTTTGATTAATTAATTTAAAATGTGAGCCATGGTATTGTTCCATATTGATAAACAATTGATAAACGCAATTATTGGAGTGAAATTAAAATTGTGATTTTTTAATTTTTAAAAGATTTCTCTATCTATAAAAGAGAGAATAATTATTACGATTCTTTATTTTTATTACGTAAAGATAAATATTGTTTAATATTTATATTTTTATTATTTATACAATTTCATTGGAAAGTTTAAGACTATATTATATAGACATATTTAATAATTATGTCGTCGATAAAAGCATTTTTTTAAATTGAAAATAAAACCTGAATAAACGGAAAAAATGAGTAGTATTAAATTAGAGGTACAATGGTCTCCGATCCATTCAAATAAATACATTACATGGGGAACAGAAATATTTTTATATGAAATATCACAAATCAAAGATACTGTCAGGCCATCATGTATTAAAGTTTCCGAAACAACAACTGCCTATTTACTTGCGACAAACACTAGTCATCATTATGTCAAGTGCATTGATATTTATCCTCAACCTGAACCGGATATTTTACTTGCCGTTGGTCAAGCAAATGGAAAAATTGTACTGACAACATTTGGTCCAACTGCTTTCGATTCATTGGGAATTGTTGGCAAGGAATTCGGTAAGTTTTTATTTGAATAATAAAAAAAATTATTGTATTTCTAAAATTTTTTTTTTCAGCTCCAAAACATGCGAGGCAATGTAATGCAGTTGCTTGGAATCCTGTCGATCCAAATTTAATTGTTTCTGGATTAGATAAATATCGTACTGATCATTCAGTTCTTCTTTGGGATGTTCAAAGAAGTCCATCGAATTCCGATAGAGCTCATCATTATGGAACAAGTCAATCGGATTCAATACGTCCAGTTGCCGAGGCTGGTGTTTCAGAAACAACGCATTCACTTTCTTGGTTTAATAACGAACCAAAATGTTTAGTTGTCGGTGTAAATAATAAACAATTAAAAATTATTGATTTTAGAGGTGAGAAACTTGTTTTTAAAAAATTTTAAATTAAATTTAAAATAAAAAAAAAAAAATTAATATATATTTTTTGCGTAGATCCGGTGAAAATAGTTAATACAACACCGACTAAGGCTGTTTACAGTTTAGCTGTAAATCCACATAATGATTGTCATTTGCTATCGCATGTCGATAATCAAATTACCATATGGGACACTCGATATTTTGAAAAACCAGTCCTCACGTTACCCCAAAATAGACAAGTGACAAAAGTTTTATGGTGCCCAACGAGAAATAATTTATTGGGTTCTTTGCAAAAAGATTCAGGTACAAGAATAGAATTTCTTTTCAGTTTTTTTTTTTTTTTTTTTGATCAAAACAGCAGAAAAACAGTATTTAAATAATTTGAATTGAAAATTTATATAATATTATAATTAATTTGAATATTAGTAATAGATAAAATTTTGTTTCAAATTGTTCATAAAGGATCATTGTATCTACACGATATACAACAATGTGGACCTGGAGACGATACGGAACCTGGTGTTTTGGAAAGAACGGTCGTACCACCCTGGACGAATCCAACGAGTTTTTCTTGGCATCCAAAACACACTAACAGACTCTTAGGCATTTCACAACAAGGTAAGAATATATTTTTTTTAAGTAATTGCAATTTGAAAGAAATTTATCATTCTTTTTTTTCAATAGGTCTGACTGATTACACAGTTTGCGAAAGAATTACATTAAATTGGTCGACACGTTCACATCTTGTTTGGAATCATGCCACAAAGGCATTTAAATATATTTGCAGCAACGATAATATTTATAAAGCAATTGATGATATTTCCATTTTAACAAAAACTCGCGCAATGAACGAATATGGTTTAATTGTAAATAATTACTTTAAATTAAATTCAATAATTCAATTAATTTATTATTGAGTCATTTTTTTTTATAATTTTAGCCGGAATTATCGCAAAATGGAGAATTGGCGGAAAATGAGACGTTAAAAAATCTTTGGCAATGGTTGTATTTAAGTCAATCGTTAGTTGAAGATGGAACAATTCCAAGTCCGGACAATAAACATCCTGGAGTTAGGTAATAATAAAATAAAAAATTACTAAATTTTTTAAAATATTTTTTCAATTAAGGGATCTTTTTTTTCTTATTCACAGAATGGTTTTAAATTTTGATGTTCAAAATGCAAGTAATGGATATCTAAGATCTGAGCCAGTTCATCGTCTATGGACAGATATTGGATCAAATCACACTGCAAAAATGTATAGATCAACGGAACGTGATAAAGCATTACAATTGTGTGGTTGGCGTTTTGAAAAAGACACAAATGCACCGTACAGTAATTTATTTATTGAAAGACTGGAAAAAGAAGGCGCTTATCCTAGAGCAACGGCTATTTCCGTTTTTAATTTATGTTTACGTCAAGCAATTGATATATTAAATCGTGGCGCAAGTAAAATGTCCTCGCCAACGAATTTAAATTTAAATATTGTTGCAATGGCATTGTCAGGATTTTCCGAAGACAGAAATAGTATGTGGCGGGAACTTTGCTTAAAATCCCGATCTCAATTATCTGATCCTTATCTTAGAGCGACTTTTGCATTTTTAACTGCCGATAATGATTCTTATGAAAATGTACTTGTAAGTACATCTCTTATGATTTTAAAATTAATTTCACTAAATAAGTAAAAGAGGTTTTTTTTTCTAGAATGAAAATGGAATGGCTGTGGAAGATCGAGTGGCATTTGCTTTAATGTTTTTGTCAGACAGTAAACTTTATGAATACTTAAAAAAATTAACACAAAAATTGACTGATGAGGGAAATTTGGCTGGTTTTTTGATTACGGGTATGTATTTTAAAAAAAGAACATTTTATCATTATTTTTCGAGAGATTATTATGTTTTAAAATTAATTTAGGCGCAAGTTTGGAAGGCATTCAATTACTAAATAGATATTTAGAATTGACTGGTGATGTACAAAGTTGCAGTCTCATAGGAATTCGTGCTTTACCACCAAAATTGTTACAAGAAAATCAAGTACAAGTTTGGATAGCAAGGTATTTATTTATTCTTAATTGTATTAATTAATTTTTAATATTATATATGATTTAAGTTATAGAAGTTTATTAGACGCGTGGAAAATGTGGAATCAACGTGCGCATTTTGATATCGCAATGAGAGCATCAACAAATGAAAAACCACCGCAACAAGTTTATATTTCTTGTAATTTTTGTGGAAAGAGTATATCTTCGTTTATGCAAGGTCTTAGTCGCGCGAGAGGTCCTTTTGGTCGACTAGGAAGTACTTCGAATAAATTAAAGGTAGTGTTTCTTTTTTTTTTTAATTGAAAATTTTTATTTTGTTAAATTTAATTAATTTTTTTCGTACAGATGTCCGCATGTCCTGGATGCAGAAAACCATTACCAAGATGTGCAATTTGTTTAATGCACATGGGAACTGTCAGCGGTTTACAAATGACAACAAATGCAAGTAGAAATGAAGAGGACAGTAAATTAACGGAATTTAATAATTGGTTCACATGGTGTCAAACTTGTCGACACGGTGGACATGCCAATCATATAACGCATTGGTTTGAGTAAGTTTTAATTTATTAAAAAAAAAAAGGAATTTTCATTTTTATTTTTAAATAATTCTTTTTGTTATAGACAACATTCTGAATGTCCAGTTACGTCTTGTACCTGTCGATGTTTTTCTTTGGATGCATCCTGTAAAATCGGAGTTGGAATTTCCTAATGTGTATTTTTAAAAAACAATTTGTACAGTAATTTTTACAATAAAAAATTTTTAAAGAAAATTGTTTATTTAAATATTTAAAGACTTACATCTACATGTTTTCATTAAAAAAAATAATTTATTATATTTAAAATCTTTTTTTTGTTTTATCTAAAACGATGGGTTGTCACCGAATGTCCATTTTTTATCGCCAAGCAAATTTCCGATTAATAACATTTCATTGTAGTTTTCCTTCACTATTAAAAAAAAAATATATTAATATTAAATAATTTCAAAATTTAAAAAATTTCCTTAGTTTGTAAATAAAGATTACTTACCAACATTTAGATTGTCTTCAGCAAGAAATGTGAACAAAGAATTACACAATACTGTTGTTTTGGACTGAACATTACCATGGATTTCTAAATAACATTGAGAATTACCATTGAATGGTTCTGGTAATGATATATTAACTTTAACATCGTCTAATGTCACAAGTTCAATAGATTTACCATTAGGACTCACCTAAAAATTAAACCGTTAATTTAATTTTTAAACAAATTGAATGCAAATAAAATATTAATAATTTATTATTAAAATTAATATTTTCCAAATAAAACAATAAATATTTGTTATAATTAGTTAACAATAAATTAAAAATTTGAACAAAGGACAAATTAGAGGTTAGAATATTTTTTATTCCCAAGCACATTATTTTTAAAACAATTAACAGAAACTCTATATCAAAATATGTTTATAGAAACAGAAATAAATGTATCCCTTTATTGTTAACTCGAACATTTATGTATTTTTAAACAATTTTTGTAAATTTCCTATAAACTAAACAAAAACAAAATTTTACTCACCATTCCAACTTTACCCAAAAGAATCACTTCCTCGCCAATGTTTTGGGCTAAATCTTGCCCACGAATACGTTTAACAACTTTAAGCATTTTTCTTTTCTATTTTTTTAATTAATAATTTGTGTTTTATAAAATTATAATTAACGGAATGACAGAGAAATAACAATTACCGCGTTTTTTGGTAGTCAGAGTTGGATAACTAATTTTACTTTTACTGGACAAATTTGAATGATCACATTTCGGAGGTTTCACTTTATTTAAAATTAATATGACGTCAAACATCACTCTTTTAAATGTGTTGTATGAACACACAATTTTATTAACAACCAAGATGTCGCTGTGACATTCCGTGAACTATATAATAATTAGTTAATTTAGAAGTTTTACAATTTGTGCTGCAAAAATAAGTTTACTACATCTAAATAAATGCAATTAACTAAATTTCAACATATTATCCTTTTTATTTGGAAACAATTACAGTGAAATTGTGTTTATCAAAAATAGCAGCAAAACCCATTATAGTGACTATCGGAAGTTAAAATTCCATTCTGTGTGTGAATTGACAGTCTACTTGTCAAAATAATTGTCGGTTTAATCTGCCGTTTGTGACAATTCTTTTTTTTACAATTATTATCTCAAAAAAATACGCAATGTGAAATATAACGAATGTTCGTATACAATTTTAAATTAAGAGAGAATCTTTTCTAATAATTAAACAGTAATTATTAGTATTGAAAAAAAACGGCTGCTGCTTTCCAGAAGTACCTACACATAAGCAGTTTAGTTTGATTTTCATGCCTAAAAGTATCGTTGTTATGTTTATTTTTTCTTGTGTTTAACACTCATGATACCAGATTAGCTGTAGTATTAAAAGTCAGCATGGAGAAATTTGCTATTGATTTAGACAAAGTACTCGATGAGTTTGAATTTAATGAAGGTAAGACACGTTTTTTTTTTTTAGTATTAAGTCACGTGTTTCTAGTTTTGTCTAATGATACATTTTGTAATATATAATCATTAATTAAGAATCATACAAAGAATTTATGTGACACGTCATGACAATTTTTCAATAACTTTTTATCAGGTGAAAATGTTAATTTTATTTATTTTTGTTTCAATAGGTTAAACAATGACATTTTTTTTTTGAAAACTTTTATAGATCGAGCTGAGCAAGTTGCATCAGTAGCCCCAAGACAAATTGGACCTTCAATAATTCCAGTTTCACAAGGATTAATTCCAAAAACTCATAATCGACCAACAAGCTCAACAATTGTTTCAAATGAAGATCTAAATGTTATACCTCCACCTCCGGAAAGGCACAAAGATGAACGTCCTCATCATAGTAATACTGAGGAATCACCTTTAAGAATTGAAAGAGAAAAAATGAATGATAATCTTGCAAGTTTTCGAAAAGCCGAACTCAAACAGGATAATGTTGATTCTATCAATCATTTCTATACTCATGGTCGTTTAAATGATAGTAAAATTCAACCAAAACAATGCGTTGAATCTCAATCATTAGATCCAGAACCAGTATCAATAATACATAATGATATATCGCAAAAACTTTTACAAAAAAAATTAAATGACAATAGTAATTCAAAAGTAAATAGCTACGATAATAAATTAAATCAATCGCATATGAAACCAAGTGTCAGTAATGTTTTTAGTAGTCTCAATGAATATATAAATGCTCCAAGTGGAAGTTTAGTGACTGAAGAAAATCCCAATGATTCAATTAATGTTAATTTTATTGTTTCTGATAATAAAAGAAAAGATGAATCCGTCTTAAAAATTGAATCCACAAAAGATTGTACTGTCATTAAAAATATAACAACTGACACTGGTAGTATAAGTGTAATAAAAAATGATATTGGTGTTGCAAGCACAGGACCAAAATTATCAAATGCCATCACTCTACCACCAAAATATCAAAATATTCTTCTACCAATTAAATTGGATACGTGTATTGAAAAACCAAGTAACGTTGTAATAGCCGAACATAAAATACCAGAAAATGTTAATTTACCAGAAACAAGTAAATCTGTAAATATAGAGCGTAATTTTATATCTCAATTAGATAAAACAGAAAGACAAGAAGCAAAAAGTATCATAGATGAACCGGAAAATGTTTATGAAAATGTTTATATTGGCACTGATATTCCTAAAACGCAGGGAACTATTAATAAATTAAAAAATTTAGATACAAAAGAAACAAAACAATTGGAACAATCATTAAAAGGAGAAGAAGAAAAACATACTTATGAAAATATTGATTTTCCTTCAACAAAAATTCGAATTCCCAATAAGGATTCTGTTTATGAATATATTTTTCTTGGTAATAGAGAACAATTACCAGAGACAACAACAGAATTAGAAGTTGCAGCAAAAAAATTGGATCAATTTTATGCGAATAAAAAAAATCAAGAAACAGAATTAGAAATTCAAGGGAAAAAAATTGATCAATTTTATACAAATAAAAAAAGTCAAGAATCTGAAACAAAAGGTAGTAATACAACAAGATTAGTATTTCAAGCAGTTCAATTAAATCCACCGCCACAGGAACATAAACCAATTGGATTTGGAAATATTGATGATTTATCTGAAGAGGAATTAAATCGTTTTTTAGCTGAATTAGAAGAAGAGGAGAGAGTTAATGAAGCTTCTGGTTCTGATGGAATATTACAAAAATTTTCAAATAAAAAACAAGACGATGAAGATGCAAATGAAGCACCAATATTTGAGAGTGTTGTCATTGGTGAATTACCAAGTGTCTCTGAGGAGGATCTTCAACAGAAAGCAAAGAAATTTCCCGTTATTGATTATAGTAAAGGACGAATTGGTGAAAGTTCAAGTGGTGGTAGTGATTTTTTAGCCAAGAAAGGTGTAGAAAAATTTCACGAATCTACAAAACCTATTTCGAAAGTAAAAGAGGACAAAGGAAAAACAAGAAAAAGTAAAAAAACAAATGAAAAAATTAGAAAGTGCTCTGATAATTTTGATATTTCAATTAATGAAACAGTTGATGAAATTGTTATAGCGCAAGATAAAGAAAATGGAAATTGTATTTCGGAAATAGTTGACACTAATATAAAGGAATGTAATAATAAAAGTGAAAATGATGATGATTTTCAAAATATTACAAATCCTGGAAATAATTTATCACATGATTTAAGCCTCGACGAGAGTGGTGAAACTGATGATGATGATGAGGAGGATAATGATGATAATAATGATAATGGCGATGATAATAAACTATTAAATCCTGAATTAAATCCTCATAACGATGAGACTGGTAATTTAAATGTAAATGAAAATATGAGTAGAATAAAAATGGATGATAATAGTAGTAGAAGAATTAATGATGTAGATAACAATTTGGATCATAATGAAAATAGTGAGGAGGATCTTAATCGACCAACAAGACCACAAACTTTGGATATTGTTGCTACAGTTAACATGACTGAATTTACGACAGGTATTTTTTTTTTATAAATTTTATTTATTAATTATCTTTTTATGTTTCTTTTTGTTCTTGATAAAATTCATTTTTAAATATCTGAATTCTATTTTTTAAAATTTTTCTTTCAGGGAAACAAGAAACAGTTCCTGTTGTTTCGGATGTTCCTGAAAATGAGGGTAATGGAGATGAAATTCGAGTACCATCACCAGATATTTCGGAGAATTCTTCTATGGATTCGGGAATGGTACTTGGAAAACAACCGCCCTTTTGGATTCCGGATGCCGAAGCACCTAATTGTATGCTTTGTGATGTGAAATTTAATGTTATTAAGAGACGTCATCATTGTCGAGCTTGTGGAAAGGTAAAAAAAAATAATTCAAAATGAAATATTTTTTAATAATCATTATTTTTTTTTCGTTACAGGTGTTATGTAGTAAATGTTGCAATATGAAATATAGATTAGAATACCAGGGCAATATTGATTCTCGAGTTTGTTTACCTTGCTATCAACTACTCATTAAAGGTAATAAAATAATAATTTGAACTTAGACAACAATTAAAATTGTAATAAATTTGTAAATTTAAATTTTTTTCAAGCTGAAATTGAACAAGAATCTGGAGATTGGTCAGGATATTCAAACAGTGCAAGTGGTCCGGGAATAAATTCACCTCAAGTAGGTTTCCTTTATATTTTATCAGTTTTTTTTTTCATGATGAATAATAGTACGTAAATTTTTGCTTTTGCTTAGCATATTATAACTAATTTACGCATAAGCACCTACCTGTAACAACTTGTTGAATACCTCATACCTCACGTAATGTTGATTATTTTAGCATGATGATTGGATTGTTTCTCTACTACTACTAAAAGAAAAGAAAAAAAAAAATTTCTTTTGTAGAATATACCTTTCCAGTGTAGAAAAAAAAGTAAAATTAAATTTTACTTCAAAATTTTAAAGTACATCCGTAATTTTTTTTTTTTAAATTAAATAAAAACAAAATTTCTTTCTTTTTGTGTCAAATTTTCACCGCGTTTAATAATATTCAGAGAATAGATTTTTCAAAATTAATTTTAACTTTTCGGAAAATTTGGAAATTTTGGTTCAAATCGAAAATTTTTATATGATATATTAAAAGAGTCCTAATAAATTTCTAGTTTCTAGGCTTCACAGTCACTTCTATTTTTAGACTTTTTCTCTATTTTAAAAATTCTTTTTTTTTTTAATAAAATGCAGATTGATTAGAAAATTTGTGTTTTTTTACTAAAAAGTTTTGTGTGTTGAAAATTAAAAATTATTTTTCAGTTGAAGAAAAAATTATTTTAATTTAAAATAAAATATTTCTTTTTTAAATTAATTAATTTTTTTTCGGTTTTTTTAATAAAGGTCAAAAAAAAATATATTTATTTTAATAATTTCAAAAATAAAATTTTTTGTTTAATACTGTGAAGCCGGAATCTCTTTATTGTTGATTGCATGGTGATTTTTTTTTTTGTTTTTTTTTTTGGAAAATTAAGTAGACTCTATTGCACTACCGTGGAGAAAAAAAAATATTGCAATGGAAAGTTTGCCACGAGTTAAAGTTTTAGTCCAAAGAATTTGATCTTCTCTGAATTGTGGTGTATTTGCAATAGTCAAATGCCAAAGTTTGGAGTATTCGACAAATGGTTATAGGGGAGACAGCCTAATCCAAATAATCCGATGGAGTACTGTTCAACAATACCACCTTTGCAACAGTTAGTTGGTGGTTTGCCTCCACCTCCCACGGTCATGGTTCCAGTTGGTGTTCTTAAGAGGGAAGGAAGTACAAAACAACGTTCAGAGGGACAAAAATCTGTCATGTTCAGTGATGGTAATAAATTTTTTTCTCTATCTTTTCTAATTATTACTCTTTAATATACAAAATTTTGAAAATATTATCTAATTAATTCAATCTTAATCTTTTTTTAAAAAATGGATACACCGATGAAATTTCCATATTTAGGGATATTAATTTTTATTCTCTTTGGAATTTCATCACTATTTTGTATAATCCATTTTTTAAAATAACTAATAAGATTTTTTTTTTAAATTGATACCTGTATGTTTAAGTCAAAATACACATAACAACTTTGTAACACGAATTTATTTAATTTTTTTAATTATTGAAAGTATTTTATTTTTTTTTTTTAGTCTTTTATGTTGTTTATCGTTTATTTGATTAATTTATTTTAAACAAAACTGTCATACATTTATTTTTTTATTTTCTCCATGGAACATTATGTTCCAAATTTTACCCTTCCCGTTTGTTTTGTTTTCAAACACACCTCTCTCACAAAAACACAGGAATAAGGCCTGGCTGTGACCTAACAGAATTAGATACATCATGGGATCTAAAGCCACCGTCGAGAAAGGTTGGAAGTAAACGAATAGCAGCCTCTGGTTTTCCATCATCGTCAAATATTGCCAAGAAACAAAATTTACCCCCATTAGATCCAAATACAAATAGTTATATTCCTCAGGATGCAAATACATTACCGCCAACTGTTAACATTCATAAAGGACGTAAGAAAAAATATTTTTAAAAATAAAAAAAAAATTGTAAGCATATTTTTTTTGTGTAGTTTTGAAAAGATTTTCTTTTTTAGAAATAACATATACGGATGTTTTGGATCAAAACAGTTTATTTGTTACTTTGAAAAATGAATGCGAACCTGCTGTGATGTTTGCCATTAATCGAAATCTCTACGCGTATATAAAAATAATTAATTGTAAGTAATTTAAAAAAAGAATTGATGATTTTTAAAATTGCTTTTAAAATTTAATTTTTTATTTACAGTGAGTTGTTGTATGAACAAAATATGTTGGAATATCACATCGAAAGGTCTTGCCTGTGTTGGGCAAGATGAAGTTATATTTTTAATAGAGACCCTACCTGATGAAACACAAATTCCAAAAGATGTTCTGATACATATCAATCAGATTTATATGGAAGCAACAAAAGGTAATTTATTTTATTTTAAGAATTTAGTTTCAAGAAAATTAATTTTATTTGATTTAGTAATAATTAATAATTATTATTTTAGGAAATACAATAACTGAAAACGGTGTATCGATACATCAAAATGGTAATTTATTAGGATCTCGAGAGCATGCAGGATTTCTTTTTATTCGTCAAACTCTTCAGTGTTTACAAAAAATTGTTCTTCCTCCATCTCCTTTTCTTGTCGGTTTACTAGTTCACAGGTGAGAAAAATTTATTTTAATTTCTTGTTTATTTAAATTCAAAATAATCTTTTTTTTTTTTATTATTTCAGGTGGGAAACTCCTTGGGCTAAAGTATTTCCACTGAGGCTTGTTTTACGTTTAGGAGCCGAGTATAGATATTATCCTTGTCCATTGGTCTCAGTACGTTTTAGAGAAGCTGTTTATTTTGAAATTGGTCAAACGGTAATGAAAGTTTTGGCTGATTTTCGAAATTTTGCCTATACATTGCCAGCTGTACGTGGTTTAACAATACACATGGAGGGTACAACAACATTTGTTCGATTTCCGAAAAATCGTTACGATCAAGTTATAAAGGGTTTAAATAATTCTAACGATCATGTATTAGCATTTGCGGCTAATTTTAGCGTACAAGCTGATTCACATTTAGTTTGTATACAAACAAATTCTGAAGAGGAAAGTAGTTATCAAACACAAGCAATTAATATTGAAATTAAACCAAGAAAAGGTAAGTTAATTATTTATTATTAATATTACAATTTAAATTTAATATATATTTTTATATTTTAAGTGACTGGAGCTAGTTTTATTGTTATCAATGGAGCATTAAAATCATCAATGGGTCTTTCTGCTAAGACAAGTATTGTTGAAGATGGATTAATGGTACAAATAATGCCAGAGAAATTGGAGGCCTTGAAAGCTGCTTTAAAAAATATGCAGGAATTTACGATAGGTTGCGGTCGACAAGGTGCTCCAGAACCCGATGAAGTTGTTAATATTACGTGGGTCGAGAATGATGTTTTATTTAATTTAGGGTAGGTAAAAAATAATTGAATTTTTCAATTAATAATTTCTATTTTATTAATAATTTGATTTCTTTTTTAGAGTCAAAAGTCCAATCGATGGTAAACCAATGGATGGAGTTCCGTCAATTAGAGTTCATAATGGTGTGGATTATGTAGGAACAAGCAGGTTTATTCGTTGGACGGAAGTATTTATAGTTAAGGTATTTAATGATTTTTCCTTTTTTTTCAAAAAAAAAAGTAAATTAAATTGTTTTAAAATGAAATATTTTTTCATTATAGTCTGATGATCATCCAAATGGTGTTCATGATCCAGTGGACATTAATAAACTTTCGGAGAATATTGCTAGAGCTACATGTACAGCTCTAGTTAAATTATTAGATCTTTTAGCAGCCGCTGGACTCACAAAACTTGCTGTAAGAACAACTATTCATCCAGATAATGTAAGTTTAAGAAAATTAAAAAAAAAAAAATTAAGAAATTATTTAGGAAAACGATAATAATTTTTAAATTGAAATTCAGGTTGGATATGAAGCTGGTAGCGAAGGCACACGATTGCCTCCAATTTATATGAATAGTTTGGATAATGAGCTGATTCAAGTTTTGCAAAAAGCCGTACAAAGTAGTCAGGATACACATACAGTCCTCGAATTAGTCTTCTATATATTGGAGTCTGAGAATTATTGTGTTTAGATTTTCAAGTAAAAAAGAAAGAAAAAAAAAATCCCCTCGTGGATGGGTAATGTGCAATGTACATTTGAAAGTCTTGTAACTTAACTTGAATTACGTAATTTTTGTTATCATTTCTTTTCTACAAGTGTATTTCAAGTTTTGTAAAATAGTGACTAAAAAAAAAAGTCCTGGCGTAATTCTCAAAGCAAAATTACAGACAAAATACGAAGATTATGAAAAAATCTTCCAACTTTTAAAATGTTGAAAAGAAAAACACTCTCAGCCTGTAAATTTTCAAAATAAAATCTCTAACAGGCTTAGGAAAACTTACATAGCTTTAGCTTTTTTCAAGCGTAACATTTATATGAAATATATATCTATATATCTATTAATATTTTTGTATAAGCTTTGAATCTTTCTTTTTAAACTGCATTTTCTTATTTTTTAATTAATTTCTTATTCTTTGAAAATTGATTTTAATCTAAAGTTTATATATATAAAAAAAAGGTTTTAAATTATTTTTTAACTGTATGAAAATCAAGAGAAGTCGATTTGTGGAGATTGAATGAAAAAAAAGAAAGAAATGTCAAATTTTATATAAAATTCTTTTTGTACAGTTTATTCTTTCAGCGTAAGAATTTAATATAATTTGTTATCGTCATGTTACTAACCATCGTTCTAATAAAATGTTGAAGCTAATGTAATGTATGTATATTGTTACTTATGTTTGAGAAAAAGATATTAAGATCAATTGAAAAAACATAAGTATTTATTTTACTCTCCATTATGTATTTCTCAGAATATTCTCTGAGTTTCATGAATCACATCTAAAAAAAAAATGATATATCTTCTCAGGATAGAGCAATTTAAGTAATTATTTTGTGTTTTATAGATAAAAAAAGGGGTGAATTTTTATGCAGTGTAAATGTGATAATAGAGCAAATAAATTGTACATATATTACACTACTACATTTTTATCTTTAATTTAATTTCCAATATAATAAATAGACGTTTTCAATATTTACTGTATTTAAATTATCTTTTTTTTTTAAAAAACAATAATCAATTTTTTGAATAAAATAGTATTTTTTGAATTTTGGGTGAAATTGGCGCCATTGAGCGATCGTCATGCTAGCTGTTAATCACATTTGGAACTAAAATATTGAGTCGTTTCGCATTTCCTTCGGCTCCCTAAAAGTAAAGGACGTTGCGCGTAATTCATTCCGGTATATAAAGAAAAAAAATGTTTGAACAGTGAAAAATTCTGCCAGTTAGTGAATTATCTATTTTCTGGCATTTTCGGATCAATTTCCTAGTGAAACATTTCCAAAAATTTAATAAACACAATGGATAAGAGAAAATTGTCGTAAGTATCGTCTTTTGTGCGCAAGAAATTTTCATCTCAATCAAAGGGATTTTTTCACTTTGTTCCTTTTAATTCCAAGTGATTATGTTTAATTTTTTGTGAATTTTAATTATTTATGATAATTAAATTTATTCATTCTACGATGGGAATGAAATTGTCTTCGATATATATGATGTCAAATATAGGTTAGAGACCGTTTGCTGCGACGAAAAATTCCCCTCCTCCCTTTTTTCTTAACGAAATTTCTGTCGCATTTCTTCCGTGCAAAACTGAAAGACCATAATTTTTCTTTTTTTTTTTATTTAGGTTAAGTTGCCCATTATGTTCATTATCTTTCCTTTGCAAAAATATAAAGATTAAAATTTTTTTGGAAAATTTGATACAGAAATTTCAATTTCTACCAAATTTTTCATATTTTTTTGTATAAAATATAATGGGCAACTTAACCTAAATTAAAAAATAATAAGTTACGGTCTTTCAGTTTTGTACGGCAGAACATTTGTCCTTGACACCACCCGTGTATGAACTTTTATTCGATTTATTGTTAATCCTCTTTCAGTTACTGACAACCCTTAGTATTTGAATCAATCCCTCGAATTTGCTCCATTTGAAAATTATTTATTTTCTTTCGTCATTAATCATAATTTAAATGCCTTGAGTTTCAATTTTATTTCTCGTCCATTTTGGAGTAGGCAACATCTTTCACTGTAAATGAGTTTTAAATTTTAGTTATATTTTTATTTAATTAGAAGACAATATTATATATTTGTACAATTTATGAAATTAATTCAATTGTATTTTTTAAAAAAAACAAGTTTTTTTTACATAGATTGAAATAGATAAATCATTTGAAAGTTATTCAGCATATTTTTATTTTCTATTGAAATAGATATGTTTCAGAGAGAATGTTATCTTTGCTGATGTGAAGTTTTAAAAAGAAAATTGCATGCAATTTAAGAATTCTAAAAACATAGTTTCAATTCCTTTAAAACTATTTTTTTTTATCATTTTCCTTTTATTTGTCTGATAAGTTGAAATTTTTTTAAAAAATTTCTATTATAAATTTATTTAATAAAATGTTCCCATATGTTTCATTTTTTACGCAAAAAAATAATTTTAAAACCTGACTATTTTGACTTACGTGACTTAATTATACTTGGAAATAATATAAAAGTCATTATATATATTGTTATCAGTTTTTCTTTGTCAAATATTTTAATCTTTATTTTTTTTTTATCGCCTTTTTACAGTACTTCTGGGGATTCCCTTTATGCAATTTTAGAAATTCCTAAAACTGCCACTGCTGATGAAATAAAGAAAACTTATCGAAAATTAGCACTTAAATATCATCCAGATAAAAATCCTAATAATCCAGATGCAGCAGAAAAGGTAATAAAATAATTTAAAAATAAAAATATAATAAATTGTCAATTTAAAATAAAAAAGGAAATCATTTTTGAAATAATAATTGAAAATTTCTTGAATGAAAACAGTATATAATTGGTTTTTATATTTTACAGTTTAAAGAAATAAACAGGGCGCGAGCAATTTTGTGTGATTTAACAAAACGCAATATTTATGACAACTATGGGTCCCTTGGTTTGTATGCTGCTGAGCAATTCGGCGAAGAAAATGTTAACTCTTACTTTATTATCACATCTAAGTGGACCAAGGTAAACAATTTTACCATTATCTATACCTTTTTACGTCAAATTCATCACGCAATGTTTTTTTTTTCTTTTTGTTCTTTTATCAGTATCAATTTTCTACGATTTGTTTTTCTTCTCAAATTAAATATGTAACTCAAAATTGTTATTTTATACTATTATAATTAACTATTTTATGTTTTCTTGCAGGCATTCTTTCTCTTATGTGGATGCATCACTGGATGTTATTGTTGTTGCTGCTGCTTTGGTTGCTGTTGCTATTTCTGTTGCGGAAAATGTAAACCAACACCACCAGAGGATAGTGGAGATTATCACAACTTGCAGGTAATTAATTTTTATTAATATAAATTAATTTTTTTTTGATAATTTTGAATAAATTCTCAAAAAAATAAGAAACAAATCAAGAATTACATTTAATGCATAATTTTTCTAAATACTTTTCCTCGTCGAACTAAATTTCAGTTAGGAATATATATTAAAAAAAAAAAAAAAAAAAAAAAAAAATATTTCGCAATTTAAATTTCATTAGGAAATTGTATGTAAATCGTAAAATGATTTCTATTCATTTAAAACATTTCGCTTTTGCTTTTTTAATTTAATGTACTATATTGTGATTGGAAAGTTAACATTTCTTGTCATTCAATGAAATAATTTTTTTTTTTTTCAAACATTCTCTTTCGTTAATTTCTATAAAATGTAATTTTTGTCAAAATGAAAATAATGTGTATGCAATGAGATCGACTTTATTACAGACCGATTACTTTTTTTTTAGATTGCATGACATAGTATTCGAAAAAATATAATCGAAACAAATTTTTCTTTTAATATGAAATTAATTAAAATATACATCTTTTTTTTGGGGGGGGCGATTATTTATTTGATTTAATTTCATTAAGAATAACTTTTACACTTTTTAATTGAAATATCGTTTCTTTCGTGCATGCCAAGACCTTGTGAGCTTTTTAAACATGCTTATGTGGTTTAAAAGCTGCTTTGAAATATCCTTGTGACTTGAAAATGTAAATTCAGGTCCTTAATAATTAATGGTTTATGAATGTTGAAAGTTTTGGCTTATACGTTATTTATTTATTTATTTTATTTTTTTAATATACGCTTAAAAAGCTCGTTAGAACAAAAATTACCCAGTGCATGTTTCTCATATGATAGAGGCAGGTAGGTGTCCTCGAATCTAGATGTTAAATGAATTTTTGCAATTTTCCACCTGCTAAAAATGATAATTTTTATCTTTTAAATCGCAAAAAAATTCTTTTGTCTAAACGTCACAGTAGAAAATAAATTAAAGAGTAATCAATAAATTTCTGTAAATTCACTTTATTAATGTTATATAGATTTCAAAATTTTTCTATATTATTTATTTTTTATTCTGTCTAGTGACTAATGTTGACCTGTTATGCAATCGGTTAATCGAAATGCATTTTTAAACATGTTTAGTCTATACAGGTAAATTCAAAATTAATTACCAATAAAATTATGCATTCCAATCAGATAAAAGTAAATAATTATTTTAGTTTTTGAAATTTACTAATAAAAATTAAATTTATTAAAAATTATCAGATTTTAATTGTAATTAATGAATTTCTTTTTTTTTTTTAAGATTCCGAAAAATATGGTATTTTGTGATTAATTGTTATAGAATTTTTCTATCAATTTATTCTTGCAACTAGAACCTTAAATTCTTTATTAAGTTATTGATTGATTTTGAATCTTAGCAGCGAACGTGCTTAACAATAGAAAGTAGAATTTTTCACTGACTTAGCATAGAAATTGAAAATTATTTTTTTAGTTCTATTTCTTGTATAATAGTAATTTATTTAATTAATTGTTTTAATTTTTTTTAAACATTAATTTTATTATATTTATAAATTGAATTTTCAAGCGAATATTCTTATTACTGCATGTAATTAGATTTTTTATTTAAATTGGAAAAAAAATCTCTTATTGGATCTCTAATTTTTTTTAACAATGAAGATATCTTTTATCAATTGTTCAGCCTCATCAATGAGTCACAGGCTGGAGGTAAGTTAACTTCAGTCCTGGTATAGAGCATTATTCTATTTGTATTTTTAGATGTATTTTTTTTTGTATTCTTTCGTTATCTATCTTTTCTCACTTGTAGAATATCAATCTTCATATAAAGCATATATACATAATCGTCATGCATTTTCTTTATTTTTCAAAGTCCTTGAGTTCACTTTAAAACAAGATGAGAGACTTGGAAAATTAGAAATAATTTTTTTAAAAAAATTATTAACTAATTAAAAAATTATTTGTTTTTTTAATTTAAAAATATTGCTAATTATTATTGGATATAATATTTAATTTTAAATAATTTTTATTAAAAAAATTAAAAACTTGTAATTGTAAATTATAAATATAGATTAAATTAAATAATAAGAGTTTCTCATTTTCGTTTTTCGTGTTCTTGAAAAATGTTCACTTCTTGTCACGCACGTTTCAAAGCTCACGCGTTCATTATTGTATATCACACATTTTACCATGTGTACATACATTACATACACATCTTTTCATTCAAGTGATCAACATTTTTGGCATAATTTTTTTTTTATTTAAATTGAAATAAAAAGGGAGCAGATTTAATCTATTATTAATCAGATAATTAAATTTAAATTTGTTAAAAAAGAAAATTTCTTTTAGTTATTATTAAAATTTTTATTATATTAATAATAATTATTTTTCGACAAAAATAAATTTGCTTCCTTTTTTTTTGAAAATAATTTTTTTTTTTTAACATGACTCATTTTTAGTTATTAAACGATTCATATCTTCATGAATCATTATTTAATGTTCATTCATGAACAATTTATCTAATTCTCGTTTAATAATTCGTTCAGTCTGGCAATGTATCCTTGGCACTGAAACACCTTATAAAGCTTTTTATTGATCTCTATCGCGTAAGCGGTAGAGTGCTGAAATGAAATAATTTAAAAAATAATTTTTACATTAGTTCTCTCTCATCATTTTTCATTCATCTCAAAACGCTATAAAAATAGAATTTAAACGAATTCATTTCTTTTCAATATTTATTTTTTTAAAAAATGAGATTTTTTAGTTATTAAATTTATTTAGTTTTGTTAATTAAAAAAAAAATTATTTTTAGTTTTATTTATTAAATGAAAACATTCGTTGATCACTGCGAATGCATTTCATTGCCAAGCATGCCCTGTCTATTTTATTTACAGGATTTTCTCATAGATTTTTTTAGCAGTTTTCTTTACGTTGTTGTTGTTGTTGTATTATAGCAGGACCAACAACCCGGGGCGAGTGTTTTGACGAGTCAACCCCAAAGTGTTCGTAAGTTTTTACTAAGTATCACCACGCTTGATTTTTGCACTGTCTTGCATTTTTTTTAAACTTTTTTTTTTCATAATTTGATTTAAAACATTTTTCCATACATTGTAATTTTTACTTTTTATATTAATTACCAGATTTATTTTTAGCATTTCAGTACAACAATATTAAACGCAAGTAATTTGTATTTCTAAATCTATTGAAATGTCCTTTTTTAATTTATTTAAGTAGAGTATTTAAATAAATTTTTTTTTATTAAAATTAGATAAAAAGTATCTTTTAACAAAAGTCTAATTGATTTTTATTTCAATAAACAATATATATTGAATTTTAAGAAAAATTTTTTAGGAGGAATAAAGTATTAACTAGTTTTGGGTTTTATTTTTTCTACAAAAGAGAATTAATTGAATTACACTGAAATCTTTCTATTTGACTATGTACACTCAATTTTTTTTTTAAACTAAAGTTTCTGTTACTAATAATATAATTTTACTAATAATTGAGAAAAATTGCTTTTCAGGCTGTTGGAGATTAAATGTATTTAATGGACGTGGCTCCAAAAAAAAAACTTAGTTGTTTTTCCCATAATTTTTTTTTTATTTATTTAAGCTCTAGAAAGCCGTTATTAAAAATTTATCAAAATAGATTTAGCCCTTTTTGAGAAAATATATTTTTTAATATATTTTACTCTATAAAAGAAGTAAAAAATTATTTTCTAGTAAAAATAATTCGTAACTTAAGTGTCACTTTTAATAATATATTTCACTTTTATTTTCTAAAATATATTTTATTTATTTTTTTATTTTAATTGCACGCAGTAAGAAAGTTAACAGTTTTTTCATAAAGTTCAATTAATATTTTTATATTTAGATTTTCTCCAATAACGCCCTCCTTGTTCGAGAGAGATGGCAACTAACAAATAATGTATCGTTTGATTATGGAAGGCATCGCATGTTATCTGAGTGGTGGTACATATATAACAAAATTTTATTGTGAAATAGAAATTTGCACTAAATAACAAAATGGATGCATTAAGCACTTTGCATGTTGGAATGTTTTTTTTTATATTATTCGCTGTTTACAAACAAAAATTAATATAATAATAATAATCATCATCATCATCATCAATCACTGGATAATATGAACAGTAAATTTTATTTTTCACATAGAAATTTGTATTTACATACAAGAAAAAAAATTATTAGTATTTATTGATATTTTTTAAAAAATTTTATGTAAAGCTCTTGTAAATGTGGTCAATTAATTAAAAATTTTAATAATTTTTCTGTTAGATTTGAAAAGATTTTAAAATTGAAATTTTAATTTATAAAATAATTTTACCATTTAATAGGAAAAGTGTAAAAATGCTAAAAATTTGTTGTTTAATACAAAATTCATTGAACGAAATTTTGATTTTGGGGATTTTTCAAGTAAATATATAAAAATACTTGAAAAACTCTTATAAATAATAGAAATTTCGTTTCAATATCCATATAATGCCTTGAAAAAAAAAAATGTGATAAGTAGAAAATCGACGAATTTCGAAACATTGAAAATGCAAATTAATATTATGTATCAGTTTCACACGTTTCAGAAATCATACGATTCATATAAAAAAAAATTTTCAGTTTAAATTAATATTTATTTGATAATAATTCCCATGATTTATGTACAATAATTATTTTCTCATTGTGTATTATAATTATAATTGTATTATAATGTATTATAAGAATATTATGTCAGAAATCTCCGTGATTAGTTCAATCAGGTTTAAAATTATTTGTAAAAAGGTTTTTTTTTTTTTCTTTTTTCCTTTTTTAAGTGGTGATTTCTGCACGAGAATGAATAAAATTGAAAATATGGTTCTTGAAAGAAGATGGGATTACCGTTAAATTGTTAAGAGAAAAAAAAAAAGAAAAAAAATTGTAATAATTGAAAAAACTTTTTTTGTTAATCAGGAGGACGAGAGTGACGAGGATGCGGTGACTTCGCAACCTCAGGCTGGAGCAGCTCAGGGAGCCCCAAGTAGTCAACCAGCTTTTGCAATGCCACCCCCTCCATCAATGGCAAATGAAAGTACCACTCTGAACAGTGGAGGAGATCGTGTCAGCTATACCACCGGTATTTAGTTTTACAAAAATTAAAAAAAAAGCACTGACACAATTTGTTTTAACCGTTATTCGTCAATCACATAATAAGATTTATATTGTATACTAGTCTCTTCTTTTTTTTTTCTCATCAGTAGATAATAGGAAAGTGAAAGTATACAAAATGAAATGCAATTTTGATTTTTCTTATTTGTAAAGAAAAAATATTAACCTTTTAATTAATTTACTAAATTTATATTTATAAAATTTATTATTTATTTAAAAGGACAATTTAAACTTGAGAGAAAATTCAATTTTCATTTTAAAATTAATGGAACATATATTCTAAATTATTTGTTGTATAATAATCTAGAATATTGTATCATAATTTATATATTATATATATAACATAACTTTCACTTGCACTTTTGTTTTCACAAAAAATTTTAGTTTGTTTATTCCGTTGAAAGAAATTTATTTAATTCAATTAATTATTAGTAGAGATACTAAATAATTATATACATTTTGAATTAAATAAACTTTTTTTCCAGTGCTTATTTTTAATTGTAAATATTATTCATTATTAATTCTTATGAACTGCTCGTACTGTAGATTATTATTATTTCTTCAGTCGAATTTTAAATTTACAATCTAAATTTATTGTATGTATCGTATTCTTGTTTGAATGCAATTTAGAGACAGGAATTTTATTAGAAACATAAATTTGAAAATTAGTATTAAAATGCAAAATAATTTATATTTTCTTTTGAGATCAAAAATCGTTTTTATAATTATAAAATTTCTGTCTATAGAAATTGATTTTCTACTTGATTTAAATGAAAGATTAATTATTAAAATTATTTTCAAGCTCTTTTGTTTATAATTTCTCACAATTGTAGAATTGAAATTAAAAGATTTTTATTTCTTTTGAAAAATACAATTTTCTTTATTGGATTTAATCAAGTAGAAAATTTATTTTTTTAAAAAAAAAATACATTTTTAATGCTTTCAGCATAAAAAATTGATGGATGAATTTTTTTTTTTAAATTGATTTCTATTGCCATTTAGTGCACTATATTTCCATTAGGTACATATTTTGTATTACCTACTTTTATTATTTGTAGTCGTTGTATTATTTGCTACGATAGAATATTTTTTATTTTACTTTATTATTATTGTAATTTATTTGTGCGATTATTATAGAGAGAGAGAGAGAGATGATGATGATTCATGTTTAATTTATAATGACTTCTATCTTTTTTTTTTCTTTTTAAATAATATATAAATATTTGTATATTTTTCACACAAAATAAATTATAATAAAAGTAAAATAACAATATCGTATATATGGCCATTCATATTGCTAGTACAAAAACGTTAAATTATTATTGAATATTGAATGAAGCCAAGACACAACTTCTTTTGCCTTTATAAAATAATTGATTTATAATTTTTGTTTGAAAAATATATTTTCTTTTTTTAAATTATTAAGCGACTGTCATATTTATTTTTTTAAGACGATTAATAATTTTAATTACAGATGAAAAATTCAAAAAAAGATATAACAATTTTTTAGATATAAAAGTTATGTCTTTTATTAAAATTTTTAGTTTACGTAAAAATTGGAAATTAGATTTTTTTTAATTAAACAGCTTTTTTAAGTGTATATTTAATTTTTGACAATTTTCTTTTCATTTAAAGGAATGCTCACTCTGTGTTGTGAATATTAGCATGTTAAATGAACACACTAGAATGAATAAAAATATGTTTTATATAATTTAATATTATTTTTTTTTTGGAAAATTTTAAAAATACCACAACTAATTATATAATTTAGTGTCAGGAGCATCGACAAATCCCTTTAGAGCGCCATACGTTGGAACTGACTCAGCACCTTCCTGGTAGTTATAAAAAAAATTCAAAATGAAAAAAAAGAAAAACGAAGAAGAACCGTCGCACTCGACTCATTAGAAGATTTCGACAGTGTCTGCATAATATATATATCCTCATGTACAAAATCTCCGAGTCGTAAAATTTCACTAAAAAAAAAAAAAAAAAAAAAAACTGATTCAATTGACTAAAACGAAATTTTTCAGATTATATTTATAATAATTGAAAATTTCGTTATTTTCTCGGTAACCAAAATTATGTTAATATTATTTGGCATTACAATCTATTTAAATGAAGACTTTGTTTTATAATTTATTCTATTTTTTTTGTTTTAAAATTTTAATTCCAAAAAATTTTGTTTGTTATAATGCAAATAAAAAATTTTTGAAAGAAAATAACTCAGGTCTTAAAATTTATGAATTCATTTATAAGTCCTGAAACTTGTTTTTAAAATTACATAGAATTCCTTAGCAACGATTAGATTATTGAAAAAAAATGTGTATGATGTGAAAATTATATCAATTTAATTATTATTATAATTGTAATTTAATTATATAATTATTGTAAAATATGTTAAAGTTTTCATTAGAGTTTTTTTAAAAAAATATCTACGTTAGTTGTATGGAATTTTAGTTTATTTACAGTAATTTAATATACAATATAATATATATTCATTTAAACGTACCGAAATAAAATTCAGAATTCAAAAATAATAGAAATCAATTTAATTACAAAAAAAATACCTATGAAAACAAGAAAACAAATAATAGGAAAAAATTTCTATGTTTTAACAATATATTTGTATATTTAAAAAAAAATAATTTTTAATTAATTTCTTATTTATAATTAAAAGTAATGATATTTATTATCTAGCAGAAAAAAATATTTTCAGTAAATATTAGAATTTTTAAAAATAAATTAAGATTTTCCAAAATTCTACGAGAGGAATAAACTTTTAATTTTTGAACAATATAAAAAATATGGCATTTAAAAAATTTTAATTTTCAAATTTAAAAAAGCATAATATACGATATTCGTGAAAAGTGGGAGGGGGGAGATAAAATAATGCCTAAGGTGCCATAAAAAAAATATAGGTGCAGATACACGATATAGAAGAGTTGAAACGACCCGATATATAAAAGTAATTATATTTAACTTTGCTATACAGTTTTTAATGGTCGTTATTAGAGGAAAAAAAAAACAAGAACAAAAAACAATTATTGCAAATAAGCCTTTGATTAGTGTCTCTCTGTTATTTAATTAATGTCGATACAAAAAAAAATATATAATAATTATAGTAAAATATAAATATATGTATATTATGATGTACAATTCATAATTATTCCGTTCATCTTCATTAAAAAATGTATTGAGAAAAATTTCTGATATTCAGGAAAAAAATGAAATTTTAATTATCAATATAATATCTATTGCAGATTCTTTCCAATATTAGCAAATTCACTGCTTATAATATAAGGTACATAAAGAAATTTTTTTTTTTTAAAGTCCTACGTCTTCACGGCTTATAATAATATAATATAATTATTAAAAAATATGCAAAAAAAAAATTTATTTCCAATATTTCGATGTATTTTTTTTTTCTTAATAGATATGAAAAATAATATTATATATTAATCTCAAATATCAAAGAAACAAATATTCTAATTTTAAGAATGTAATTTTGGCTCTTATTTAAAATCTATAATTTTTTATTTAATTTATATAAAATTTCTTATACCAGTTAGAATATATTTTATATTGCTTTGAAAAAATAAACAATTAAGAAATATTCTTATTTTTAGAATATTTTTATTTAAAAATATATTCTTAATGTAAGGATATTTATATTCCAACTATAATTTTAATCTATTTTATTTCTTTATCATTTTTAATACTCATTTAAATGTTTAATAGAAAATAAAATTATAATTATAATACACAATTTATTTATATTGCATAAATTATTAAATAAATTGTTTAAATAAATCTTGATAAATTTACAGTCATATTTATCGAAAAAAAAGAAAAAAAAAACTAAGAAACTATATCATGTTAGATATAATCATATAAAAAATCATGTAATTAAATTCCTAAACTGTAAATACAAAGTCTATGATTCAATCCAATTTAATGATGTTTTATTGACCTTATTTTTATTTTCTATATAAAAAAATAATCATAGGGAATAGTATTGAAATTAGGTGATAATAATAATAATAATAAAAATTCCTTAATAATGTCACAAACTTAACTTATTATTTAATATTAAACATATACATTGAAAATTTTAATATAATTACGACTAGTCACATAAAAAAGAGTTTTCATTAAATGAAATATTCTAATATTGAAAACTTTTTTTTTTTTAAACACACATAATTTATGAAATTTCTTTTTTAAAATTAAAATCACATCGCATGCGTCGAAAATGTATTTAAATTAATTAATATGACCTTTTCCCCGTAAAAAGTGACATTAAAATAATTTATTTTTTATTACATAGACAATCAGTTCATTCTTTATACAATTTCTTATTTTTATTACGCGTAAAATATTATAATATAGCAGTCATAAAAAGAATCACAGATGCTGAAAAATACATTGAAAAAAGAAATTTATTTTATTCAAAAATATAATCTTATTTTTATAAAATTAATAAAATAAAATTATTTACTATAACAATTATTTGAAAAATTAATTTTCTTTATAATTAAATTTTTATGTTGTTCTTTATAATTAAATTTTTTTTCAGTGTATAGTAAAATCATATTTGAAAAATTAGATTTCAAAATTTTAGTTATTTTTTTGGGAAGAAGAAGAAGAAGAAAAAGAGAATATTGAAACTAATATTCGAAAATATTATCTATTTATTTTTTATATTTCTTCTTCTGTTTTAATGATTCTTTTTCCAATTAATTTTCTTTATTTATTTATATATATATATATATATATCTGCGTCAATCAGTTATATTTCATTTTAAAAGAATTCGCACAGCGATTCCATTTTATATTATAATTATTAGAAAATATTTACACAAATATTGATTCTTAAGAAAAATTTTTTAGTTTTAAACAAAATAGTTTTTTTTTCTACTTGTACACTATATAAATTTTTTTTAATAATTACAATTTGAAATTTCAAGAAATTTATAACTTTCTGATTATTATAACATGTAAATAATTTATATATATATATATATATATATATATATATATATGAATTTCAGCTTTTTTTAATAAGAAAAATAATTGAATTAATTTTCTTATATTTATTTTGATTCAGTGCTTCTATCAAGAATTATATTTAGGCTTAATGGAAATTTCTTTTTCTTCTGTGATTGTTATATGGAAATAAATAAAAAACTTATTGTCAATTTTTGAAACGTAAAATAGAAAAAAAAATCTTAATAAAAATTTTGATTGTAATTTTTACAATATATATTTAATTTCATAAAAATTTGTTTCTAGTAAAATATTTATTTACTTTTTTAATAAATCTTTTTGTGCATCAAAAGTACTTTCGTAAAATAATTAATTGTTACAAAAATCATTTTAAAAAATCAAGTATAATTAATTTTTTTTTATATTTTTTGGAAAATTCAATATATATAATTCAGATCAATTTTGCGCTATTGGCGATTTGTTAATTAGAGAACATTTATTTTTCAATAAACTCTGCTTCTTATATTATATATTTTTTATATTATTAATTTTTATAATATCTCATTTTTGATTCTCACGATCATAATAATGGCTGAATAATAATCGTCTCGAATCGTTATATAAAATCATTTAATATAGGATAAATTTTTATTCTCATCATTATTAGTTTTTTTTTATAAAAAAAAAAATTGCAAATTAAAAAATAATTAATAATGAAAATAATTATAAAAGTATTTGTTTATGAAAACTTTTTGAAATTTCACATTTTTTTAAATATATGAAAAAAAAACCGCTATAGATTTACTAAATTCAGTTAGAAATTCATTATTAATACTGAATGTAATATTTGAATAATAATTACTATATATTTTTGGTCAAGATTCTATTATATGAAGTAAAATTATTTTTATATTTATTATTAGAACTATCGATGTCAATATTCGAACTATTAATTTATTTATAATAATACTTTCATTCAAAATTACCCTGCCAAATTAATTTTACCATCTTTAGAAAGTTTTTAAAGTCTTGTTTATATTGAAAATAAAAAAAAAAAATTTAAATTAAAAAAATATATTAGTAAGATTTTTTTCTTCAAGATTATTCCTTCTAAATATATTCGGTAAGAAAATAGATTATACAACTCATTCCTATTTACTATTTTTTGCAGAAATTGTCTATTTTTGAAAATTCGAGCTATTATTATTTTTTTTTTTGTACAATTTGAGTTGATGAAAATTCTTTTTATATATAAGAATATTTTTTCTACGCCTTTGGTGATAATGTCGAAATTGGTGCAATTGTTTGATTATTAAAAATATTAATTGCAGTTGTTGTTGTTGTTGTTGTTGTTGTTGTTGTTGTACTGCCAATAGTATTTAAAGTTGAATTATTAATACAATAAGGCATAATATTACCATGTACACATGATGAGCTACCAGAATTTTCATTAATAATTATTAAAATAAGTCCTGATATTGCAGCAAATACACCGGCAATCATTAAACCAAGGGCTGGTAATTTTTTTGATGAAAAAATTGAACCCTCCTCTAGTTTTAAGTAACACAATGCAGGAAGAATATAGGCCAATGGTACTGCCGCTAGAATACCATTTAATTCAAGGACAATACTTAAACAGTCAGTTGTCATTGATATAATATATGCAATTCCAATTATACTCAATGTTATTATCAAATATTGTCTATCAGTACCCGATATATAGACATCATGATTTTCCACATCATCTCTGCCGCGAATTGCATTTATCAATACCTGTTACAAAAAAAAAAAATATTAATTAAAAAAATTTCTTTCATAAAATTTGATATTTATTTTTTTTTTTTGAATAATTTTTTTTTAGTTTGTGAAAGAAAAAGAAATTTCCTCACCTCTCGAGTGACGAAACATTCAATGGGAAATGTTAATAAAATTGTACCGCTAAACATAATTCGTGAAAAATTCATGAGATCATCATTCCAACAATAATTTTCCATAAGATCGCCCTGTGAATATGATGTGAATGTTGTATAGCCAGCAATTCCAAATGCGGCAGCAACAAGAAATGATGTAAATAGAGACCAATGCGTAACGACATCCCATTTTTGTTGTGTTGCACGTTCAATTGAACCATAAATAAGAAATGTATTGTGATGACACATAAATGCAAATGCCATTATGCCAACCGCGGGTATAATACCGGGAAAATTGGCGAATCTCCAACTGTGTTCACCAGTTGGTCTGCAAAAAAAAAAAAAAAAAAATCGAAAATACAAAAAAAAAATATTTTTTTAAATTCAAAAGAACAATAATAATTATTAATAGTTAATTAGTTAATTAAAATAATTGAAATAATTATTAAGACATTAAATTTTTCTATCGTGGAAATAATTTTGTATTTAAATAATTAGATATAATTAATTATAATTAATTAAAAAATAAGATAAAACAATATAAATAATTCCACTATAATTAATTATAATTTTATTTATATTTAAAGAAATTAATAGTAAGAAACAAGAAATTTTTTTTATTTCATTTTAATTTCAAAATTCTTAAATTTTTAAATTCTTGTCATAGTATTGTCATCAGTATTAAATCAGTTTCAATTTGACAGTTTTTATTTTAATTATGTAAATTTCTATATTTATAGGAATAATTTATAACAAAAAAAAAATAAATTTATAAAAAAAAAATCTAAACTTACACGAGAGATGACATTGTATCCATTCGAATGAAAATTGCTAAAAGAATAAATCCAACGCAAACAAGAGAAAGAAATGAGATCTTGGCAAGTCTTGCGACATTTTTATAAAGACATAATGGAACTGTGACGAGAATAGTCGATAAAAATATCACCATTTCTCGTTTCACCAAAAACCAAAAAAAACTTGAATCATCGATTCCCGTCACTCTAATTAAAACTTTTGTTACCGTATCACCAACTACAACATTATATGAGACCATTGCTGAAACATACAAATTTTTTTTTTTTTTTCATACAATTAAAAATAATTACCAATAATAATAATAATAATAATAATAATTTGTCTTTGAAATAATTTTAATTAATTTCCAAACGTTATAATTATGTTCTTTAAATAACAATGATAAATATATTTATTATAAAAATACTAATTAATAAAAAAAAAAAAATTGAAAAAAAATAATTTAAATTAATTTCCGAACGTTAATTATTATAAAAATACTAATACTAATAATAAAAATATAATAAAATAATAATTTTGTTTGAAAATAATTTAATTTAATTTCCGAATAATAATAATAATAATAATAATTATATTGTTACCTATGAAAGGATATATAAATTGAAGTACTGTTAGAATGTAAAAACCAGTTCGACCAAAGCTTGCTCTCATTAAACCTTGATAACTCATTTCTCCACAAAGATGTCCACTCCTCACCATCAAAATTAATGAATAATCTGTGAGTAATGCGACTACTATCAATAATATCATTCCTAATCCAAATCCGGCTTGATGAAGTGCATATGGTATTCCTGAAATATATCAAATATATAAGAAAAAAAATTTATCTCGCAGATTTAAATAAATATTAGAAAAAAATAAATATTTATAATTCTCAGATAAATAATATAAATTTTTAATTTATTTTTAGTTTGAATAAAAAAATTAAAATTTAATTTAAAAATTAAAATTTAAAATAATTAAAATTACCCTTGTTTTATAGACTCACCAATTACACCACTTCCAATAATGGAATTAATAAAGTTAAAACTGGCCAGAGGTAAACTGGTAAATTTGTCTTTATCCTCTTCTTCATTTTCCTGTAATAAAAAAAAAGGAAAAAATTTATATTAATTATAATATAGAAATTGACAATAATTTTTTGTAATTTTTTGCTATGAAACAAAATGATACCCTGAAAAATAATTTTTTTTTTTTAAATTATATGAACAATAAGAATTTTCATTATAAAGCATAGTAAAAAATGTTAGAAACATAAACTACTAAAAAACCCAGTAACTTTTTCTTACAAAAAGAAAAAAAAAATAATAAAAACTTTATAAACTTTAAAGGATGTTCTTTAGAGAATTTTATACACAACTCTATCTTGTACATTACTGCAAAACTTTTTCTTTTTAATTAATTTAGAATTTGTGAGAATTTTTATTTTATTCGCAAATTATAAAAAAAATAAATTTTATTTTCTGCTAAACAAAATTTTTATATTCAGTATTTTTATTTTTATATTCATTATTTTTATTTTTATATTCATTATTTTTATTTTTATATTCATTATTTTTATTTTTATATTCATTATTTTTATATTCATAAATTATTATGAATAACAAATTTTTTTTTATTTAATAAAAATTATTAATTGAATAAAAATTTTTTTCTATATAAAAAAATTCTTTCAATTTTTGAGCTCAAGGAGACTGACTAATCAAGATATTAACTAATCAAAAAGCTTTTCTGCTCCACTATAATATAATCGCTAAAAAAAAAACGATACAAAAGCATTAATGTATATAAAGGATTATACTATTTTCGTTTTCATTTTCTGTTAGTTTTAAAGGTCCTTTCATTGTAAAAGAAAAAAGGAAGAATAAAGTATTATCGTTATAATCGCTTTAAATTCTATCTCCATTTTCCGATAGAATTATTTAGTTTAATTTTTTTTTTTTTGTTACAAATAGAGAGACAGAAAAAAGTAATTTTTATTTTGCAAAAGAAAAACAAAAACACTTTAACTCTGTTTGTGAAGGAAAAACATTTGTAACTATTTTTAGAGTTCACCCTCTATTAAAAGAGGGTGAGAAAATATGTGCAAAAAAAAAAATTTACTTAAATTTAATTTAAAAATTAAATTAATTTATTATAAATATTTTTTTTATATTTTATTTCAATAACAATTTTTTTCGAAAATTATATATATATATGATATTTAAAATGTTTTTAATTTTCTATAGACTATACTAATAAAATTTCAGCTTTCTGACGCCAGCGAAACATTTGTTTTTGCCCAAGGACGAGAGAGAGAGAGAAAACAATTCAAATGCAATTAAGTTATTGAATTAAATTTTATAATAACGTGTCCTGATTAATAATTTAATGAGAGCTTCAAAAAAAGAAATTAGCGATTTTTTTTCCGAAAATTGTCATTAAAAAAAAAATGTTAATTATAAAATTTTAAGTGCTCAATTTTTTTTTTTTTCAAATTTTAATTAAAATATATTATTTGCGTTAAGTCATTTACCTTTTTACCGTGCTGGATTAAATTTATTATCACGCACACGTTTTATTACAATATATATATATAGTGTAATTAAATATAAAAAAAAAAAAAAAAAAAAAAAAAAAATTACATAAAACAAAGATACGATATCGCAGACTTTTAATAAAGAAAATAATAATTCCATGCGCCAACTATAATCGCTTTTTAACAATATTTAACTAAAAGCCACACTGTCTGGATTTTGCTAAACAATTAATCTTACCCTAACTAGGCGTCTCATGTCGTCATAGGAATCTTCTGAATTGAGGCTTCCTCCCTGTCGAATTAGCAAAAAAAAAAAAAACTAAATACAAAACTATCTTCCTAAATACATTCAGAAAAAAATTTTTTTTTTCCAAACAAATTTAATTTATTTAAATTAAAAAAATTATATTTTATGCAATATTTTGTCTCAAAAATATAAATAACTATTTTTTTTAAATAAAAAAAAAATTCTTTGGCCTAAATATTTATTTAGTTCTAATAAAAATAATAATAATAATAAATAATAATAATAAGAATATAAATAATAAAAAAGAATAATAAGAATAATAATAATTAAAAAAAATAATAATAATAATAAAAAATAATTTATTAAATTTAAACTAAATATACTCATTTTGAATACACGTTAAAAAAATTTATTTTAAAGGAAATTTACTTTCTTATGATAACAGAGGAAATAATATATGAGAAGAATAAATCTGCATATTGGAATTGTACCACTTTGATAATTATTATCGTTGCATATATGTATAATTACATTTCGTTTCAATCATTAATTAATTTCTTTTTTTTTTTAATTGTCACACAAATCTTTGGTCATTCAAAAAAACAATTATTAATTTTTTTTTTATTTTACAATATAATTCAATATCAACATTTAATTTTAATACAAATTAAAAATGTTATTAATTATTATTATTATTATTATTATTATAATTATTATTAATAATATAAAAATAATATAATAATAATAAAATAAAATAATCTCTTAATTATTAAATTGGAAAAAAAATATATTTAATTAAAAAAAAAAATTGTTACCTTAAATTTAAATTAAATTTTTTTTTTAAAGCAGAAAATTTTCTTTAAAAAAAAATATAATTACGATAAAATAACATTTATATATCATACATATAGTGATGATAATAATAATATACATAAATAATTTAAAGATTTACGGATGTGGTTTACTTTGTATTTAATAGGAAGAGGAAAATACATTTAGAAAAGCAATAAAACAACTCTCGTGAAAGTGCATGTTTTAGAGTATTATGTGTGTAAAATGAAAGTAAATTTCTGACCTCGCACTATAACTATTTACACATAAAAATGATCAAATCTAAAAATTATAATTTAATTAAATAAAATCACAGCAAAAAAAAAATTTAATTCAGTCACATTTTTTCTAATTATTTAATTATTATTATTATTATTTATAACTATTTTTAAATTATTATTTATAAAAATTATTATTGTTATTATTTATTATTATTATTATTCGTTCTTTTTTAAAAGTTGATGTTATACTAAAAAAGATAATGTTTAAAAAAACTACAAAAAAGATAACAACAAATACAATATATATATTATGTAAATGTATTTTCCTTGCTGCAGGTAATTTAGGTAATTTTTTACTTATTATCTCTTTAACATTGTAAAATATTGGAAAAAAAATAATTTTCTTTTTTTGCATAATGAAATGAAAATAATAGAAAATGCGTGCACTGTTTTTTTTTTGGAAATATAATATATCATATCATACACTGAACAATCGTTTTAAACCATATAAAACTTGTCGAGATGAATATACGACTTGAATTTTTTTTAGGAATTTTCACGACAAATAAAAATAGGAAACAATACTGTTTTTTTTTTTTTTTTTTTATTCAAACTAACTCTTGGCCTCTTTTAAAACTAACTGCGCGCAAACGGTATATATGAGCACCTACTCGCGATCTAGTCTTTGAGTGCACGTAAAAGGTAAAGAGAATGTTTTTCTTAAATAGCGTGGGAGCTCAAGTACCGTTGGTCAAAAATTTAATAAAAATAAAAATTGAATTTATAAAAATATATTTAAACCATTATAAAATTACTTTTTAATATTTTAATTTAATAATTTAATAAATTAAATGAATTTTCAAAAAAAAATTTCTTTTTGTATGAAAAAAAAAATTAATTTTCTTATTTTGACCTCTAGTTATTTTTTTTTATTTATTAAAAAATACGAATCACTTTTTTATCGTCTATCAAAAAGTCAATGAGAAAAACTAAATTTTATTTTTAAATTCCACATAAAAATAAAAAATTTATTTTTTTATTTTTTTTTTCAAAATTTTTTAATCACGTGTGTGAATCTTTATTTTACTTGAAAAATAACCACAGCAATGAGATGTAATTTGACTCTACTGGATGACAGCTGTACAAGAGTAACATTACATTATATTTTATAAAAGACGCGCATTTTTTTTTTTTTATTGAAAAAAAAATAATAATTTTGTTAAATTATTTTCAATTTAAAAGTAATTTTCTAATTTCGGATTAATTTAATTTTCGATTTTTTAATTTTTGATTAGAAACATTTTTTTTGAAATTATAAAATAATTATTATTAGCTATTATTAATAAATTAATAATAATATTATGAAATTTAAAAAAAAATTGACGAAAATAAAAAATATTTTTAGAAAAAAGTAGGTCAAACAAAAAATGCCCCATTTGAAATGTTTTGAGGAAAAAAAAAAAAAATTTAACAAAATTCAATTAAAATGAATATTTCTTTTTGTATTCAACGAGTGTCGGTTCAAATTATTAAAATGAGTTATAACGAGTTTGTATTAATCAAACGCGAGATGAAGAATAAAAAAAAAAATATATGAATTATTCAAATGAAATCTATATGGATAAAAAGAGAATTTCATTTGCATATTACAATTTTTTTTTTTTTTTTTTTTTTAATAAATCACATAAGTGTGTATTGTATTAAATTTTAATAAAAATTTTATTTATAAATTGTTTTATTTTTTTATCATTTTATCTTTCACTGATGATAATAATCAATTCAGAAAGTAATTTCCTATCGATAAAAATTTAATTACGATTATGGATAAAATAATAATATTATTGAGAGTGAATAATATTTTATAATATTGAATTTTTACATAATTTTCAATTATTATATATTTTATTTCAAAAAAAAATCCAATTAATATTAATTAAAAATAATTTAATATTTAATTAATATTTATATTAATTAATATTAATTTATATTATATTATTTCTATTAATATTAATTAATATATTTCTATTTTAAATTTCAATAAATTTCTTCTTAATTAATTTTAATCGAATTGTCAATTTTTATTACAAAATTTTTATCTATATTTTTATCAAATATTTTCTATATATATTTTTTTTCAAAAATATTTTTTTGAAAATTCAATTTCAAATTTTTTTATTTCCCTGAAGAGAATTTCTATTTTATGGGGTAAATTTTTTCTTTTTTTTTATTCCATCAAAGAAGAATAGCAAAAATTTTTATTGTTATTTAAAAGAAAAATAAAACCGCGGGATGTTTGAATTTTCCATTTATAGGAAAATTAATTTTAATTAACAAAGCTAAAATTAATATTTAATTTTGGTGAAAATTAATTTTTTAAAAAAATTTTTAATATATAAATTTTTTTTATTTACTTACATCCTCGAATTTTTTCTTGCTATCCAAAATATAACTCTTCTCATTAAGATTATTGGAATCACCAGGATTTTTCATGGACCGCATGTTTCCTCGTTTCACAAAAAATTATATACAGTCACTCACAATCAGGGGAGTAAAAAATAAAAAAAAAATAAAAAAAAATAAAAAAAATTAAAACTGGTTTTAATATGAGATGATTAAAATCTTGAATAACTGAATTTTCTCTCTTTATTTTCAGGTGGGAAAATTGAATAGATTTTTATTAAAATAAAAAATTATAAATAGGGAGTGAAAAAGCGCTTCCGGTATCCGGATTTCGGACTCCGGACCGCGCGGGAAGCACCACAAGGATAAAGTCAAGAGAAAATAAGGCTGGTGTTTATGGTATTGATTTGAAAATACTAATGCAGCCAATTTCATATTTACCAGTGTTTGCCTCTATATACACATACAAACGAAAATTGTTCCAAAGTATTTGTATATGCGTGCATCACTGTGCGCAAAAACACTTTAAACTGTGCGCAAATATTTCATCAGTGTTGACAACATTTTTCATTGTATAAGAAAATTATTATAATTCTTTTTTTTAAAAATACCCAAATTCTCTCTCTAAATATAAAAATAAATAATTTTAAACTTAATTTTACTGTTAATGATAAAAAAACAACTAATTTTTCATATTTAAATTTTAAAAAAAATTTGAATTATTATATTGGTAATTATGAATAATCTAGAGCGCATGCGCAATTCATTACAGGGCGTATACTGCGTGGCTTTTTGACATCTGTCATTTTTCAAAGTTTATTTACTTGTATGTTATTGTTTTTTTTTTTGCAGTATTTTTATATATTGACAATTGTCGTGGGCATTATTAAATAAATAAAACTGGCGAAATAAAAAAAAATTTTTTTGTGAAAAATGTCGTTGGAAAGTGATATTTTTTATGAAAATGAAGGACAATTACCACAAGATCTTGAAGATGATGTTGTTCAAGAGGTACTTAAAACTGGAACAGATCTTCGGCAATATTCCCGACAAATTGAAAAAGAACTCAAAGAAGTGGAAAATAAATCGATTCAAGATTATATAAAAGAAAGTCAAAATATAGCAAGTCTTCATAATCAAATTACAGCATGTGATAATATTTTAGAGGTTAGTTTTCATTTATTTTTCACAATATTTTATTAAATTTTATAATATTTATATTAAAATTATTTATTTAAATCAATTATTATTAGGAAACAAATGTTTAATTTTAAAAATCACTTTCAATTGTTTGTGAAATATATATTTTTTTTTTTTGAACTAGAACCTAACCTTAAAATTACAGAAATGTCTTTAAATATATATAAAAATATTTTCAGACAATGGAATCAATGCTTTTAGGCTTTCAAACAGATTTAGGAAGTATAAGTTCGGAAATTTTGTATTTACAACGTAAATCAATTGCTATGAGTCAACAATTATCGAATCGTCAAATAATTCGTGGACCACTTAGTCAATTTATTGAGGACATGACAATCTCTGAGGCACTTATTGCGTAAGGCCTTTTTTTTGGATTGAAAACAATTGTTATTAAAAGAAATTAATTCAAATAATTAACATATTTTTTTACAGAGGTATTATGGATTCTCCTGTAACGGAAGCTGAATTTTCTGAACAACTAAAGAATCTTAATCATAAAATAAATTTTGTTAAGGAACAAAGTTTTAAGGAAGCAAAATCTTGTTTAGATGTAAAAGATATATTAGAAAAATTAAAAGTTAAAGCAATGAGTAAAATTCGAACCTATCTTTTAGAACAAGTTTATAAATTTCGAAAACCAATGACAAATTATCAAGTACCACAGAATAATATGTTGAAATATAAATTTTTTTTTGAATTCATTCTTTCGAATGAGAGAAATGTTGCCGAAGAAATTTGTGGCGAATATGTGGATACAATGAGTAAAATTTATTATTCCTATTTTAAATATTATTCATCAAGGCTAATGAAATTACAAGTTAGTAATTTATTTTGTTCTTTGTTTTTTAATTTTTTGATTAAAAGTTCTAATTTCCTTTTTTCATAATAATAGTTTGAAGAAGGAGCATCAAAGGATGATTTAATGGGCGTTGAGGATACGGCAGGAAGGGGAATTTTCCACAAAACTTCATTAAAACATAGAGGCACTGTATTTTCCATAGGAACAAGAGGCGAGGTTTTAACTTCTCAATTAGAAGCTCCAATAATTGTTCCTCATACAGCTTCTAAAACAAGGGTAAATTTTTAAAATTAATATAGATAATTTACAATATAAAATTATTTCTTTTTTTTCTAGTATCATTACGAGGCTTTATTCAGAAGTGAACAATATGCTTTAGTGGATAATGCATGTCGTGAATATCTATTTTTAACAGAATTCTTCAAAGTACGTAACTCACAAGCAATGGATGTTTTCAATCAGGTGGGTGAATTTTTGTTAAAATCGAAAAAAAATGTTTAATATATTTTCTATTAATAATTAATGGTTTTGTTTAGGTAATGGGAAAAACACTGAGTGTAATGTTAAAGAATCTACAATCATTTGTTGAAGATTGTTACGATACAATTGCACTTTTTCTTTGTCTTCATTTGGCAATGAGATATCAAATGACATGTCATAAGAGAGCTGTTCCTGCATTAGATAAATATTGGGATAGTGTCTCAAAAACTATTTGGCCAAGGTATAATTTTTAATTGAATTAAAAAATTTTTTTCTATTATTAAATTTTTCCAAATTTTAGATTTGAACAAGTGTTTCAACTTAATATTCAAAGTATAAGAGACTGTGATCCACTTAAATTTAGCAAAGAAACTGGTCCACATTATGTAAGTATTTAAAGTATTTTAATATTTTAATTTTGTAATTTTTGAATTACAAAAAAAATATATATATATAAATATTTAACTAGATTACAAGAAGATATGCGGAATTTAGTGCCGCTATGGTTGGAGTTAGTGAAGGATATCCATGTGAAGGAGCAACTCAACTTTTAGCAGAATTAAGAGAAGCTGTTCAATGTTTTCTTTTGAGAATGGCGGCAATTTTTCCACAACGCACACAACAACTCGTTTTTCTCATTAATAATTATGATCTTATTCTTGGAGTTTTAATGGTAGGATTTTATTTTTTATTTTATTTTATTTTCGACTAATTTATTTTTTTTTTTGGCTTTTAAGGAGAGAACAAGAGATCTTTCTAAGGAAGCAGAGAGTTTTCGTGAACAATTAAATGCCCGTTCTTCTGAATACGTTGAGGAAGTATTGAGTCCTCATTTTGGTGGAATAATGCAATTGGTGAAAGAGTCTGAGGCTTCAATTGAAAAAGGACAAACAGATGATTTACGACGTCATGAAGGTAAAGCACTTACATTAGTTCAATCTTTTACAAATACTTGGAAACGTGCACTTGAAGAAATACATCGCGAAGTTATGCCATCATTTCCAAGTTTAGTGCTTGGTACTAATTTAGTGCAACGAGCAATGACACAATTGGTTCAGTATTATAATAGATTTCATAAAATTCTTCCAAGTAATGCACGTCCTCAACTTACTAATATTCATCATATTATGGTAGAAATTAAGAAATATAAAACCAATTACTAGGATTTTATTTTCAAATATATTTACTATTAGAAAATTTTCTAAAACGCGATTCTCAACTTTTATAATATTCGTAAAATTATGTTATAAAATTTTTATTTATTTCCAATTTAAAAAAAAAAAACTTAATATTTTTAGTATAAAATTTTTTTATTTACAAAAATTTCGTTCTTTTCCTAAATTGTAAAATAGATTTTAAAAAAAATTTTTTAGCATATAGTAGATCTTACCAATTTTTACCGGTTATTTTGTGCAATTGTGCTTTGATGAATTTGTATATAATTATACTTAGAAAATATATATATATATCTATATTAAATATATAAAAATTATATTTAAATATTACTATTATATTATATTTAGGGAATTATAAAATAATGTGTACATATTTTTTAAAAAAATATATATATATAGAAAAGTTCGAGTAAATGAAAATACATGAAATAAATGAAGAGATTGAAATATTTCATGAAAAAGTCTGTACATTTTATTTATAAAGTATACAAGCTACCTTAAAACCGAACGTAATTATATGTCGTGAATACAAGTACGTAAATGCGTGTATAAATTTGTTTTTTTTTACGATGTATAAATTAAAAGAACGCATACGTCTAATACTAATATTCGTATAAATTATTAAAAAGAAAGAGGCTCATAAACTATCCTTTCTCGATTTCGTTCAATTCATTTTTAATATATGGCATTTCGTTTATTGGACAGCTCGAAAAATTTCAATGATCGTCTCGTATTATTTAAATTATTCAGTCAAATAATTTTTTTTTTTACACTCAAGTAATTCATTAATACTATCTAATAAACAATTTACTTGATAATTATTTATTTTGAATCAAGTAAAAGTTATTCTAAAATTAGAAAAATTTGAAAAAAATTTGAAAAATTAAAAAACAATTTTTTAATTAGTTTCTTTTTTGTTTTTAAATAAATACGAGGAGATTAAACATTCTTGACTGACAGTATTAAAATAATAACACGATTATTTCAAGTAAGAGTTGTAAAAATATTTCAAACAATGTAGAAATTGTATAAAAATAAAAAAAAAAAAAGATAAATATTCGAAAGAAAGTAAATTCTTGAAAGCAGTCTCTTACTATATACGTGTATAAATGAAAACATATCTAATTGGTGAAAAATAAATTTCACACTGTCAACTAAAAAATAATGACGGTTAATATATTACTACGACTTATATATTATAAATATAATTAGAGATGCAATTTTCTGATTTAAAAAAAAGATAATTAAAAATAATTTACAGCTGGGAAATTAATAATTAAAATAATCACTTTCAGGTTTTGAAATTGAATTTAAAATATAATATATAAGTTTAAATAATACTTTCAGTCAAGATTGCATCTTAATTGTAATAGATCATCGCTAGGAGCTATGTGTGTTTGGCTTTTTTTTTTTTTATACAATTACCGGTAACTGGCATTTAAATATTATTTTTTTTTTTTTGCCTTCGTCTTTACAAAACTGTGTCAATTGCATGTAAAACTCCATTTGTTGCTGGCACATTGTACGTTATCATATGAGCCTCATTTACTCGAATTCGTCCTGAAACAGAAAAATAAAATGTAAATTATTAAAATGTTAATTAATATTATTAACATATTAAAAAATTGTTTTGAAATATTTAATTTTGATTAAAAAAAAAAAATTTTTGTTTTTTCTATAAAATCGAATTTCCGCTATACAAAAATACATTCATTAACCGTGAAATTAAATTGCATGTGAAGGAAGACGTTATAACAACGATACAGAGAATTAAACACACGTTTCACACAAGTAGGCTAATTAGTCTGTTTTAAAATATTTGAAATTCAAGAATTAAAATTTTAAGAAAAAAATCCCCTCTCTTGAAAATTTAATAGATTTGAAAAAAAATTTCGAAATTCTAATATAAATGAACTTAATTATTGAAAGAAGAAGAGAAAAAAAGATAATGAAAGTTCGTACATGTTTCTCTCATGCATAAATAAAATGTAAAACAAGAAATAAGAGGAAACATGATCCGACAAGCAACTTCCTTGTTGCTGAAATTCCCTTTTTTTTGGGATTTGTTTTAATTAATCGGTATCTGTATTATCTGTTATCTCATATTTTGATAAAAAAAAAATTTTTAACAATTTAATTTATTTTTTATAGTTATAAATATAATTTATTTTTATAATTATAAATATAATTTATTTACATAAATTTAAAAAAAAATTGTTTTATTACTATTATATTTAATAATTAATTTAATAATTAATATTTCATTTAATTCTTCGAGAGGTTTTATAATGAAATTGCTTTTTTAGCGCAAAGTGATTTATTTTAATGTACAAAATAAAATTATCATAATAACATGAATTATATTTTGAATTTGGATATTATTGTAATTTTATTAAAATATATGTGCATAATAGTTATTGTCTTTATTACTTCAATTATTATTATGCGTTTTTTATTAACATTGTTTAAGAATTTTATAGATCCATTTTGAGAAAGTTTAAAAGTATAACTATGTATCATTTTTTTTCAGTATAATTTTACATTTAATTTCGACATATATGCTCTTTTATATATATATTGTATATGTAATTAGATGCAAATTACCTTTAAAAAGTACCTTAAAAAAGGAAATTAAATTTTATAGTTGAAGACAAAAGAACGCAATCATTTCGCAAAAATAAAAATTAGGACTTTTATTAGACGTAAACAATTTGAAAAAAAATTTTCCTATCAAATTAAAATGAGAAAAAAAAAAATTAAAAATTTTAGACTATTTTATATTTGATATTGGAAGAAAGTGTTTTAATATTACAAAATGGAGAATAGAATACAGATCTGATATGAATTTTCCTTTGTTCAATAAACTTTCTATCTGTATTAAAAAAAAAAATATATTGTTACCCTAGATGGAATTTATTTTAATTGAGAAAGTCAATTGACAATATATTATGTAAGTGTCAGAAAATAGAGTCGATAATGAACTATATATGGGAAAAGAAATTTGATATCAGATATATATGCGTTATGTCGAAATTGCAAAATTGAAAAGATAATATTTTTCGTGTTTGAATATAACAAGCATAAATAAAATTTAAGAATCTCGACTCACGACATTGTTAAAGTGACTTTCTGACTGTCTGAATTTATTATTGTGAAACGCATGTATATATCGACAAAATTGCACTGATGATTTGTAAGCGACTGCCAATTCAGGAAATCTAATAAGGGAAAACTCTTTCATACAAACAGTGAAAGTGAACATCAAATATATTAACTGCGTATAGAGATTTCAAAGAAATTTTCAAATGATATAGAGAGGTCTACTTGTGATATTTTATAGGCTCATCAACAAAATTCCTTCGATATTTATTATTCACAGAAATTGCAATGAATTCGCTATAGAAAAAAAAAAAAAAATACTTTCGTTCTGTAACAAAAGATATTTTTTTTCCAATTTTCCAAATTGAAAATGTTTCAATAAACTTTTTTTCAATTTTTTCCCACTAAAAAAAAAAAAAATTCGAAAATGAAAATTATTTGATGTTTCAAATAATATATGAATATAATTAATTATAAATGTAGATATATATTTATTTATAATTAAAATATTATTTCTTTAATTAAAGTTATTCAATTTTTATATTATGCAAAAAATGTGAAAAAAAAAAATTGATAGATTATTGTAAAGTATTTTTGGAATCTGTCTTATGCAATATAGGAATATAACTTTTGCAAGATAGAAATTTATAATAATGAATATTTATTAGCGTGCGCATAATATGCTAAGAAGCCGTAAAAGTTTAATCGAATTCGATATGAATCATTTCAATATATATAAACTATTATCATTTTTTAATTACCATACAACATTCTTTCATTATAGGGAAATTTTTTTCTCTCTCTAAAAATAGAAATTGTTACATTTTTTATTTATTTATTATTTTATTATAAAAAGTAAAAAAATTTCCTACAGAAAAAAGAATATTAAAAAAATTTTAATTAATAAGTATATAATTTTATTTTATAATTCGAATTTATAATCGAATTTTTTTAATCAAAATTTTGAATTATTTTTAGTTCAGTCTGTATAATAGTGAATAATTATATAATTGATATAATTAGCTAATTAAATAAATTGAAAAATAATTTGGATAAAAATAAAATTGTAAATGTTAATAAATAAATTAATTGAGACTGTCGTTATAATAATGATATAGGAATAATTGAATACTAGTAAGTGGTTGATACATAATAAATAGCTCGAGTTAGAAATACTATGTAATGTCCGCTACATTTTGAAGTCGTGCAATCTCGGACATTCACCAACCCATTTGCAACATGATTATGTACTTTAATGGTATTGCAAATATTCGATTCTTATGTCCAAATGAGAGAAGATACCTTTAATATTTATCTCACAATTTATAGTAAATGAATTAGAATTATTGCAATTAAAATAGAATTAATTTTTTTTTTTTATAACGATTTTCGAAATAATAATTTTTTTTTTATTATCTCATAAAAGTATATAAAAAATATAATAATTTATATATATATAAAATATTTGCAATGGCAAAAAATGAAATAAAAGTGATTTATAACCTTTCGTGTTATATTTAATGATAAAAAGAAAATTTAATGAAGAAAGGAGAATTGTTCTGCAATATATATAAGAAAATAAGAAGCGTTAGTTCACTTACAGAACCTCGAATTGAAATCATCTGTTGCGCGCGGATGTCACGAATCATTCCGTGAGAGAAAATCGTGCCAACTCTAATTATTTACAGTTTCAAAAAAAAAAAAATAAAATAAAAAATAACATTTAAAAATAAAGAAATAGAGATTTTATAGAGAATTTAATTAGAAAAACTATGGAACATTTTGCGAAAAAATTCTATAATTGACAAATTTTTGATTTCTATGCAATATAATTAATTATAAATTATAAAACGAATTTATAAAATTGCAATTAATTTGTAAATATAATTTTATTTAATGAATCTTTAGATGGATATTAAATTTCTCAATTATTAATTAATTTTAATGATTACAATAAAAAAAAGAACAAATAAAGAAACTTATTCGTTTTTAATTCATTAAAAATAGAAAAATTTTATTGTAACATATAAAAATAATTAAATAATAAAAAATATTATTAAAATAAGGAAATATTAAAAAATATTTTATAAAAAATAATAGAAAATAATAGAAAATAATAATAAATAATAATAAATAAATAATAAATTATAAAATAAAATTAAAACAATTTATAATTTTTTTTTTTTTAAATAGTGAAAATAAAAATCTTACTTACCACCTGTTTTTTGAATATGAATTGGCGGCGTTTTTTCACGAAGCGTTTCTTTTTGATGATAAAACCTCATTCCTGCCGTGTACAAAGTCGTTGGAATTATGTGCCTCGTAACTATTTCTTTTGCAGCATCAGGTCCATCTGATTCTCTCCATAAGGCGCTACCAGTTTTTGTTGCAGCTTCCGCAAATGCAGCATCAGTTGGTGCAAAAACTGTATATGTTTTTGGTCCTAATAAAAAAAAAAAAATAAATAATAATTTTTAATTAATTCAATTAAAAATAATTTTTATAATTTTAATTTTTATGTTTTCAATTTTTTTTTTTTTAATTATAAATTTTTCTTTTTATATTTTTATAATTATAAATTTTTAATTTTTATAATTTTCAAAATTCAGAATATTTTTTTCCAAATAAAAAGATAAAAAAAAAAATTTTTTTTTATAAAAATTACATTATAATGGAGAAACTTTGATAAAATATTTTTCGTATAAGGAACAAAATTTACATGTCACAAAAAAGAAAGAATAATCTCCCATTTTTCTCGAATTGGCAGTCATTGCGAAAACTTTCTCGCTTTGTATATATATACATATAAATATACCACACGCATTTGTCTTAATTTTCCATATTCGACGAACATTTAAAATAATTCTTTTGTCCTACTTTCACTTTTGTCTATATTATAAAAACCACAATATATTAAAAAAAAATCAAATAATTTATAAAAGATATAATTAAAACAAATATTTTTTAGCGGGAGCTTAATTTAGAATTCAAAAAAAAAATATATATATTTTATTCAGAAAGAAATAGGAAAAAATTTTCTTAAATGCTTAATTGAGATTGAATAATAAAAAAAAAATTGAAAATAAAAATGCAATTAAAAAAATTGAAACCTACCAGAAAGCATTTCATCGAGACCAGAAGAGTGTAAAAGCTTGATGAAAGTAGTAAACCTTCGTTCACGATCAGCCTGTAATGTCTGCATTAAATCACCCACCGGAAGTGGGAACATAACTCTATCGATGGCGTGAGCAATACCTTGAGGAATTTCGATATCACGCTTATTGGGAGCCACTCTAGCTCCATTTATTGTTGTTACCTTTATAAAATAATAAAAATAAAATATAAATAATTTATTTATTTTAATATACATACTATATATAAATAAATCAGAGAAAATTATAATTTGTCTCAGAGACAAATATCTTTTTTTTTTCAAATCAATTTTTTTTCGATTTAAGTAAATTTTATTTGATTCAAATAAAAAAAGATTTAGTTCTTTATTTTTTTTTTATTATTTTATATTTTATTTTTTAAATTTAATTTCAATAATAAAAATTTATTAGGCTCTGAGACAAATATTATTATTATTTTTTTTTTTTTGATTCAAATATTTTATTTTGTTTCAAATAAAATATTTCTCTATAAATAAATTATTATTATACATAAAAGTTATTGCAAAACTTTTGAATATCTTCCTTCTTGTATAATAATTAATAATTTGTAAGAAACAGACATAATTTAATTTTCAAGCTGGTTTTAATTTTTTTTTTTATAAAAATCTCTTTGGTAATAAAAGGTTTAAAATCTAATATTAAGAGACAACTTTCTTTGTGCGGAGCCCTTCCTGTATAATTATTAAAGATAAAAGAAAGAGAACACGGAATTAGAAAAATATTAATTATACGAAATATTCTCTTGGAATTTTTTTTCTTATGTAAAAAAAAAAAAAATAAATAAATTTATAAGATCTCAGATGTAAATTTTATTTTAGAATAACTTTCTCATTGTATATAAATTTTATTTGCAAATAAAGACTTGCTTTTTGTGGGTGGAGATTTATATAAATATATTTATATATATATATATATATATATATATATATATATATATATAGTAATTTCCCATTATGTAAATTGAAATCTGTATATATATGTAGAAACTTACTTTGACGTCGTTCCACTCATGATCATGCATGGAATAAACATTTACTCGAAGTTGTGTTCCTGCTAAACTAACACCGGTCATTTCGTCCAACAATGTGTTGATTTTAAATGCACCTGGTATCACGTGATGTAATAGTAACTGCAAAAATTTTTTTTTATAAAAAAAAAATTTCATTTACATATTATAGCGATTTTTTTTTTTTCTATTTGAAATACATTTGTTTGTAATCGCAAACTTTCTTTTTGTTGTCCCAACAATAATTTTATAATAAATAAATAAACAAATAAAAAAAATAAATAAATAAACAAATAAAAATATAAAAAAATAAATATAAACAAATAAAATAAATAAATAATATAAATAATTATTAATTATTAATATTAAATATATTAATAATACTAATTATTAATTAAATAATTAATGTAAATAATTATTAATTATTAATATTAAATATATTAATAATACTAATTATTAATTAAATAATTAATGTAAATAATTATTAATTATTAATATTAAATATATTAATAATATTAATTATTAATTAAATAATTAATATAAATAATTTAATTATTTAATAAATAATAGTTGAGAGAAAAGAAAAAATGGTCGCAAAAAAAAAAATTTGCAAAAATGCAGATATTAAGAATTAAAAAAAATTTTAATTGAAAATAAAAATTCTTATATTAAAAATTTGTTTCCTTTTTAATTTTTGTGTAATTATATAAAATTGAATAAACTTACACCACTAAGAAGTCGAGGATTGTCTTTGAATTTTTGATCAGCCTTTTCAGGACCTCCTAATTGTACCAAGAGTGTTCTAAAGGCTTTGTCAGTTGGAACAAATATTGTATATGGTCCTGTAATTTAGATGGAAATTAAATTTGAAATAAAATTTATCTAAATTTCATTTTAGTATTTAATTTATTTAATTTTTAAAAAATATTTAATTTATTGTATTTTAGATATTTAATTTATTTTACATATTTTGAATAAATAAATATTTATATACTTGAACTAAATAATTTTTATTTATTGCATTTAAATTTGTTTTAAATATACAAAAATTATTGGTTGAAATAAAAAAATTATTTAGTTCCAGTAAATATTTATTTGGTTCAAGTAAATATTTATTTGCTTATTTTTTTTTTCAAGGCATTTATTTTTTTCTATATATGATTTATAATACATGTGAGATCGTACAAACTAAAGTGATCCCACAATTTTATAAACAATTCATTATTTTCTATAAATAAAATTTGAAATCACGATTTTTTGACCTTAATAGCTTTCAGAATTGTGTTTCAACTAATATCTTCTTTGTTACAATTAAAATGTCATATAGAGAATAATTGAAAAAAAATATCATTCAATAGAAAATTATCATTTAAAATAAAAAAAAAAAATTATTTTTGTCTAATAAACTTTCATAGTAAATTAATAATGAACTATAATTAATAAAAAATATATTAATTTTTAATTATAATTATATTATATAATAATAATAATTTTTATTATTATTATTATTTTTTTCGTATTGTAATTAATAAATTAATTAATTTGTTAAAAAATGGATTTTCTTCTTTGAAAAAAAAAAAAAATGAAATGAGACTGATTTTAATGAAATGTTAATAATATGCGCTTGGATTAAAAAGTGGCGAATAAAATTTTAATTTAAAGGAGAAGATTTAGTTCCGCAGTTAGAAAACAAAAGAGGTAAAATAAGATGCGGGAAATTGCTATAGGCTTTTTTTTGATAATTAGCAGATAGAAACGGATTTTGTTTTGAAATACAACGAACATCAAGGATCTCATTATTATATATACTTGTAGTTGTTTTTAATGCTAGTATTAAGTGTATATTACACGTGTACATACATGTGTTTATTTATATATGTACAGTCACTCTACATTAAAAGACAAAAAGTGTTGAAACTCAACTATAATGTTGAAATAAACCAACGCGTGAGAACTTGATCGAAGAAAGTGTTCACATGACGAATTTTTTTTTTTTTTTTTATTCTACAAACTAACGCAAGATCTAATATAATATATATGTAAATTGACGAAAAAAAAGGAGATCATCTTTTGTAATAAAAATTAACAGAAACTTTCATTCAAATACATTTTTTTCCCAATGGAATTTATATTATAATATTAATAATATTATAAAAATAAATTTTTTAAAAATTAATTTGAACAAAATTTTCATGAAAATTATAAAAATTTTATTTCCACTAATTTTTTTAAATTAATTTTTATTTTTTTATTATAGTATAAAAGAAAAAATTTTAATACGTTATATTTAAAGTTAATTAAAAAAATTGAAATTGCGCCAAATTTTTGTCACGTTGTCGCGTGCGTCTCTTCTATCTTTGTCGCTCTTATTGAATTTAAAATGGTGGAGATAATTTTTTTTTCAAATTAAATATATATTTTCAATTATTATATTGTAATATATACATTGTAAGAAAAAATAAATATTTTTTTATTGCCTACAATTTGTATATTTAATTGCTAAATATATTTTTAATTTAAAATAACATATAAGATAGAATAAAAGTGAGAGAGAAAACAATAGACACGTTTCTACCCCCTGATGTGAATTAGGCATTATTATTTAAAATTTTTGAATTGAAATGAAAATGAATGAATGAAAAATAAAATGATAAAAAATTTAAAGAAATGTATTTATGAAAATTTCATGAAAATTATAAAAATTTATTAATAATATTTTTATATCAATTAATTTTTAATAGAGTAAAAAAAAGTTTTAATGCATCATATTTAAATTCAAATTGCGCCAATTTAGTCACGTGGTAGCGTGAAATTGAGGCGTCATGGTGGGGGATAATTTATTTTTCAAAATATTAGATTTTCGATTCTTTATATTGTAATATTACATATAATATGCATTGAAAGAAAAAATAAATATTTTTTTATTTCATAATTTTTATATTTAATGGAGAAATATTATAATATTTAATAATTTCAAGGTAAATAAGAGTGAGAGAGAAAACATAATAGACACGTTTCTCTACACCCTGTGAGTCAGGCATTATTTTGAAAAAAATTTTATTGAATATCGAAAAAAAATTAAAGAAATATTTTTTATGAAAATTTCATTAAAATAATTAAAATTTTATTTACTATATATTTTTATTGTATTAAATGAATTTTTATTAGATTTCAAAAAAAAGTTTTAAATAATAATTAAATTCAAATTGCGCCAATTTAGTCACGTGGTCGAGTGAAATTGAGGCGTGTGGCGTCATGGTGGGGGATAATTTATTTTTCAAAATATATTAGATTTTCGATTCTTATATTGTAATATTATATGTTTATATAAATTGTAAAAAAAATAATTATTTATTTGCATAATTTATATATTTAATGTTAAATATAATTTATTTAATCTAAAACTACAGAGAGAGAAAACAGATGCGTTTCTAACCTCTCAATCTTGCATTCATTCCCCCCACCCCTATTGCCTTAAACGTGATTGGTGCAAAAATCAAAATTATTCTCGCGCGTCTAAATTTCGATACGATCACGTGGTTTTAATTTCATTTTTGTCCTTCATCAATTTTAAGGGGTGGTGCATTATTTCTCTAGCGTCGGTCATTGACATTCGGTTCATAATCGCAAGTTATCATCGCGGGCATTTTTCGACCACGTGTTTTGTGAAAAATTAAATTCAACAAAAATTTTAATTTTTTTTAAATTCAGTGTTTTAGCTTTCGGGAGTGTTTTGCATTTTTTTTTTTAAATCCGCGATCGAGTAATATTTAGGGATTGAATTTTTTTGACGTGACAAAATGGCTCGTGGTGTTTACGTTTGTCGATGATAAAGAGCGAAAGTAAAAAAGGGTATCTTATCTTTTGAAGAACAAAAAATTCTTTAAATTTTTTTAGAACTCGGTCTATTTTTCAGTTATTTTTCACATTTTTCGAATGGAAATTTAACATGAAAGTATAGGGATCTCCGAGGGCTATTTAGTTTGAAAGAATCACCTATTGAAGCCATTATTAAAATTTTTAGAATCAGTGTTAGCTTCCGGGAGTGTTCGTAATTTTTTTAAACCCGCGATCGAATTATTTAGGAAGTAATTTTATTTTCATCAATTTTTATTTAAAATAAAATAATTTTTTTAATTTCAGAAGTGCTCGTAATATTTAAATCGTATTAAATTAAATTTTTTTTTAACACGTGGTCCGGGAGTGAGTGATTTTTTTTTTTGCCAATTTGGAAACCACCGTTCGAGTGCCGCTCCGGGATGGAGATCGGGCATTGGCGAAGGGTGTCCACGGTAAGATTTTTTTAATAATAATAATAATTGAAAAAACAATTTAAAAATTTGTAATTTTTATTTTTGGTTTCTAATTTTTTAAAATGTTTTCTTTTTTTCCAGACTGAAGGACAGGAAGGAGGATGCAGAGAAAGCATGGCCCCTGCATAGTTCCCCGGTCTCCCCGCATTGAAGAGGGGCCACTGGGGAACTGGTCCAGAAGAGGCGATGCTGCCATCGCTCCGTCGTGGTGAATCCGCGATCGGCAAGTGAATTTTTATTTTGAACGTAGCGACACGCCCTGAAATGTTTAATTTCGAAAATTCTATTTTGAATTTTTGAAATTAATTACCACAAATAACAAAACATTATTTTAAATGTAGAAATTTTTTTAATTTCTACATTGAAAATATATTGTAACTTGTTATTTATTTCAGGATTATCGTTTCTTGTGTAATGCCTCCCCCCCTTTTTTTGTAAATTAAATAAATTTTTAAAATTAAAATATAGAAAAAATATTCTATTAACAATTTCTTAATAATGTGAAATATTTTTTAAAATTGAAGTAAAAAATTAAAATTAAATTAAATCAAAAATTAAAAATAAATTAAAATTAAATTAAATGAAAAATTAAAATAAAATTAAATGAAAAATTAAAATAAAATTAAAATAAAAAATTAAATTTATAAATAAATTTTGAAAAAAAATTCACGCATCAAATAAGTTTGAATTAATCTAAATTTTTAATTATTAAATTCTCCCCCATAAATTGTTTTGTGAGAGTGAAGGAGAGAGAGAGATTTTAAGCTCAGGTGTCGGATACGTCCCGGGACGTAATCCCTAGTGTAGGTCCTTTGCACCTGGGCGGAATGTAAAAAAAAAATAATATTCGACGTTTTTAGGATTTTCGCGATTTTTTAAATATAGCCGAGGGAGGTCGATAATTTTTTTGTATGAGTGAAGTAATTTTTTTTTAAATACAGTTATAGGCAGGGAATAATTTTTGTGTATGTTTATAGTAGTAGTAATTTTGCATGATCTTTTTTAAAGTGTCGCTATCTTCTAAATTATTCTATAAGACATGTGTAATTTATTTACATTTATTTGTGAAAAATTATTTTCAAATTTTTTACAAATAAATGTAAATAAGAATTTTTTTTTTTCTACTTGTTTACTAACTTTTCTTTCAGCAAGAAAATCATCGTGGTGAGAAAATATATTTATTTAACACTATAAAATTTTGTAATCTTTTTTTTGTGTAAATTGTGCTCATTTTAATGTACTAATATGTGTTTTTAAAAAAAAATTTTTTTTCTCTTTTTTTTTCTGTCAGTGTTTATAATCAGAGAAAAAATGTATGAATTTCTATTTAAAGTTGTATTTAAATAAAAGAAAGAAAAATTTACTTGGAATAGCAAAAAGTTTTAATGGAATAACGAAAGTTTTATATAATTGTTTCAATTAAATATTTCACTATTTTTATAAAATCTTTTGCTTTTTCAGATGAAACTTTTTTTTCTGTGCAATAATTTATTTTATAGAAAATTTTGATTTATTTTTTTTGAGTATCTTAAAAAAAAATTTCGGGTTTTACGCAAAAGGTAGTGATACAGCTAAACGATTGGTTATAAAAATGCCTAATTTATGTGGGTCAAAAATTTATGGTTATAAAAAAATTATAATAAATATTTTGTACTTTTTTATTTAAAAAAATCTATTTTTACGCGAAGGCCGTGATACAGCTAAACGACTGGTCACAAAAATTGCCTTACTACGTGGGTCGAATATTTACGGACTTAAAAGAAAAATTTTATAATTTTTTCAAAATTCTCAAAAAATTTGGTTTTTACGCAAAAGGTAGTGATACAGCTAAAAGACTGGTCACAAAAATGCCTAATTTATGTGGGTCAAAAATTTATGGTTATAAAAAAATTTATAATAAAATTTTGTACTTTTTTATTAAAAAAATTTATTTTTACGCGAAGGCCGTGATACAGCTAAACGACTGGTCAAAAAAATGCCTTATTAAGTGGGTAAATAATGTGAAGAATATTAAAATTAATAATAAATAATGTAATGTTACAACTGTAATTTATCAAAATCGAAAATTTACTAATATATTAAATTTGTAATAAATGAATTATTTTTCGTCTTTTTAAGTTACTCGTAAAAATTATATATTTTTTTAACGCGAAACATGTGATGTAGTTAAACAAAAAACTAATCACAGTAATAATTAATTTATATTAATAAATAATTAATAATATCAATAATTTCTATTGATTTATATTTAATATTAATTTTTCCCAGTTTTTCAATCAATTTAAAAAAAAAAAAATCTTTTTAATTGTACATTTGTCTCAGGTTATAAATAATGGCAAATTTTTTCAGGTTTACTAATAAAATATTTCTTTTTTTCAGGTTTTCTAATAATAAATTTTTTTTCTTTTCAGGTTTTACTAATGAAATGTTTTTTCTGTTTCAGATTTTATGGTAGAAAAAATTCATTGCGCTATCAAACACTGTCTGGCAGTGCTAGTTAGCGCCATGATTTTTTTTCTACCATGGTTTTACTAATGAATGTTTTTTCTGTTTCAGGTTTTACTAATAAATTTTTTTTCTGTTTCAGGTTTTACTAATATATATTTTTCTGTTTCAGGTTTTACTAACATATGTTTTTTCTGTTTCAGGTTTTATCAATATATGTTTTTTCTGTTTCAGGTTTTACTAATAATATATGTTTTTCTGTTTCAGGTTTTACTAATAATATATGTTTTTCTGTTTCAGGTTTTATTAATAATATATGTATTTCTGTTTCAGGTTTTACTAATAATGAATTTTTTCAGGTTTTACCAATATATGTTTTTTCTGTTTCAGGTTTTACCAATAATATATGTTTTTCTGTTTCAGGTTTTACTAATAATATATGTATTTCTGTTTCAGGTTTTACTAATAATGAATTTTTTTCAGGTTTTACTAATATATGTTATCTCTTTCAGGTTTTATAATATATGTTTTCTCTGTTTCAGGTTTTACCAATAATATCTGTTTTTCTGTTTCAGGTTTTACTAATAATATATGTTTTTCTGTTTCAGGTTTTATTAATAATATATGTATTTCTGTTTCAGGTTTTACTAATAATGAATTTTTTCAGGTTTTACCAATATATGTTTTTTCTGTTTCAGGTTTTACCAATAATATATGTTTTTCTGTTTCAGGTTTTACTAATAATATATGTATTTCTGTTTCAGGTTTTACTAATAATGAATTTTTTTCAGGTTTTACTAATATATGTTATCTCTTTCAGGTTTTACTAATATATGTTTTCTCTGTTTCAGGTTTTACTAATACATGTTTTTTCTGTTTCAGGTTTTACTAATATATGTTTTTCTTTTTTAGGTCTTACTAATAAATGTTTTCTCTGTTTCAGATTTTACTAATAATGAATTTTTTTCCTTACATGTTTTAATAATTAATGTTTTTTCTTACATCTTTTACTAATTAATGTTTTTTTCTTACATGTTTTACTAATTAATGTTTTTTTCTTACATGTTTTACTAATGAATGTTTCTTCTGACATGTTTTACTAATAAGTGTATTTTTCTTACTGGTTACTAATAATGCATTTTTTTCACGTTTTACTAATATATGTTTTTTCTGTTTCAGGTTTTACTAATATATATTTTTCTGTTTCAGGTTTTACTAATATATATTTTTCTGTTTCAGGTTTTACTAATATATATTTTTCTGTTTCAGGTTCTACTAATAATGAATTTTTTCCTTGCATTTTTTAATAATTATAATGTTCATTCTTACATGTTTTACTAATGAATGTTTTTTTCTTACATGTTCTACTAATAATGAATTTTTTTCAAGTTTTACTAAGATATCGTTTTTCTATTTCAGGTTTTACTATATTATGTTTTTTCTGTTTCAGGTTTTACTAATATATGTTTTTTCTCTTTCAGGTTTTACTTATAATAATTTTTTCTATTTTTAGATTTTAATAATAAATATGTTTTTTTCTTTCAGGTCTCCCACAGTACAAAAATATTTCGGCAATATTGGAAAATATTTCAATTATTGCAATAATATATTTTGTTTTGTGACGTGGTTAGGCCTAATGCAAATTTTGTCCTCAATTACAAATTGAAAAAAATTAATATCAATTTTGTAATTGAACAACTTGTGCAATGGGGAAGCACGTAAAAGAGCGCGTCTAGTGTTCCACCTCCTGGGTGATGCGGAAGAGAACATAATTATTATTTTGAATTTTTGAAAAATTAATATCAGATTCCACCTGATAGCGACCCTAAAAACCCTACTCCGAGTTAACCCGTTTCAAATCCACCGAATTTAAAAAAATAATTGTAAAACGTATAAATTAAAAAAAAATTTCTTTTTCACTAAAACCGTTTTTTTTCTACTAATATTATAAAATCAGAAGAATTCAAATAAAATTACTGAATTAAATTAAAAATAGTAAATTTAAATAAAAAATTTAATGAAAACTAAAATAATAATAGTATATATTTAATGAAATGAAAAAAAAAACTTACCAGTTTCATTCAATACATTATCCAATCCCGATTGTCTTAAATATTTAGCCATGGCAAAAAGACCTTCTCTTCGTAATAAAACATTAAGGCTCTCTGGTAATGATGGCGATGATGATGATGATGATGATGATGAAGATGCAATTGTTGATGATGGCAATGATGTACTTCTCTCATAGTTATCTTGATGAATAATATTACCCGATAGTGTACTCGATGATATTGTCTTCATTGTACTTGATATTGAACGTGGTGTTGGTGACGATGTCACTGATTGTGATGAATAATTAATTTGTGATGTCAATTGTGATGGATGTTGTTTATATGTTGTTGAAATAAATGATTTTTCCGTTGTTGTTCCACCATTGTCATTTGATGGCAAAATAGTTGGCACAAATGGAATTCTTCCTGTATTTGCAAAACTATTTGTCCTTAAATTATCATTATCATCATCATCAATATTATTATAAACATGACCGGTAAATGATGACGCTGATGTCACATACTTATCTGTCGATGATACTGAATTTGGCGACACTGTCACGTGGGGAATATTTTCCGTTGACGATTTACTGTGAAATATAATTTTTCTTTAAAATAATAATAAAAATTAAAATTACATTTGATAACAAAATAAATGAAAATTCTATTTAAAAAAAAATTTGTAAAATAAAATTCGTCTCTATGAAAATTGCAATTTATTACCTCGAACCGCGTCTAAATGAAGTTGATGAGAAACGTGATCTTTCGGTGGATGATGGAAAATTATTTTCAAATCTATTTGTTGATGTTGTTGCAGTGACAGGAAGTGAATTTGAAATTGTTGATGGATTCAATGAACTTGGTGGTAATTTGAGTTCACCTTTTTTAATTCTATCGACAATTGATTGTACATCAACTGTACTGTCTTTTTCCGCATTACCTTTCACCCCTTGAACTTTATAACTACCGTCTGGTTGTTCTTCTAAAACCACAAATGTTACTTTCTTTGCTGGTAAATTTGAAAGTGGAATTTTTCCAATTTCCTCAAGCTTTCCATCTTCTTTATGTCTAATTACTTCAAAATCAGCTCCCGGCGGTAATACGCCTTTTGTTAATTCATCAAATATTGCCTTTGGTGGTTTTATTGTTGTCACTGATGATAATAAACTTGACGAACCACCGGCATTAATCACACGAACTTTCTTTCCATTTGACAACACTATTTCCCTGTGTGTGACAAAAAAAAAAAGATTTCGAATTTCGAATTTATATTACAAATTAACATTTTTTTTACATTACAATAAAAATCTGTTATATTTGTAAAATTAAAGGAAATTAAAAATTGAGAACAATTTCTCTGACTAAAAATAACTTTTACTACTAATTTCTATATAAAATTCATAACCCTTGGTCTGACTAAAACTGCCCTTTACTACTAATTTACAAAAAGATGACAAAAATTTAATATGCTACTAATTTAAACAATTTTTAATTATCGTCTGACTATAACTGTCTTTTGTTACTAAATATATAAAAATTACAAGAATTAAAAATGATTTGTCTGACTAAAAATGACATTAACTACTAATTTACAAAACAACAAGAATTCAGACGTAATTGTCTGACACAAAAAGTCTCTTATCACTAATTTAATAAACTACAAAAATTGATAAATTTTTTGTCTGACTAAAACTATATTTTACTACTAATTTTATTAATTTACAAAATTTCTTATATTTTTGTTTATTATTAAAATTTATTTATTATTATATATTTGTCTGGCTAAAACTGTCATTTACTACTAATTTTAAAAAGCTAAAATAATTCTTATATTTTTGTCTGACGAAAACTTTTTTTTACTACTAATTTAATAAACTACAAAAATTGATAATATTTTTTGTCTGACTAAAAATGTCACTTACTACTAATTTTATCAACTACAATAATTATAATATTTTTTAGGCTGACTAAAACTGTCTTTTGCTACTGAATATTTTTGATCAAAACTTTGTTTATTACTGCATATTATTATAAAAGTAAAAATAATTTGTCTGACTAAAACTGTCATTTACTACTAATTTTACAGAAGTAGAATAATTCTTATATTCCTGTCTGACCGAAACTGTCTCTTACTACTAATTTACAAAAAAAAGGAAAATTTAATACAACTAATTTAAACAATTACTATTTTTTGGCTGACCAAAATTGTCGTTTGCTACTAATTTACAAAGACAAGAAAATTTTAATGCTATCAATTTAAACAATTATTGATTTTATTGTCTGACCAAAACTGTCTTTTGTTACTGAATATATAAAATTACTAAAATTAAAAATGATTTGTCTGAGTAAAAATGACTTTAACTACTAATTTAATAAAGTACAAAAATTGGTAACATTTTTCGGCTGACTAAAAGTGGCTTTTACTACTAATTTCATCAACTACAGTAATTATTATATTTTTGATCTGACTAAAACTATATTTTACTACTAATTTTATTAATTTTGAAAATTTCTTATATATTTGTTTATTATTATATTTGTCTGACTAAAATTTTCCTTTACTACGAAAACTGATATTTACTACAGATTTTATTATAATTTAATTAACTATAATTGTAATATTTTTTTGGCTGACTATAAAAAAGCCTTTTACTACTAATTTACAAAAACAAGAAAACTTTAATACAACTAACTTAAGCAATTACTATTTTTTGTCTGACCAAACCTGTCATTTGCTACTGAATATATAAATAAATTACAAGAATTAAAAATGAATTTTTTAATTTTACTAATTTTGGGCCATTGATAAAATCTTGGAAACCATGGGAAAATATTTTTTAATTTTACGGATTTTGGACCATGGCTAAAAACTTGCGAACCATGGGAACCAATTTTTTAATTTTACGGATTTTGGACAATGGCTAAAAACTTGCGACCCATGGGAACCAATATTTTAAATTTTACGGATTTTGGACCATTGCATAAATCTTGCGAACCGTGGGAAAATTTTTTTTTCTTTTTTACGGATTTTGGACAATGGCTAAAAACTTGCAAACCATGGGAAAATTATTTTATTTAATTTACGGATTTTTGATCATTGCAAAAATCATGCGAAATATGAAAAATTAATTTTAAAAATTTCCCAATGGTTCGCAAGTTTTTAACCATGCTCCAAAATCGGTAAAAGTAGAAAAAAAATTCCCATGGTTCGCTAGATTTTAAGAATGGTTTAAAAACTGTAAGTTAAAAAAAAAAATTTCCCATGGTTCGAAAGATTTAAGCAATGGTCAAAAATCCGTAAATTAAGAAAAATAATTTTCCCATGGTTGGCAAGTTTTTAGCAATGGTCCAAAATCAGTAAAATTAAAAAAAAAAAATTTTTCCATGGTTCGCAAGATTTTATCAATGGTTCAAAATCAAAAACAAATTTTTTTTTTATTTCCCATCGGTTGGCAAGATTTTAGCAATGGTCCAAAAACTGTAAATTTAAAAAATTAATTTTCCCATGGTTGGCAAGTTTTTAGCAATGATCAAAAATCAGTAAAATTAAAAAGAAATTTCCAAGGTTTCCATGATTTCAGCAATGGTTAAAAATCCGTAAAATTAAAAAAAAGAATTTCCCATGAAAAATTGTACTATGGGAAACGGACATGAGCAATGATTTTTAAGATTTTTGCCAAGGTTTAAACCATGGGTCTAATCGTATTTACCTTGGCAATCGATTTCGCTCATGGTTTTTATGATTTTACCCATGGTTCCATTTCCACATGGGGAAAGAGTGCGGATTCATTTACCAATTGAATAAGTAACATTTTTGACTCTTTTTTTTTAGTAGAAAACTACTAATTGCTAGTAGAAAACTACTAATTCATGGAGTTAATCGGGTTACTAATTTAAAATAGTATAAAATACAATTTACTTCATAAATTATTAGTTTTCTACTAGCAATTAGTAGTTTTATACTAAAAAAAAAGAGTAAAACCTGTTACTAATTTAATTGGTAAACGAATCCGCACTCTTTCATTAGTAGAAAACTATTCAGATTTAGAGAGTACAAAGTTGTTAGAATTAAAAACGATTTCTGTATAACTAAATGGAATGGTAGTAGTTTCTATGGTAACGGTTGTTATGGTAACGTTTGCTATGGAAACTGTTGCTATAGAAACGGTTGTTATGGAAACGCTTGCTATGGAAACGGTTATTTTTTAAAAAGCTTGCTATGGCAACGATTGCCATGGATACGGTTTCTATAGAAACAGTTACTATAGTAACGGTTGTCACGGACGGACGGACGGACGCCAAAGCGAAATTATAAGATTTTCGAGCCACAAAAATCTAAAAAAAAAAATTTACCTTGTAGTAACGTTCCTCTCATCCTCAAGTTCATTAGATTTCGAAAGAACTTGTTTCAATTGTCTCAATAATGCATCTCTATCAGAAACAGATGACGGTCCACTTTGTTGTTGTTCATTTTGATAAATAAATTTAACTTGCGATTTTCCCTTATTTGTTTGACCTTCAAGTAATGAAAGAAGTGCATCTTGATTAATAGCTTCTGAATCAATTAATCGTACACGTTCCTGTCTTGTTTTTCCCGATTTTTGCGTAGACGTAGTAGTAGTAGTTGTTGTTGTTGTTGTCGTTGTTGGCGGTACACTTGTTGATGTAACAAATTTTTTTTGATGTGTTGCAATTGCTTTTAAAAATAATTCACTTTCAGCCGGTGTTATTCTTCTTGCCGTTGGCGATGACAATAATAATGGTGAATTTGTCGAAGTAATTTGCGGTGGTGATTGTGTTGTTGTTGTTGTAGCAGCATTAAGTCTTTGAAGTTGTTCCAATTTCAATAATTCCTGTTGTCTTCTTAAATCCTGTTGTTGAAGTAATAATTGTTCACGTTGCCTTTGAAGAATTTCCAATTGTCTCTGTTGTTCGAAATAATTTTGCAATTGTAATGTTTGTTGATCGCTAAAGAATGGTTGATTTAAATCATCGCGAACATAATTTGGTGAATGCGATTGATATTGATTATTATTTGTATTAAATCTTGGCAATTGATGATATTGATTTGATTTAATAATTGGTGTATATTGACTTTGAGCTGTGTCTAAGTAACTTTTACTTAATTGTTGATTGAGATGTTGTTGCTGTTGATAAATTCTTTGTTGTAGACGATGTAATTGTTGTTGTAATTGATGTTGTTGTTTGGCTCTATCGACTTTATATTTTGAAAGTGATGCATATGGTGTCGTTGGTGGTGTTGGTAAATCTGATAATGATGATGTTGAATAGAGATTTAATGTTGGACTATCAGTTTCTGTGTCTGTATATTGTTGTTGATGTTGTTGAACGTCACTTAAAATATGAGCCTGCTGTTGAACTGATAATCGTGGCCTTTGATCCGCTGGATCTGGAAACTAAAATTTATTTTATTTTATAGTTTAAAATTTATTAATTAATAAATAACACAGAAAATTAAAAGGCATTAAAATAAGATGCAACGCTTATTATTTTAATCCAATTTTGCTTATTTTAATACCAAAATAGATTAAAATAAGCAAAATTGGATTAAAATAAGAAGCGTTGCAGCTTATTTAAATGGCTTTTAATTTTCTGTAAAATTATTATATTCTTATCAGAAAATAAATATCAATTCTGTCGTATTTATATATTACAAAATGAGGAAACGATAAATAATTAATTGGTTTTATCTCTGTCTCACAAATGGCAGATGGAAAATCCAATTCTCAGGGCGTTAAGCAACATGTTTTTTTTTCTTCTGATGACGGATAAGCTTGAGACACGTGAAAGTTTCCTGTCAATCTAATTGTCAATAAACCTCTATAAATTATTTATTTCCTTCTGTATATTTATTATTATTTAATAAAAATTAATAATAAAAAAATTCGTAAAAATTATTTAATTTAATAAATTTATTATTTATTAATTAATCAATTAAATAATATAAATATAAATTTTTATATAAAAAAAAAAAAATTGAGGAATGTAAAAGAAATTGAAGAATTTTGTATATATTTGCGACTTGACCTTCCCCAACTATATATTAATAATAACACGCAAGCAGAGAAATTTTAAAATCGTCTGCAAAATTTGATTTATGTTAACGAGTATTTTATACTTGATTCGCTTTGGGTCTATAATTTTATATTAATTTATCAGTTATCTTCTTTATACCTCTATACGACTTATGAGAATTTAAATAGAGGAAAGAAATTTTCTCTCAACTTTCTTTATATATATACATAATTTTCTGAAGAAGAAAATTTTTCTTCTATAAAATTTTATTTAAAAAAAAAAATTAATACAACTAAAATCAAAAATGTTTACATTTTTCTGTGTTTTTTTTTCTAATTAATAATTTTTACATTCATAAAATTTATTCATTACGATGCTCGCGATCGTCATAAGAGAAACTTCTTATATATATGTATATATATAAAGATGCCACTTTCCGTTTCGCGCACAAATACCATTATATACACTTGTGGTTTTAAAAGAAATTTCTCATCATGAAAATAGGGGGAAAAAAAAAGGAATTGTAAGAATCCCTATAAAGGAACGCAAAATGAAGCGGAAGTTGATGAAACACGTTCATCTTCTCTCTTAATTTTTTTTCTCCTCTTTTTTTTTTTTTTTCTTGTCGATGTCAAGGGAAATTTACTGTTTATGTCAACAGTTTATATGGTTAAGTTTTATAAATAAGAAAAATAAATGAACGACAATTTACTTCACTAGTAAGTGTCAATTTACGCACATAAATTTTATAAAAAGAGAGAATAATATTTTCAAGGAAGTTATTATATTAACGGAAGATATATATATATATACAAAATTTGAGTATTTCTTCAATTTATCGAATAAAATAATTAAAAATAATAATAATTTTACAATTAAATTTAGTTAAATTTTTAGTCTAATTTTTTTGTGCGTATACGAATTTACACAGAAAATTATATAAGGTATTAAAATAAGTTGCAACGCTTATTATTTTAATCCAATTTTTCTTATTTTAATACCAAAATGGATTATAAATTAAGCAAAATTGGATTAAAATAATAAGCGTTGCAGCTTATTTTAATGCCTTTTAATTTTCTGTGATAATAACTAATGCCATAGTAACTAATGCCGCAGTAACTAATGCCGCAGTAACTAATGCCGCAGTAACTAATGCCGCAGTAACTAATGCCGCAGTAACTAATGCCGCAGTAACTAATGCCGCAGTAACTAATGCCGCAGTAACTAATGCCGCAGTAACTAATGCCGCAGTAATTAATGCCGCAGTAACTAATGCCGCAGTAACTAATGCCGCAGTAATTAATGCCGCAGTAACTAATGCCGCAGTAACTAATGCCGCAGTAATTAATGCCGCAGTAACTAATGCCGCAGTAACTAATGCCGCAGTAACTAATGCCGCAGTAACTAATGCCGCAGTAATTAATGCCGCAGTAATTAATGCCGCAGTAACTAATGCCGCAGTAACTAATGCCGCAGTAACTAATGCCGCAGTAACTAATGCCGCAGTAACTAATGCCTCAGTAACTAATGCCTCAGTAACTAATGCCGCAGTAACTAATGCCGCAGTAACTAATGCCATAGTAACTAATGCCACACCATAGTAACTAATGCCACAGTAACTAATGTCATCACAGAAAATTAAAAGGCATTAAAATAAGCTGCAATGCTTATTATTTTAATCCAATTTTGCTGATTTTAATACCAAAATTGATTATAAAATAAGCAAAATTGGATTAAAATAATAAGCGTTGCAGCTTATTTTAATGCCTTTTAATTTCCTGTGTACTTTTTAGTAAAAAAGGTTTTTAGTATTCAGGTTTAAAAGTATCGGTAGCATAAATAAAATCCACAATTTTAGCGCGATATTAAGTATATATATATATATAATTATAAATTTTTAATATCCGAATGAAATAGGTCATAAATCAAGAATCATATTTTATAACTAATTTCACAGATTGCTCTTTATAATAATTTTACGCTTAATCCTTATGGTCATCCTTGAATGCATTCTATTCAATTACGTAAAGACTATAGCGGAAGCTATATAGAGACGCAAGCTTCTCCATATTGAAGATTATAAAAAGTGAATGCATATACACTTTTTTCCAAATGGTCCAGACGTAAAAAATTTATCTCATCTGTATACTTGTTTTTTTTTTTTGTAATATCGTATACGCAAAACTTTTTTTTTTTAATAATTTCTAATAATTTTTAATTTTTAATATTTAATAATTTAAATATTAAATAAATATTAATTATAAATATTTATTTAATAATAATAATAATAATTAAATTTAAAATAAATATAAAATACGATTCAGTGTAAAAGAGAATACGAATGGAAATTTCTATATATAAAAGTTGAAAGAAAAAAAAATATATATAATGTAAGTTTTAACAAGAAGGAAGTGAGTTTCCATTTCAATAGAAGATTCGTAATCTATGCGAAATAGTTTAACTGAATTATGATGCCATCCAAACACCGTAAAAGATAAAAGTTCACGTTTAGAACTTTCCCAGTGCTCGCATGTAGGTTCACAGGTATAAAATCTCATGTGATTGTAAAACTGTGACCATTTTTAATGCGATTTCTACATATATCTAACATGTACACATAAAATACATATGTAAAATCTAATTTTTTTTTGAAAAAATCTTTAAATCATATCTAAATGTTGCGCAATATTATTAGTTATTTTCACTTAAAAATTTTTTTTCTTTTTTTCTTTTTGATATTATATAATGTAAAACCCAAAAAGATTTGAATTAGTAAAAAAAAATTTACTATCACAGAAAATTAAAAGGCATTAAAATAAGCTGCAACGCTTATTATTTTAATCCAATTTTGATTATTTTAATACCAAAATGGATTAAAATAATAAGCGTTGCAGCTTATTTTAATGCCTTTTATTTTTTTTTTGTGATTATAAGTAATTTTACTACAATTTAGTTTATATTGAAAAGTTAGTTACTAATTTTAGTATAAATTTTTTTTTTTTAATTAATTTTTGTTATTTATTTTTTTTTTTTCAAGTGTGCCATCATAAAATGTGTGAAATTTTTTTTTTTTTGCATCTCGTTTCACTCTCATATATGCACTATAAACTAAGGAACAATTCGCACGCGAAAGGTTAATTTCTATGCAAACTTTGTATCACTTTCTTCACTCATCACTCTTCAAACTTTCATCATATCTACTCTGATTATTCATATATAAACTGTATAATAGAAAGAAGCAAAAACAAAAAAAAAGAAAAAACTACATTTTATATAAAAACGGGAAAAATAATTGTTTTCAGTAAAAAATTTTATTTAGTATTTAAAATCAAATTTATTTGAAACAAAGGAAAATTTATTCAAAACAAATCAAATTTAGTGAAAAACAAATCAAATTTGAAAAACAAATAAAATTTATTTAATACAAATAAATATTTATTTAATACAAATAAATATTTATTTGGCCTTATTAATTTTTTTATAAATTTAATTTATTTATTATTTATTTTATTTTATTTATACAATTCTAATTAATTAATTAGTATTAATTGATGTAATTATAATAAATCGAAGCTAATACCTACAATAATAATGTAAATTTTTAATTATTATAAATTATTATTATTTAATTATTAAACATTTTTAATTATTATAAATTTTTTAAATATTTTTCTCCGGATGTAATAATTATTATTAAATAACTGTATTTATGTTTCATTTTGAATTTAGTGAAAAATTATATATAAAAAAAAAAATATCCGCAATATAGTCGTATACGAGAAATATATTGATGTATATATGTAATCTAGATATTAATTCTTCTTTTCCCGCGCGCATTCACATATATACGGAAAGTTAATTAAAGATCAATTAAAAATTTAATTTACTGAAAAACCTTTCTCTCAGTGTCAGTTTTAAATGCGGACGAAATAACACGAATATAACAGAGCATTCACCCAACAACTTCTATTGATTATATTGGCCAGTATCAAGGCTTTCTCACGGCATTAAAGATTATTGCGTTCTCCATATACGTTTATATATACATATATATATATATATATATAGACACTTATTCTCACATGCCAATTTGCATTCGTTTTATTTTCCACATATTATGTACAATTCAATAATAAAGGACCTTTAATATAATTAATAATATTGAGAAAAAAAATTTAATTAAAAAAAAAAAAATAAGCAATAACGAAACTTTATAAGGAAAAACTATAGTGAACATAACCTATAAGTCATTGCTTCTAGGGTCCCTTTCTTCGGAGCGCGTCACAAATAAATAAATTGAATATTAAATTATTATTATAATAAATAATACATACACAGAAAAAAAGGCATTAAAATAAGCTGCAACGCTTATTATTTTAAT